ACCATGGAAATCTCGGGTGGTTGCGGATGGCGGGCTGAGACCCTCAACTTTCAGGATCTCCGTTTGCGGCGCCGTGGTTTCATCGATTCAGTCAACTGCAGATCCACCCCGTGCATCCGACCAACCGACAAGGGAAGAAAGTAATGACCATAGGTAGTTGTTGAACTAATCCTCAAAAGCATTAGTCTATGCCGTCAGTTTGCTGATTTGCTCAAGATGCAGGCGGGGAAACAACAGCACCTCTCGCAGGCCCAGACCACTGGGTAAGGGTCTCATTCCAGAACCCCGTTCCCCACATTCTTGGTTGTAATGACCTTCTCAGGAGCACTGTTCTCGATTTCTTGCTAGAATGCGGATGTTTAACCTGTCACGGCGCGGTCCATGGATGACTGGAGGCTAACACCAATATGGATGACGGCATCGTTAAATATATGCCGTGCACAAGACCCGTGTATCGTGGCAGGCGCAAACCCATTGTTCTCGTTCCTGTATATCTATCTTGCCGTTAGACAGCCATAATAATCATTTTGGTACCTGTCCGGCTTGAAGGGAAACGTCACCTCTGGCTCGAGGTGGTTGTGCGGCTTTAGCAGTCCTCTTTGATTCACATATTCAAGCGTGCTCTCTTCATTCAAAATGGGAGTAGATCAGCTAGAGCCGGGGAGGCAACACATCCAAGATGACCACCCTCCTATGAATCCTGGGCTGGCCACACCTCTGTATGTCTTGGGCGGGTTTTTTATTATCTCATTCCTCAGCCGATCTATCATAAGGCTACGACACCATCGACGTCTACGTGAGGTTCTCCGAGACGATAAACAAGAAAGGTTCGCTCGCAGCGGTGCTTTTTCAGCCTTTTTCAAGAAACATGTCTTTTACGCACCGCTATTGTCTATTCGCCACAGTCGCGAATTTCGCTTTCTGGGCCGGATCCATATGGGGATAATCCCCCTACGGCTAGAGGCTGTTCTACTGCTCGCATACTTTGTGCTGAACATTCTCTTCTTTTTTGTACTTTCCAACTGGTGGTCGGGCTATCAGGAGACGCTGTACCAAATCAAATATGCCGCTGGTCACCTTTGTGTGATGAATTTGCCCGTACTTGTTCTCACTGCTGCTCGTAACAACCCCCTTATCCCAATGCTAGGGTTGCAGTTTGACACATTCAACCTGATGCATCGATGGATCGGACGTCTCATTATCGGCGAGGCCGTCATTCATATGGCTTGTGTGGTAGCAGGGAAAGCTGGAGAATGTGAGTAAATCCTGGCTTTTGGCCTAAATCGACTTGGTGACTAACTGGTATGCAGTGAGCATGTCAGAGGTGACCCATCTTCTCTGGAACACGCCGTTCTTCATAGAAGGATTTATTGTAAGTCTATAACTGAAACCCAGCTTGTCGTATATGGTCTAACGGGTCGTGATGATGATGACGGTAGGCTTTGATTGCATTCATGGTGATACTGTTTCAGTCCGCATCTCCCATTCGACATGCCTTTTACGAATTCTTCCTTCATTTCCATATCCTACTTGCAATAACCTCATTTGTCGGACTCTGGTATCATCTTCGTGGGTTGGTTCTACAGCATGTTCTGCTGGTCACACTCATTCTGTGGGGTCTTGATGTAAGTCTTTACCACTGTTTTGATCTGCCCACGCCACGATTCTACACAAACTATATTCTCCCCCTCCTCCCCAACGTTCCCCTGCCAGGGTGCTTCAGACTTAATCGAAGGCAAAACTGACATATCTTAACAGAGAGTTGGGCGCTTGGGCAGTATCATCTGGCGCAACGTCGGGAAACAACGCACAATGGCTACCGTGGAGCTTCTTCCCGGAGATGTAGCTCGCGTTGATGTAGCCCTGGCGCGGTCATGGACCTTCAAACCCGGGCAATACATGTATCTCTACATGCCCTCCCTTGGTCTCTGGACATCGCATCCATTCTCCATCGCATGGACGGATGACCGAGCGAGTCTAACCGAAAAGCGCGGATCCAATGAATCACTGAGCATTTTGCTGGGAGGCCCACAACGTGAAGTCATGTCCTTCCTGATCAAGCGACGGGACGGATTTACCAATAAGCTTCTCCAGAAAGTCAATACGTCGATCGAGGGCAAATTCACCGCATCCGCTCTGGTCGAAGGTCCTTTCGGTATGTAGAGGAAACGCCATGACTAGCGGGGCTACACTGATTGTCTATTTAGGTGGCCTTCACTCTCTCTCTTCATACGGGACCATTCTTCTAATCGCAGGCGGCATTGGAATCACGCACCCAATGTCCTACTTACATGAGATCATGAATGGATTTTCTCAGAAGTCAACCGCTGTTCGGAAGGTCAGCCTGATCTGGGTGATCCGTAGTATTGGTGAGTGTGCGCGGCGCACATGAGAGCAACCTCCACTGACCATCTTTCAGACCATCTGGAATGGATCCAGCCGTGGATGACATCTCTCCTGAACCATTCAGCACTTCAAGTGTCAAACGAACAAAAAAACCACACATACTTCCAATTTCCAGAACTCTCTCTCTCCATTCAAATATATCTCACTTTAAGTGAAAGCACGGATGAGTACTCACTGGACGAGAGCCCTTGGACCAATTCCGCACCGCCAAGCGTACCAATCAGTGTGGTCTCCGGCAAGCCATCCTTCAACCAAATCCTAGAAGAGGAGAAGACGAAACAGATAGGCGCAATGGCAGTCAGCGTGTGTGGACCAGGCGGGATGGGCGATGACGTCCGCAAATGCGTTCGGGATAACCAGGGGACGCAAACCATAGATTTACATGAGGCGTCGTTTTGCTGGTAGACATGCATATTTGCTTTTTCTTTTCTTGTTCGCTTAGCTTGCCATCATTCCATACTACTGATATATCCTGTTCCTAGCTCTAGCTTCTGCACTACACTGAATGCCAATGTTTCTGATACCCGCTGGTGCACGTGCACTGCATTTACAGTTTGGTCCTGACTTGGACAAAATCGGTTTCTAATTCCATACTGCACTTCATAGGGCAATTACGCCCGTTGCCCACAGCTGATCTACAAGATATTTCAACCAATCATTGTGCTAAAAGCGATGGAACTTCCCCTCACAGCACGTATCACCCCATATGGGGTAAAAACAGCTCACAACTGCAGCGGTGACGGTAATCCGACTCGGATTTCCGCAGCGTCGGCAATCGGTTTTTGACCGACGGCAATTGACCATGCCGGAAGTATAAGTATACCCCAAGAGCGAACAACAGAAACGAAACCGCAGAATACAACGCCAATTCCTCTTTTGTGCTAAAAAAATATTAAATAAATAAATTGCGCGCGAAAATCACCTCAAGTCCAAAAAGAAAAAAAAAAGAACAAAACCCAAGAAGCGAAGAAGGAAAGAAAAAAGAAACCAAAATGCCACCCCAATTCCGCATTCTCCACATCGGCGACAACATCAAATACAACCACGATGTGTACACACGCTTCTCGTCAGAATTCGAGATCATCCAGCCGAGCGCCGAAGAGCGCGAAAGGGAAGAGTTCATGCGGGCGCTGAAGGAGCGCCGCTGGGGGGACTTCCATGCCATCTTCCGGCCCTTCTGGAACACGGGGGGCGAGATGGGCCGCTGGGACAGCGAGTTGATTCCGCTTTTGCCCAAGAGTGTGAAGATCATGGCGTCCGCCGGGGCCGGGTATGACTGGGCGGATGTGGATGTGTTTGCTGAGCATGGTATGTGTCTCTCTCTCTGTCTGTCTACTTCTCTTGCCACTGGGCCATTTCCGGCGTCAATTGGTGTCACGCCCCCTGCCGGTTAAAGCCGCAGAATGTAACTAGAACATATTTTGTGGGGTAAAAACGGAGAAACAACCTGTGGGGAAAGAAGGAAAAAAAAAAAGTGGAAAACAGAGCCCCAGCTAATGAGGGAAATTGAAAATGTCACAGGAATCATCTACTGCAATGGGGCAGCGGCATCGTCGGAATCCGTCGCCGACATGACGATCTTCCTGATCCTATCCGTCTTCCGCAACCTTGCCTGGTCCCACCAAGCTGCGCACTCCGCCAACCCACAGGCCTTCGCCGACGCCCACAAAAACTCCCCGCTCACAGCGCGCAACCCGCGCAACCACGTCCTGGGCATCATAGGCCTGGGCCAGATTGGCTACATGATCGCGCAGAAAGCCTACGCCGCCTTCGGCATGAGGATCGCCTACCACGATCTCTTCCGGAAGACCCCCGAGCAGGAGTCTCGTGTCGGGGCGACCTACTACAAGGATTTGGAATCGTTGCTTGCTACCGCGGACTGCGTTGTTGTTGCCACGCCGTTTGCTGGTAAGACGTTGCTGACGCTGGAGCGGTTTAGGCAGTTTAAGAAGGGGTCGCGGTTTATCAATATCGCGCGCGGTTCCCTGGTCGATGAGGAGGCGCTCGTCCAGGTCCTGGATGAGGGCCATTTGGCTGCTGCTGGCTTGGACGTTCATGCGAATGAGCCTTATGTGCATCCGCGCTTGGTTAAGCATCCTCGTGTCATGGCGATGTCGCATAATGCCGGTGGCACGGTCGATACCCATATTGGGTTCGAGAGGTTGGCTATGGAGAATATTGAGGCTTTTTGTTGAAGGGGAAGCTTTGACGCCGGTTAATGCGCATTTGTTGAAGAGTAAGAGTTCTTTGTAGGCTTTTGGTTTTGGGCGGGTTGATATACCATTTTTTTGTTTGGGCTTTTTAATACAGTTATCAGTAAAATTGGATAAGAATGAATTGTTACCGTTTCTGAAAGAGCACTAGTAGATTAGGCCATGCAAGATGCGATTGTTGGTGCATGGCGTGTATGATGGATTATAAATTTGTTTCTAATAATACAGGCATAATTATAAATATTTATTTGTCAGGAAACTGTTGCTTGGCGAATGCCTATGGCCCAAGACATATATGCCGTTTAGCGTAACAGCGAGAAACGTGCGTGTGGGATGAAATGGAGTCTGTTGGGTGATGAGAAACGGTCTTTGGGGCTCTAGTTAAAAGAGCTGCTGTGACTTCCTAGCTAATCTTGCCATTAATTTCTGACGTTTTGTTTTAGCAATGGCGCCTTTATCCAACAGCAGATTGACAATATCCTTAAGCTCTTGATCTATGGCAATCGACAATGGTGTCTCGCCAAATTCATCCTTCGCATTGATATCAGCACCGTATAGAATGAGCATCTTAACAATATCCACGGCTTCAGAGGATTGGGGGCGTTCTTTCACCGCACAAATGGCAACCATCAGCGGTGTTAGACGTCTGTGATTCCTTGCCTCAATATCAGCGCCGTTTTCAAGCAGCAGCTTAACAATATCGTTAAGCCCTTTTGTTATAGCGATCGACAGTGGGCTCCGGCTATATTTATTCATTTTATTGATATCAGCACCCTTTAGAATCAGCATCTTAACAATATCATGTCTTTCAGCATATTCGTCTGTTGCCAATCGACTAATAGCAAGTACCAGCGGTGTTAGACCTTTTTCACTTCTTATCTCAATATCGGCGCCGTTTTCAAGCAGCAGCTTAACAATATTGTTAAGCCCTCTTGTTATAGCGATCGACAGTGGGCTCCGGCTATATTTATTCATTTTATTGATATCAGCACCCTTTAGAATCAGCATCTCAACAATATCATATCTTTCAGTATATTTGTCTGTTGCCAATCGACTAATAGCAAGCGCCAGCGGTGTTAGATCTTCTTTATTCTCTGTCTCAATATCGGCGCCGTTTTCAAGTAGCAGCTTAACAATATCGTTAAGCCCTCTTGTTATAGCGATCGACAGTGGGCTCCGGCCATAGTAAAATCTCATGTTAACATCAGCACCCTTATCAATTAGTGTTTGTGCGATAGATACTTGATTAGCCCTGATGGCATGAATCAGTGGTGTCCGATAATCGCTATCTCTGGTATTGATATCGGCGCCCTTGTCAATTAGTATCTTTATAATAGGCACATCAGCAGCATGGATAGCATGGATCAGTGGTGTCCAACCATGCTCACCCTCTGCGTTAATATTTGCACCTTTATCCAAAAGCAACTTGACTATAGCAGTGTGCCCATTCCGAGATGCCAAGGAAAGGGGCGTATCAATCCTCTGGTCATCCACCTCAGTGGTAGCGCCTCGCTTGAGCAGAATACTGACATAATTCTCAAGCCCGTTCTCAGCAGCCCAGGATAGTGGGGTCCGGCCATTGTAGACCTCATTCAAGCCTGCTCCGGGATTGTTCTGCGTGAGAAGGGACCATATATCAACGTATAAGCTCGGGCTATTCCAATCAATGATCTGCACAGGTTTGGAAATAGGGGAAAGATGGATTTGTGTAGGGATGTCGTATTCTTCGGAGTCTGTTGGCGGCTGGAAACGTGCCATGCGACCAGATTGGATACACATCCTTGTCATACGACGTTGGGATGTATTAAACTCTTTGAGATTAAGATGGCAAAAATCGTCACAGTAAACTCTCTTGAATCGCTCCAAGGTCAAGGAGGGGTCACGCACAAAGATGGCGACCGACGTAGAGCCACCATCGACTTTCTTGCACTGCAGAACAGCCAGCCCTAGACCAACGTGCTCCAAGGCTATGAGATAAAGGTCTAAATGAATCCCTCTGCCGCTTATAATCAAAGGGCTATTTGAAGTATCAAATGCCTCACAGGGGACAATATCGTGGGAGTCAGTGAAGGCAGCTGGAGATGTAGCAAGAAGTCCAGCGCGCGTATCTGGAGATTTCCAAGCAAAAAGACTGTGGTCTTCTGAGACCCGTAGAATTTCTTCCTGGAGTCTGATAAAGGCAGCTTCTCTTTCCCCATAGATCAGCGGCATATTGACACCAAATAGCCCCATTAAACAATAGGCGCGATCCTCCACTCTGGATGTCTGTCTTTCCGCTGCCCATGACATTCTCTGTGCGATGCTAAATGAATCAAGATTCTTCTCACCGGAAAGAATACTTTCGGGTATACGAGTGCATTGTGATATTCTTGTTCTAAGGCTTGCCTTATCACCTAACCTCTTCCAGTCCTTGTCGAAGAATAACATTTCCCGCGGAGCAATGAGCTCCTGCAGAGTCCATCCCCTAGTGAACCATCTACTCTGTTCAAAAGGTTTCTGAGGTATGTCAAAGAGATATGCATAACATATCGTGGCTTCTTGGTACCAGAGGAACATGGAATTAATCGCCTCTGATAGCTCTGCGCTGCTTGTTTTGTCAATGCAGCAAGTATCTATCCATACGTATTCGTACCCCATCCCATGCGCGATTGAGCAGCATTGTTCGATCTTTTCATATCCCGTCCTAGACTTTATGGTGGGATCATTGATGTCTTGCAAAGTAACCTCGTATGGACCCCAAGTATGGGACAGAATTGCATATGGCTGATTTTGGAGTTGCTCGTCCGTGAACTCTTCAATCTCGAAGGTGCGCATCTGGGACTTGGTAGTCTTCAGTAGACGCATGATTTGGGTTTGTTTGCAATATATCTTTGGTACTTTGACGGCAAGGGTCCGACGGAGTGCGTTGCGTTGTAGAGGCAAAATATTGTGTCTATATCATCGAGGACTGTTTTCGTACGGTCACGAGTGTTGCCAGGACTTGTGTCTGTCTGCACAAATTCTGACCAGCAGGTGTAGCGTCACTTGAAGAACAGAAGGATTCATAAGTCAATGGAAGACGCTGGATGGAAGAATTGCAAGAGGAGCTTCGGAAAGCGCAGAAGAAAAGTGAGTGCGGCGAGGCTGGATGTCACGGTACACGTCAACCCCTGGAGCCCCTCTTTTGTGCCCCGACCATGTTCATCTCAAAACCATTTGCGGTTCATTCACAACACCGCCGTGTAGTTCGGCATGGAGCGGCGATGTGAAAGCGGAGGAGAACTTATGAGGTCTACAATGTCTCACTATGCCTTTCATACTCTACTATTGCCTGGCCATTTTTGTGTAAGACCTCAAATACACCCCTGTTAAATAGTGTGCGGGAAAGCAAAGACGTGAGCCACCTTCACGCATTAAAACACACCCAGAAGTTTTGTATCTTGGCGGATTTGCATTGTCGCCCCCAGAGTCACCTCGGTACTAAATAGCCGGAAATGTAAGTCAAGGCGTCAGTTTCATGGCGATCGCAGCAAATAACTTGACGGCATCACCTGGTTGGTCCCGGTTTATTCGGGGGCTCGATTGACCCCCTTGCTGCAGAGAGCATCAGGCCGATTCGTTGAAGGTTGTGACATTAAATATACAAACAATCTGATTTTCTTATTTTGGAACCCATGGATGTCACTCGGTGATAGGCCGATGACATAGCAGAAAACGTGTTGATTATTCTTGGGCGAAGAAGCCAAATATAGTATCATCTGCAAAGAATAAATCCTCGGTCTCTAGGTTGAGCCAGGATGCGCCCCAAGTTTCCCCTTGCCCGAGAGTTTCTGTCGCAGGAGTGGGCTCGAATTGAACATCTGAAAAGCTATGAGTGTGATCCCTCAAGAAGCCGAAAGGCGTTACTCACCACTGGAAGCCAGCCCGCCTGTAGTACCTGGACAATCGAGGTCAATGCGCTGTACTACCTTTTCAATTCGACGCATTAGTGATTTGAGCAACCTCAGCGGCCCTTTCAATCCATGGCCGCATCCATTTTGGCATTCCAACAACGCAAGCCAAAAGAACCGGATTGCCTCAGTATATTCCTCACAATCTTGGTCAGTGTGCTGGAGCAGAACAAGAACTGCGCCATACATCGCGTATGAAATCCCGTATTGGGCGCGTCTAAGCGAAAATGCCTTTTTATACGCTGCAATGAGGTTTCGTATTTCAAGAGAGGCTTCGATACATCTTTTTTTTGATTCATATTGCAACTCTGGGATTGGAGTGAACTCGAAATGACCACGCCTAAGAAACGGTTGCTCAGCCAGAATGACCAAGGTCCAGTATGTTGTGCTGAGGCTTTAGTCATTAAATGATACGAAATTATTAGACATGGGAAGACATACTATAGTGTCATTTGGTGTGGTGGCGGTGTCTCATCCGTGTCTGGGTTAAACAGTAGATGCCCTGGAAGGGTCTCTCTCCAACGATCTAGTTGTGCTTTGACACTTTGTCTGCTTTGCACGAGAATATGCTCGGATGCCTTAGCATCGTTAGTCGAATAGAATGCGTTTACTATTGTTTCCGTAATAACGGAGAGCTGGAGTAAGCACTGAAACGTGCTCACAGCATATGACGGCCGACCTGGGTAAACTGGGACACTGGTGTCACCAAGTCGAGCTCGGGGATCGATGTACGGTCTCCACTCCTCCAATTCTTCGTAAGAATCGAGGAAATCCCGAGGTACATTGCTATAGCATTGCTGAAGCCCTGGAGGCCGGCCCAGGTAAAGGGATTGGAATTTGTCAGTAGCATATGCTCCCCAGTAGACCCTCCTTCTGACCTCCTTGTCCAAAGCTGAGAGCTTGGCATGTTCACCACTCTGAGAACACCTCTGATCCTCCAAATGATACCCGAGGTCAACGATCATCCTATATGCCATACCACAATATACCCAACTAGCGCTTTGCTTGCCGTATTGCAGTAGGCAAGCACCACAAGTCAGCAGCGCGACGACGGTGGGCAGAGTGGGTTTGTCTACGTAGTGGATGAGTAAGGATTTGAATCTCTCGTAGAACGACATGCCCATCGTTTGCGAGTCATCAGGGTCTGAGCGCAAAGATAGGCGATCACTGTATAGACTGCTTTGTAAATAGATAGCGTTCAAGAGCAGCTTGTTCATATAAGGCCCACTGTTGAAGAGGCTGTCCATGATCACCGGGCGGTATGTCAGAAGATACATAAAATGCAGCCGATTCCAATGAAGCTCTAGAAGATGCATTGCCATGTCTACAGGAACACCGTCAAAATCGATGTTCGCTGCAATATTAGGCGTCGAGTATATTATAGTCTCCTTCTGTTTGATAATTGCCGAGAAGGCAATGAGTCGATCCCGGGTGACGTTTTTCAAGAAGGCGTCTTCGTCAGTTTCTTTGGACTGGAAATTGGCCAAGGGAGCTTCCAGGTAACTAGGTAGCAGACTTGTAGCACCATAGACCTGTATTTGACGGCCCTCCAAAGAGCTGGGATCAGCACATGGCAGCCTGCTGACTTCATTTGGGCGGCCCGCTGCCGGTGTGCAGTCCCTAGGACACCTAGGCCCGAACTCGATATGATCTGAGGTCTCACAACGATGTATATCATCCGTGCTCGAAGCATCTTCTGCGGTGGTCCGTCCGCGAATCTGAGCTTTTAGCTCTTCAACCTGCTTTTGAAGCGATCTTATGTCCTCCTTTTTAGCTCTCACGACTGCTGTTCTTCCATCCTTTGGATATTCGCAATCCTGGTTCTTCATATGACACGCCCCGCACTTTGGATGCTGACCATCACATTTTACCTTATAATAAATGTCAGATGTGACTAGTGAAGTATCATCACCGAGATAGCCTTTTCCCCACAGGGAGATATCAGTTCAAGAAAGAAGCCATATCTTACCTTTCTCTGGCGGCAGCCTTTGCATGTACGGCAGGTGGCTCGGACCCGGGCTTGGCTTTGCCGCTGAGAGCTTTGTGATCTCATATTTTTGGACTAACTGCTCATGACTTCGGACTCTCAAATATCCGCAGGACGCACTTTAGAGTCTCCACCCTTGACTGCATAGCTTTGTGGAGTCGTCGGCGCGAGTAAGTGGGTCTTACCACAATTATGTAATTATCCTTTGCTGGTTGCGATGAACTACACAGTCTGTAGGCATTCTGATAGATGAGTTTGAACAATGAAGGGTGAACCAATTAAACTATCGAGCGTAGGAAGAGGTGAGACGGCTGGCTTTTGTTCTACAAAGCAGGATATTCTCCGTCTTGCAAACAGTGCAAAGCCCCACTGTGAACTCGTTGGGTTGAACGCCTCAGGCATCTCCGGCCCGTGTTGGATCGACGTCTGTCTACCGTTGCTTTGTTGTGCTTTTTGACTTGACTAAATGAAGAATAGATGGCTTTGAAGATGCTCATGAGGTATCCAGACTGTTGGGAACTCCAGGCCGTACAGCGAAATGGGTACCGTACCAATGATCATCTCGACTTTAACATAAGGCTACGCTTTGGACTCTGAGGATTTTCTAGGTTATGACACGCCCAGGTTGTGCTGCACTAATGTTTCATTGAACGTTTTCTTTAGAAAGGGATTGAAGGACTTCCTGGGCCTTCAGCAGCCATAATTAGTCTACATTTATGCGGTTTACTCATTTTCGAAACTGGATTCGCCCACCCTCATGTGTTCGGTCATTGACAGTTCCGACAACCCCAATATCTGTCGGAACTTTGAAGTTCCATAATTCGGATATCCAACATGCGGCCCTCTTAAGCACGAAAGCAATTCCATGAATCAAAAGTTTTGGTTGAAAAACTTTTCATCTTGCTGGATGGAATTGAGACAACTCATTTTATGCTACTAAACAGACCTCTGTTGCTCCTTATCACAAAACATGCGGATTGTCCGATTTCTTCATTCCCATTGGCACTCGGGATCTCATACTCAAGTCCGACAGTGTCGACATATTCAGTTAGCACGTTCCAGACATGATCGAAAACCAGCTTACTGGCACCACACACAAACCGTGGCATTCTGCACAAGGCAGAGACCCCCAAATCCAAACCCCAACGGAAGCCCGAGACCCAAAAGACCATGGGAACCAGCGTTAGCATTCCTCGACTGGTATTCGCACTCGCAAAGCCGCCGACCATACCTCATCCAGCTATGTCTCACGCCGGTAATATATTGCATTGGCGATTTCTCGGCGCAGATGATCGGAGATGACGATTTCGACCCCCGCCGCTCCTTACGAAGTATGATCGTCGGCCTTGTTATCGCTATTCCCAGCCGTGAATGGTTTCTGTTTCTCGGGCGACAATTCAACTACGCTCAATCTCCAACCCTATCCCTCTGCGCGAAAGTGGCTGCCAATCAGCTCTTCTATACCTCGTTGTTCAACGTGTATTTCTTTGCATTCCATGGACTTCTCTCCGGCGAGGGACTCATGGGTGCCGTCGAACGCGTGAAGAATACTGTGCCGACTAGTATACCCAGGAGCTTCCTCTACTGGCCTTTGGTCACGGCGTTCAATTTTACCTATGTGCAGCCTCAGTCTCGCTCGGTGGCTACATCCGTCTTTGCTGTCTTTTGGCAATCGTACTTGAGTTGGTTGAATAGTTCGGCGGAAAGGGGAACGGAGATGCGCATTTGCCAACCTGTCTCGTCTAATGTGGGTGAGGTGGAAGATCTTGATCGTCAGCTTTTATTGTTTGATGATGACTAAGCATTTGCTTCTTTTTGTTGGTTTTATGCTTTAGTGCCTGTTCCGTGGGTCTCGTGTTGGCACAGCAAATTAAGGGAGGTTAATATACGTATTTCCGTTTGCTTTCGCTATCTATGGCTCCAGGCTGCGACAATGGAATACGTCGTTGGATGACTTATCTCTCTCATTGTCCCCCAGCTGTACCATTACTAGTAGTTTAGTGGTTGCCCGTTTCCACTGTCTACAACTGACCTTGTATTTCTCTAAAGATCCAAAATATAATATCCAACATCTATGGAAGACTGCATGGTTCCACCTCCCCGTCAAAAAGCCCCCACGCAGAGACCTAAACAACAAGACTGCCCTCCTGCAGCACCCACCTGACCAACTCCGCCAAACGATCACTAACCACCGACGAACGAGGAATATCATGCCCGCCCCCATGATCAAAAACCCTCCTGCTAGTCTCCTCACAAACGCCTGACAGCTGCACGCCCGCCACAAACCTCGGATCCTTCCGTCCATACACATGCACCGTCGGAACCCCGATCTTCACGGCACCATTCGCAGATCGCTCAATCTCACCCCGAATCCTGTCCTCATCAATCACCTCCCCAGCATCGTCACCACCACTCCATCTGTCTGCGCCCTTAGCCAGGATCGAGGCCGAATCGGCCTGAATGGATAATTTCTTGCGGGACTCTGTGTCCCGGGCTCGCATGTCCGGGGTGATGTCGTACCCCAGTTCCTCGAGGAGGGGGAGTGGGGTACCGCCGCAGATGAAGATGGCCGCTTTGAAAGGCGGAGGGGTGTGTGGTGTTTCATGGGCGTGCAGGAGGAGGGTTAAGGCTGCGAGGCTGCAGCCTTGCGAGAAAGCCAATACGGCGTCGTAGGGCCCTTTCTTGGCGATGAGGTCTAGGAGCCAGGCTCGGGCGTCGTAGAGATCCGAGGGGGAGTCATTGCGCCAGAAGGTGTAGTAGGGGGGTTCGTAAAAGAGGTCGATTCCCGACGCGGCGGTGGTGGTGTAGGGGGCGTCGATAAAGTCGAAGGTTATGGGGAGGTCTTCGAGGCGGGAGCGGAAGGAGGCTGTTTTGCATTTGGTTTGTTATGTTCTTCTTGTGGTGTGGGGGTCGGGGCTACAGACTGGTTTGGGATCTGAAGATCTGGGCGCTGGTACCTCGGCCGTGGAGACAGAGGATGCGCATTTTGCGAGGATGGATGGTGTTTGAGGTTTTCAGAGAATTGAGAGGATTGAGAGAGATTGCGTAAAGTGAGGGGTGAGATTTGGTCTGTTTCTCAGGTCAGCACTCATGCAGCATTGACCCCACCAGAGCTGCAGGGTACCGTCAGTGTTGAGGTCGTATACGTCTCCTCCGTGCACGCTCGGACTGGTAGGACAATTTGTACGAAGTGGAGGAAACTCCGATCACTGTACTACGTCGTTTTATGCTTCCTTCACATTGATCTACAATAGTCGTCTAATGCGTTGTACTCCTGGACGCTTTCTCGTATGATCAGCCTGATCGGTGGCCTAAGGTTCTGGCCCCCGATTAGCGCCCGATTTCCACGCGGTAATGGGACGCCGAGGCAATCAAGTTAGGGTTCCTGTAGTTTTGCGATGGCGGGATAGCAAGTGTTTCCATTCTGGTCGCACAAACAGTAATGTGCTGATAGCAATGAGTGAGTGGCTGTACTAAGTGTACTAGCTAGGGTTGGGCTTAAATCATAGGGGCACCACTAAAGCGAGGAAAACAACAGGACCGTACGCAAGAAACAAAAGACAGGCGTGTTGAACACCTGAGTAGGTCTCAAGATGTGAGAACAAAAAAGTCCCATGGTTGAACATAAGGCAGCCTCCACCGAAACTTTCGTCCCCTAGGAGACCCTTCCACAACTACTTCATCTCTACGCTGGCATCAACACTAGCGTTGGCACTCAGAGTCAGGACCGGTGATGCAAGACCCGCCCTGGTCTCAGCATCTTCCAGAGTGAGAGTGGCATTCTTGCCGCTGCCGATACCGAAGGCTCGCTTCGTCGCTTTCCAGATCTCCACCATCGCTAGGTACACCACAACGCACCCGAATACAACGCCCCACTCCCAACCAATTGCTTGATGCTTGAAAACAATCCGGTTTACTGCCGGTAAGTAGATCACCGGGAAAGCGATGATAAACCCAGCGACAACGGCCCAGAATAAGAACCGGTTGCGCCAGATGGAATGAAACACAGACAATTTGCCGGGATATCTGCCCGGATCTAGGTTGAATAATGATCGTGAAAAGTGCTTCACCTCCCAGGCAGTGACGAGAAGTAGGAAGGTCAGAGTTGCATATGTTGTCGCTCGCGCCCGGAAGACGACCCGACAACTTTCATTCCACGATTCGTTACAGTCGTGCCCCATAGAAGAGGTGCCATTGCCGTTTCCATAGATAACACATACAAAGGCCACAAGACACAGTGAGCCCATGCACGTTCCATATATCATTTTGTCGGTGATGAGTTCCCGGGTAAACACCCCTACCTTTAAGTCATGAGGGGGGCGATACATGATATCGGGCTGAGCCTCCTCAAGCCCCAGACCTATCGCAAGAAATGACGAGGTGACTAGGTTAGCCCACAGAATCTCGAGCGGAGAGAGGGGGAATATAGAGTTCCCCTCTGCATCTTTGAATGCCAGAGCGACGAGTAGGAGGACGACCTGTGCGATATTTGAGATGAGTAGGTGCATTAGAAACTGGGAGGGCAGTTAGCGAAGGTCATAAAAACTCTGAAATAACGCCATCGTGTACCTTTTGAATATTATCAAAAAGCCTTCTTCCCTCTTCGACCGCTTTTACAATGGATGAGAAATTATCATCGGTCAAAACCATATCGGCAGCTTCCTTGGCCACGTCACTGCCATTCATTCCCATCGCTATACCCACATCGGCGCGCTTTAAAGCCGGTGAATCATTGACTCCATCACCAGTCATGACGCAGAACGCGCTACGCCGATGCATTGCCTCCACCATTCGGACCTTTGTCGTTGGACTGCATCGCGCAATGACGAGCGGTAACTGCTCGATAGCATCTATCTCAATGTCGGACAGCCGATCGAAATCCTCGGCTGCCATCACCAATCGGCTGGATTTGGCACCCATAATGGGGTCCAGTATACCAACTTCCGAGGCAATAGCTGTTGCTGTCCGAATGTGGTCACCAGTCAACATGTGTACAGCGATGCCTGCCATTTGGCATCTCCGTACCGCTGCTGCAGTCTCAACACGTGGGGGATCATATAGTCCCACGAGTCCGCCAAAGGCCAGATTTGATTCAGCTGTGCTACGCGAGGATACATCAGAGTCATTATCAATAGGGACTCGTTTGTAAGCGACGCATAGAACACGCAGCCCCTCTCCGGCCATTCTGTCTGCAGTCTGTTGAATAGAAGACTGCTCTATCTCGCTGCTATTCAATCTAGGGATAACTGCCTCTGGAGCTCCCTTCATATAAACCTCGTTCACACTCATTTCAGGGTTACGGTAAACTACCGTCATCCGCTTGATAGAAGAGTCAAATGGGTATTCCGTATGGAGTTGTAAACTGCTGTTCTGGAGTATGCTTGGCTTTCCGAGGCCAAATCGCATCGCGAGGACTTGAAGGGCGATTTCAGTTGGCTCCCCGACGGCAGTCCACCTCATCTGTGCACCATGTCCAGGCTCCGTTTCTGACGACATTGACTGCGGCTGTTTGTGTACAGACGAAAGGTTGCATAGTGAAATAGTATTCAAGAAAATATTCAGTGCTTGGTTACCCTGCATTGTGTCCGGTTGCCAGTCAACTTCGTCAATTTGAACCAACCCGCTCGTCGGGTCATACGGGTTGGTTGTTTGGCTGATGGTAACAGTACCGGCACGTGGGATCCAGGCAGTTCGTGCAATCATTTTGCCTTGTGTGAGGGTGCCAGTTTTATCGGAGCATATATTTGTCACCCCGCCAACAGCCTCAAGGCATTGTAGCTTACGCACGATGACATTTCCCTTAGCCATTGCCTTTGTACCCACCGCGACAGTAATGGTAAGCACCGCAATCAAGGACTCAGGTACGACTGCTACTGCAACACATATACCGTAGATTAAGACTTCTCCCTGGACGTCGAACTTATTGACAGAGAAGACAATGATGGCGAGAAGTACCGCAAGGCCAAAAAGGAGAAGCGCGAACTTGCTCAGCTTCACTTGCAATGGAGTGCCGACGAGTCCTAGAACGTTTTTGGTCGTAGACTTTACATTCTGGAACGCTCGAACGAACGGGTTAGTGCTTCCCAGATCTCTTTTGTCTTGAAGTAGCTGAGCTATTTTGCCGACTTCCGTCATCATTCCCGTAGCAGTGACGAATCCTGTAGCTCGGCCCTGTGTGGTGCTGCACCCAGAATATGCCATGTTTGTTCTGTCACCAAGCGGTACACCATGCGAGGTCAGCGTGATATGTGGTGTCTTGGTCACCGGCAAGGATTCGCCAGTCAATAATGCCTCGTCCATTGAGACATTCATACCATCGAGTAGTCTCATATCCGCAGGGACGATATCACCAACCGCTAGTTGCACGATATCGCCAACTACCAGAGATTCGGCCTTTACAGAGGAAACCTGGCCATCGCGCAGAACCTTGCATACAGGCGCGGATAGTCTGTGCAGAGACATAATTGTCTTTTCTGCCCGGTAGTCTTGTACAAATCTAGATGAACGGACATTAGCTGAAGAAATCACCCAGTTGTAAGTTTTTAACATTGCGAATGATGATCGCAGAAGGGAGGAGAAATATAGAAGCATACCCGACAATAATATTGAGGAGAATGACTGCAGTTATCACTCCTCCTTCAATGTAGTCATCGATACCGAAGGATATCGCCATGGTGATCAAAAGAACCTATGCTTTGCGGTTAGAGGAGCGGAAACGTGCGTCCTACATCGGAGATGCAGAAGATCATAGGTATCTAGGCGGGCATCATACTAAGGTCAAACTATTGGAAACTTGCCTCAGCAGTATTTTCCATACGGATAAACCTTCCATTTCTCGGACTCTGTTGGGGCCATCTCGCTGTAGGCGAGTGGCCGAGTCAGCGGTGGAGAGGCCATGTCTTATGCCCAGTTAGTATGTGATCTGACGTCCTTGTTAAATATATTGGAAACCTACCGAGCATCAACGTCAAGAAGGACAGCCAAGTGCTCTGGGTCGATGGTGTGAGCATACTGTAACGAGCTGCGAAAGTCTTCTTCGCGAGAGGAGCTATGTGTTGCAAATTTCAATGATGTCGGATCCTGCGCTAGTGACCGACTTTCAATCTCGGGACCTGACTTTACATCATTGGGGTGGTAATTTGGTTGCGAGTTAGATTCCTTCTGATAAGGACATATAGGAGGCTCCGTCGATTCTTCGACATCGGGTGCAGATGTTTCAATGCCCATTCAAAAGAGTAGATGCAAATAAAGGGAGAATATTTGCCCTGGAGCTCACTAGGAAATGCTAGACTAGGATGGGATGGATGGGAGCGGAAGTGGCTGAAGGGGAAAGAGGACGATCGAAGAGGACGGCAATCCGCACCAGACAGTTTCCCAGAGATATTGGGAGAACCACTTATACCCCAGCTTTCACTGCGGGAAGACAAGGTACAAGGCGGAGGGCAGTGAGGGGTTATCTTTGCAGTCCTGACATATTATTGGGAACCAGACATTAGTATCTTGGCCGATTTCATTGAGCTTTGCGAATCCCCAACTTGAACAGATCTCGACCACGGAGCCTTGGACTCGGGGAGCGCTAATGGCTTGGAAGGTGGTCTGGGCATAATGAGATTGGAGGACAACTCATCCGGGGGATCTTGGGGCGAAGGGGATCGTGCATGGTGATTCGTCGCGGTTGTCGAGAACGAATCCTAGAACAAGTCGTGACGCGAGCAAAAAGTCCTGGGGCCACGTGAGCGGGTGTTACTTGCGACGGTTTATGAATTATACCACCGTGTATTATAGCAAAAATCAGTCAATAAAGCATCCTTGATCCACCATAAAGCTCTCGGCATCGTGGCTGAGCCGTCGATCTTTGCTGACTGTCTACTGCTAATTTTCTGACGTGCAAAACACTTCTTTGTATCTATTTCTCTGGCGATGACGTTTTTCCCGGCAGTACGAAAATATATTACTGATCGATGGGCCTAGAACGTTAATAAGCGTTGTACGTCGCTTATATTTGCATTTCCCGTGCTAGCCTGTACTGGTTGACTGTGTCTAGAGTGCTTCTTCAATCCGTGACGACTTTGATACAGACAATTTTATTTCCTAAACAGGAAATACCTTTTGCTTCATCTCAGGGAACGTGGATTGTCGGGAGGGGATAGACTGCGGAAACGAATATGTTGCCAAGCCTCAATGGCCAGCTGACTACCTCAGCTGGCATGACTGTCAACTTAGTACTGCACTATACTACGAAGCGAGATGAAGCCAGAACGTGTTCACCTACTAGCGTGTCGCTCTCTTTTCCTCGATGATGGGGAATTGTCCCAATCATTGTGGATATCCCAGACAGCCCTTTGCTTTGGCCTGTTACATGATCGAGCTCACTACCCCGTCGGCCACCATGAGTATCTCTCGCTTTTCATTCGCGCCGCCTGGGGCCGTCTGTGGACACCTCCTCCGGTGGTTGATATATGCAGGGAGTTATCACAGAAGAGGGTGTCATAATGCAGTTCCATCAAACTAAAGGAAGTGACCGATTTCCCGCTGATGTGTCGGCCTGAGATGAAGGAGAGCCGCACATTGCTGCTGCTTTCCCAGCTCATTGAGCTCCTCCTGATCAATTCCAGCAATGGTCGTCTATCCATCTTCCAGCAGCGACAGGGGACCGGCAAGCTCTTGCCCCTTCCCAGGGGTCATGAATTCGGCAGCGTTGATAGGAAACCCCAGTTCGGGCTCTTTCACCGCAGCTTGTAATCTGGCCCCCTCCGCTGGCCAGGGTGTACAGACATACTTCGTCTTCCATGCCTTATCGTCTTCGAATTTCTCTTGACCTTTCCAAGTCGCGCTGTCGTGCTTCCTCAAACTGCTGTGTTCACAGGTTGGAGTTTTGCCCGACCAGACGATGAGACACGGGTTTTTTGGTGATTTGATTGCTAAGATTGTATGACAGTGGAAGATGCTGATGTGAAAACAAGTCAGAAGTCTTTGGAAGCTGGGTGGTGGCATCACTGGTATGGGGTTCTGAACACTATGGGAATAAGGGCGGGTTGGAGCCTTCCTTGTAACCCATGTTGGATCACACAATCCTCCTCGATAAAGCACAACCATTGCCATTATGGCCACATAAATTAACGTTATATTCCGCTTCAGACATCTTATTTTTCAATTTATTGATATGACATGCTCCAACCAACTTCAATACAGTCACTCTACACATTCTACGACAGATGCATGTATGACAGTATGTGCCAATAGAGACATTGTCATTGGCGGGCAGCTTTTTGCTGAGCCGACAACTCCTAGCTCTCCTGACAGTGTAGCCCTCAGACAGAAGGGACTTCTCGAAGATCAGAAACTGCCTTTCCATTCGGTGTGCCATATGTATCCGCATATCGCCCGGCCATCCACTCACTCACCGTTATGGGTGGGTATTTAGGCCCCTCGCCGGCGCAGGTTGGGAGACAGTCGACGATGTAATCCGGATTACCAGACATGAAGAATGGAACGCTGAAGCGCTCCTTGCCGCTCTTGTTGATAACGCGATGAAGGTTAGATAGATAGCGATCATTGGTCCATCGCATCATCAAATTCCCTAGGTTCACGACATAGCGCCCGATACAGGGGTTACATCTACCCATTCCGACAAGACATTGTTCCAAACCTGCAGGCCACCCGTTGCGTCTTGGAGAAGCATGGTGATGGCACCGAAGTCAGAATGAGCGCCAATTCCTGCGCCAACTCAAGTCAGACAGAATCATGAGAAACGACGAGTGGGCCTTACCTCTCTCAATATCCGAGCTGTCAGGATCCTGTGGCGGATAGTGCAGAAGCCGAACGATAGCAATCGGATCTACGCAGAACGCGTCAAAGGCAGTTTCTTCTAGTCCCAGAGTCCGGGCTAACATTTTCAAAATGCCCATTGCAAGCGAGGTCATCGCGTCATAATACTCATTCATGACACTTCGGAATTTAGCAGGTTCGCTAACTTCCACAGGGTACTTATTCGGTCCCTGGGCAAATTTTTTCCCCATCATCTGTGGATCATCGACTGGAATGTGGTTACCTAAGAAGAAACCTTCCTTGAGGTCACCTTTGCCTCGCTTCTCGAAGTTCTGCGCCCGAAGGCGCTCATATCCGCGATTGTCGCCAGTGATATCTACATTATTTATAAGTTTGAGTTAGTATATGCCTGGAATGTCTTAAGGTATGACCTTCTATGGTGATCATGAGCACCTACCCTGGCTATACTTTTCTTTTATTGATGTTGGAAGGTCAAAGAACTCCTTGCTCTGCTGAAGAACAGATTCTTGGAGACATGCTGGAACGGCGTGATTGATGAGTTGGAAGAAACCAAACTCCTTGCAGGCGTCCCGCAACTGATTTATTAATTGGTCCTTTGCGGCACCCTCTGGGCCATAGAAGGCTGTGATCTTGATAAGTATATCATGCTTAGGATAATCGTGGATACTAACGTGCAAAGTCGATGACTGGTGGTTCTCTGACCTCCATTTCTGTTATGTCGCCGATACAATGTAAGCCACTACTGAGAGAGATGTGGAATGCTTTCGGCTGTAAAGCAGCTGGATGACCTGTGTTTAGGCGACACGCTGAGGCGGTTGAGGATGGCTCGTGATTATATGTCTGCAGCTACCTAGCATCTCCGGTATCTCTCGCGATATTTATAGGTTGATGATGATCGGCAGTCCCTTATCGTGAACATGTATATCTGCTCCAAGAGTCATGGACCGGGGCCACGAAACGTTCTACCGGATAAGCTCGTTCTGATAACGGCCTTATCACCTGACACCATTGAATTACGCCAGCCAGTCATCCTTAGAGGCTGACTAATTTGATGGTGGCTACTGGGAGGCAGTCAGTTGGCGTCGGGCGAAGCTGATTTGTTATAGCCACCAACTCATAGTCCGTACATGAAGCTTGTATGCGGGGTAACCTAGTACTACTACTAAGTAGTAACTAGTGTATTACTTCCAGCAAGTGCCGTTGTGACAGGTCGGTTCTCCCCGTTGTCCAAGTGGGTCACTCCCAAGTTAGGCCATGGGAGTGATTTGCAAATCATGCCCCAAAGTGTCACTCATGTGCGATATCGCAACGACGATAGGCTCGCATACGGCCAGCGAAGACATGGCAATTGAAGCCATCGCTGGGAAGACTAGCTTCCCGCAGCGTACCAGAATTTCCATGGGTCATCCTGAATTAGCGTTCGCCTGTTTTATGGATTTCTATCCTTTCCAGGTTGGCTTTTGCTTCTCTCCCCTCACGTCGAATACGGGGATTGTACCTTCGTTTACGCCAAGAAACATCACGGCAGTGACGTACGAAAATATCTGTAATAGTGGAGAGGTATATACATTCTCTAAAAATTAAATATCAAAAACGCAATACACCGCTATTGAATAAAACAACGAACAAGCTTTACTGATTTCCTGGGTCCACCGTCTAGGAATACCGGCACCCGACAAACAAGTGACGTTGTGAGAGCTGCAAGCTTTTAGCCAGCATACTCGGCATGTTCCCGCGTGATAGACTCGTCATAATCCTTCTTGCCGACCTCAAGACCACCTGTTCCCGCCGACGGCCCGTCAAAAATCTGTGCAATCTCCTCGAGCGAGTGACCCTTTGTCTCAGGGAACATGAAGAAGGTCACGACAAGAACGAGGAGGTCAAAGCAGCAAAAGAAGATATAGTAGTGCCACCCAATATTTTCCAATGCAATCGGGTTAACGAACGCAAGGATGACCAGTGAGGAGTATACGGACAGCAGCGTAGTCGTCACACCCTTGCTTCGGATGGAGTAAGGGAAGATCTCAGTGGGGTAGCCCAATAGAAGGGGGGTGTATGCGATGTCGTAATGGAAATAGAAGATGAAAACGAAGGCAATAACAGTATTACCGAGCGGTGCGGCCTGACTGGTGTCGAAAACGGCCGAGCATGCGGTCCATATCACGAACGAGACCAGCATTCCCGCGGCGGACCAGAGAAACAAGGTTCGTCGACCGAGGCGGTCTACTAGCAAAGCTGCGCTGCCTGCTGCGATGAAGTTGAAGACTTGTAGCAGGCCGTTGATCAGGGTTTGTGTATCGGAATCGGTTATTCCGACGGTGTCGAGGACAAGAGTGAGATAATAAGATACGACAGCAACACCCTATGCAAGGGACAAAAATCGTGGTTAGTATGCTTTTGGTGAAAATGACAGAAAATGGATAGATGAACGTACGTTCCACTGAGCGAAGGCCCCGACGCAAACCGCAATGAATGTTCTCTTTCTATTTCCAGGCGTCTTGACCAGAGTCGACCATGGTACTTGGGCTGCTCGAGCCTCCATCGAGAGGGTGTGAATGATTTCTGACATTTCAAACTGAACCAATGGGTGGCTGATGTCTCCGGCAGTGTGGAAACGAGCCAGTAGTTCCTCTGCTTCTTCACGTCGATCGTTTGCGATGAGCCATCTGCAGGGAGTGTTAGGGCAAGTGCCTCTTCTGCCATCTCGGATAACTAGACCAGTGGTTGACTGTTGTAATAGTCATGGGAGACATACCTTGGTGATTCCGGAACACACCACCAGAACAATATTTGGACGATGGGAAATCCTGCCTGGATAATCGATGGTATTCTCCATGTCCAGTCGTCTGTCATATTTCTCTGTGTCCCGTAACATGTCCACGAGGCTAGGATGGCACCTAAATAATACATCGTCCAAAACGCACTGGTGATGCAGGAGTGTTTGTCAGCAAACGATGCACTTGCCATGTGTCCCTTTTCCGGAATGACATACCTTGTATACTTTCCACGATGGGTGGGATATGCCAGCTCCGTAATAAGCATGGGGGCTGGTTGGACTACCAACATCGATCCAATACCGACCAGGACTCGTGAGAATACGAACATGCCATATTGAACAGAGGCAGCCTGGATCGCAGAAGCGGCCACGATGGTGAATGCACCCAATAACAGTGTCAACCGTCGGCCAAGTCGGTCAGAAAGCCATCCAATGACCGGCAGGGACACCACGCTTCCAATGGATTGGGCTGCGTTCACGACACCGAGGATAGAGCCCGTTGGATTTCCGAAATAACTCTTCCATTCGGGAATTGATTGCAAACCGTTCATCAGAGAACCTACAACCCTTAAATTAGTTGCCTTGCATCTCCAGGAGAGCAATCCAGCACGTACCATCGTATCCAGCAACAGCCGATGACAACAAGGGGACCAGAAGAATGAGATTGAGCTTTAGGAGATGCGGTACCCTGAACCAGGGTTTGCCATGCTGGGGTAGAACGGCAGCGAGTGCCTCTCCGACAATATCTTGGTCCTTCATAGTTGGCCTAATAGTTGTGATGTGAAGACAGACATGGATCGGATTTATTTAGTGCGTGCGCGAACTAGTCCGATTTACGGGTATATAAATAAACGGCTGGAGGCTACATCATTGACCAAGACATTGCGTATGGATGGCCCCATCCCCATCCAGCGTCGCTGATACGGCAGACTCAGGGTTGGTCATATCCCGTGACCGGGGCTGAGACTACCCCAGAAAGTTTAACTGGTGGCAGCATGCGGGGGTAAACCGGCTAAAGCATTATTAGTAGAGTTCTTTGAGCCTTTTTCAGTGCCGACAAGAAGCATGGGGCTTGACTCGTGGTTATGGCCGAATCGAGCTTAGAGATGGAACGGACAGGCGGGGCCGTTTCCAACGGACTACCTTGTCCGGTCTCGGGTGATATGGGAGACACCATCCCGACTCCAGTCTTCTCTCGCGTGGGTCATGGAAACGGGATGACGGACAGTGACATGCGAAGTGGGAGACATGGACTCAGAATCCGCGATGGACTTCACAATTCTGGTGGGCATTGTCGTGGACCTTGGGGAATGACGGGGAGTATAAAATATCCTATTGAGACCAGATGGATGTCAAAACATATCACACTTTAGAAAACCAATATTTTTGATTCTGTTGCAACTTTAAGACGCATTCTATCAAAACCTTTCTTATCTTTGACATTAAAATACCTCACAAAATGTCAGCTGCACAGAAGAGTATCCGTTGGCCTAACCCCACGCTGCCGGACAGCGTCTTCAAGATGTTCGATATGCACGGCAAGGTCGTTATCATTACTGGTGGCTCGGGCGGTATCGGCTACCAAGTCGGTCGGGCACTAGCTGAAGCTGGTGCTGATGTTGCCCTTTGGTACAACAACTCCAGCCAGGCCGAAGATCGGGCTGCGACAATTGCCAAGGACTTCGGCGTCAAGTGCAAGGCATACAAGTGCTCGGTCCAGAACTTCGATGAGGTATACAACCAAATTATCATCCTGTCGCACTGCCGTTTTAATGCCCAGCCCACTAACGATGATATTATACAGGTTGAGGCTGCTACCCAGGCTGTTGTCGCAGACTTCGGCCGCCTGGACGTAATGATCGCCAACGCTGGAATCCCCTCCAAGGCAGGCGGTCTTGATGACCGTCTTGAGGACTGGCACCGAGTGGTGGATATCGACTTCTCGGGTGCCTACTACTGCGCACGTGTGGCTGGAGAGATCTTCCGCAAGCAGGGCTCGGGCAACATGATCTTCACTGCGTCCATGTCGGGCCATGCCGCCAACGTCCCTCAACAGCAGGTATGTTTTATTTAATCCCTCGTTACAAGATAGGTCGGCGCAGACAACTGATTGGGTACCCTCTAGGCCTGTTACAACGCATGCAAGGCTGGTGTTATCCACCTGGCTAAGTCATTGGCCGTCGAATGGGCTGGTTTCGCTCGGGTAAACTCCGTCAGCCCTGGATACATCGACACTCCTATCAGCGGCGACTGCCCCTTCGAGATGAAAGAGGAGTGGTACAGCCTGACCCCGCTGAAGCGTGATGCCGATCCCAGAGAGCTTAAGGGTGTCTATCTCTATCTTGCCAGTGATGCAAGCACCTACACCACGGGTTCGGATATCGTTGTCGATGGTGGCTACACTTGCCGGTAGATGTTATGTTTCCTTATCATGACTTGACTTGATTTTTAGAGCATATAGATTTGGTGAAACGGGTTTTTGTTTATGGGTTTCAGTTGAGGCATTTTGGGATGCATTCAATGGTGCCGCTTGTTTTTCGCATCATGTCATTTAGCATGTTGCTACGGCCTATGGCTATGAAATATGAATTATTTCCTACAATACCTTTGATACAACTTGTAACGTATTGTTTTATTCATGCTATATCGTAATCAGATTTAGGAAATTCACTTTGCTTTTGGTACTACGGGTTTCTTTCTGCGCTCGTTATCCTGACGCTACATTGGTTTATGTGCTACTTTAACTTTTGTAAATATATATTCCGGATGTACAGACAGATGCCCACCCCACGAACATGCATACCGCCCAAGTCACTACAACTTCCAAATACGCCTCAAGAACATATAGTGAGATCAATAACTAGAGTCGAAACAATAGAGGCAACAAAAACACTGCCCAATAAAACCATGTCCCCAACAACGTCGGACATAACTTCCAACTTAGACCAAGATCATGACAACGAGTGGAGTACCACCTATCGATCTCAGTTCACATTGACACCAGTACCCCCACAAAACATTCCGTGCGTGCCGAAGGAAACCATGGACTATCTGAATTCGGGACGTGTTGTGTGTCCGTCAGCCCACCGTCCGAGGAGATCTAGCCGAGACGGAGGCCCCATTCCGTTCGGACGGGCTGGGGTCCGGGCCTGGAGTCCGGACCGGTATTCGCGGGCAGTGATGCCCGCCCGGCATTACGTCGATGTGGATGAGTGGGGTTCAGAGCTCATCTCGCGGGGTAGACATGGATCTATGTTGCTGCAGAGTATATATGAGATGGGAAGTGTTCTTTTCGATGAGATGGTTTCTTGTTGAGGAGACTTTTTATTAACTTTTCTGCATTAAGCGCGTCCTTTGGTTTTACGATTCCATATAACGTAGATTCATCATGGCGGTAAGTCATGCACCTTGGGTATTAACATCTGGTTATGGACAACGGTTTGCTAATTTGGCCCTTCGGAGAAATAGCAAGACTCAAACCCCTCCTTCGTCCTGAAGGCTGTTAAGGATGTCGCCTTTGAAGATAGACCAGTTCCCGCACTGCAGGATCCCTGGGATGTCCGCGTCCAGATCGCGCAAACAGGTATCTGCGGGTCTGACGTGCACTACTGGCAAAGAGGAAGAATCGGCGGTAAATAATAAACCAACCATCCACACAGGAACGAAAGTTATCTGATCAATGATATCCAGATTTCATTCTCACAAGCCCCATCGTTCTCGGCCATGAAAGCTCAGGCACCGTCATGGAAGTTGGATCCGCCGTCAAGAACCTGAAGGTGGGCGACCGTGTCGCCATCGAGCCTGGTATTCCATGCAGACAGTACGTGTGCATCATTCATTTGATGGTAGCGATTGGTTTCTGACGAATATTCTAGCTGCGAGTACTGCCACAGTGGCTCGTATAACCTCTGTCCAAATGACCGTTTCGCAGCAACACCTCCCCACGATGGAACGTTGTCAAAATACTACATCACCCAGTCTGACTTCTGTTACCCGATCCCCGACCATATGAACATGGAGGAAGGAGCTATGGTCGAGCCAGTAGCAGTCGCATGCCAGATTACCAAGGTCGGAAATGTAAAGGCGAACCAGAAGATCGTGGTCTTCGGCTGCGGCCCCATTGGTCTCCTCTGCCAGGCTGTCAGTAAGGCGTACGGCGCCAAGAAGGTCATCGGCGTCGATATTAGCAAGTCTCGTGCAGAGTTTGCAAGGACCTTTGGTGCAGACGATGTCTTTGTACCGCCTCCGCCTCCAGCGGATGTGTCCCCCGAGGAGTGGAGTGAGAAGTTGGCCAAGATTATTAAGGAGCAGTTTGACTTGGGCGAGGGCCCGGATGTTGTGCTCGAGGCTACTGGCGCACAGCCTTGTATTCAGACTGGAATACACCTGACGAAGAAGGGTGGTACTTACGTTCAGGCTGGAATGGGACGTGAGGTGAGTGATACCGTGCCAGTGACTGCGACCACAGTCCTTGGAGAACGAAAGCTAACGTAAGGGGCTGTACAGAATGTTATGTTCCCCATTACAACTGCGTGTATTCGTGACTTAACTATCCGCGGCTCTATTCGTTACAGCACTGGTTGCTATTCGACGGCTGTGGACTTGATTGCTAGTGGAAAGGTGGATGTCAAGCGTCTCATTACCAACCGGTATACCTTCGAGGAGGCAGAGCAGGCCTTTGAACTGGTGAGGCAAGGGAAGGAGAGTGTTATTAAAGTGATTATCGAGGGCTACCAGGGCCGGCAGAACAAGATTTAATCCAATTTAACGAACTGTAAAAGTGGAAATGAGAAGTACTTTATTATTTAATTAATTTAGAATTTCCACGTAAAGGGATTCTATCTTGTAGTAATATAAGTATATAAAGATCTATACATACTACTAGTCACTGTTGAACGGCTCTGCCTATACTAGGTTCAACAGGAGAAGTGATCTTGAGCACCCTTCCGCCGTCCATCTTCGGCAAAAACAAGTTAAGTCGGTATAGAGGGCCAGCAACTCCACATATGACCTCGTCGCCCAATTGAACATTTCTCCACAGGGAGAGCATACCGGGATCCTGGCACTCCCGGACGACTGTGATCCGCGTAGCTGAGCATGTGTTGCCTTTTTCAAGGGCCGACTGCACCTAAAAGGGGAACAAGAGCCCTTCACCGGCTTTGACTCTCACTGTTTACTGTAAAGCCTTGATACATCGAGCATAAGTGATTCACTTTACCATCATTCACCAGGTCGAACCAACAGTATGTCACATTCTTGATTGCATGAAAGAGCTATATTGATATAAAGGCAGAAAACATAATTTGCACATTACTTGACTTGCGACGACCTCTATATCACCATGGATGCCGTATACGCACAAGTCGTGGAATCAATATACAGCCGCGCCGTCGTACACGACAAACCCAGATTTCTTGTCGCGATCGCGGGGACCCCTGGTTCTGGAAAGACCACGTTGGCCAATGCTCTCACTGAGCGCCTGAATGCAATGCCGGCAGGCATCCGCCGCCACACAGTATGTGTTCCGATGGATGGCTTCCACCTCTCGCGCGCAGAGCTGGATCAGCTTCCCAACCGGGAGGAGGCCTATGTCCGGCGAGGAGCCCCGTGGACCTTTGACGTGGCGAGGTTCATCGCCTTTGTTCAGAAATTACGCAAGTGGGCAGAGAAGGATACAACTCCTTGCTACAATCAGACTACTCCACCTCCATCTCCCTCCTCTGCAGAGATCTTACATGCTCCCTCATTTGATCATGAGAAGAAGGACCCCGTCACTGACGGCATTAGCATCACCCCAGACACATCAATCCTCATCCTGGAGGGTAACTACTTGCTGTTAGACGAGCCTCAGTGGCGGGATGTGGCTTCGATAGTTGACTATCGTATCTTCGTGGAGGCAGATCTACAGATAGCTAGGGAGCGGGTTGCCAAGCGACATGTTCAAGCGGGGATCGAACCAACTCTTGAGGATGGCTTTAGAAGGGTGGATCAGAACGACTTCCTCAACGCCCAGACTATTTCTGAAAAGCGCCTCCCGGCTGACCTGGTCGTTAACGGTACACCGGAACATGCGACTAAGGACTGAGGATCCTTTCTCCTTGGAGTTAAGAAACACATAGAGATTTGAAGCAATAGTCATATTAATTGACGACCTTCAGAATGAGTGGATTGATATTGTATATATGCTTCCGAAGATCGTAAATGACTGGCATTTCTGTCTAGACTGCTGATTAGATAACGCATGATAATGGGTTGAGTTGTTCTGTAGAGTTGGTGGATCTCGTGAGAAACTTGTCCCTGGGCATGACTCGGCACTTGACCAGAAATCCGGGGGTTTTCCGATGGCCGGATACGGAGCCCCGCCCACATCACATTTCCCCCGGTTTCCCAACCGAGACTGTGGGGTCATTTCCAACTTCCTCGTCAATCGAGGGGAATTTCTCGTTGTCGTGGTGCCACGTGATACGCGTCCACGCACTTGGGAGAAGGCCCAAATTCACTTCTCCGGAGTCAAAGTTAAGGGTGCCTAGCCGACGGACACCAAGTCCGGGGACGCGCTATAATCCCCAACGCTGCTTGAAAGCCGGGGTTGGGTGGCTGATGACTCAGGAGTCAGGGCTACACGTGGCGATTGATATCGAAGCTCTTGCGCAAAAATGGATCAAGGCACGGGCGTACGGGGGATGCTGAACATATCCAATCACGGCCCCGCCAAACATGCGTGTCGGGAATGCCGACGACGCAAATCTAAAGTAGGTCGACGATGATTAAATCCGTCCCCCTTTCTCAGCCATTGCCGCGGCCCAAAGATCGCGGCGGCAGACCGGACTCCTGCATAGCAATAATCTAAACTCGTGCTAGTGCGATCGTCTCGTGCCAAGTTGCTCCCTATGTGACAAGTTCAATCGGCGTTGCATTTACGAAACCTTATCGAAGACACCCTTAACCAGACAATATTTGACGGAGGTCGAGGAGGAACTGACGCGGACTAAAGCCCTGCTCTCTGAGCTTCTCCCCGGGTCCAGCCGTGACATTACCCATGGCGAACGATTTACTTACCCTGAGCAGGATAGGACCGGCGACCGGGGTCTGACGTCCGAGATCGCTAATCGTGAGGGATCATCAGAGCAGCCGGAGAGAGCCTATCTACCCCACAGCAATATCGGATCCGAGACGATTCCTGCCCCGGAGGTCCCCAGCCAACCCTCGCTGGGTGTCTTCAGCGCTTCTTCACCCAGTAGTGGCCAGCTTTACGATTACTCGGATAGGAGCCAGACAGGGATCTCCCACCGGGCTCATCGCCGAAGCCAGGACGCTGTAATGTCTATGGAGACGCCCCCTTCCGCGGGGAATGTCAATTTCGAATGGGACGAACGCACTGAGGACCAGGGTGGCGATGGGTTTGTGGATGGCATGGCCATTCTACCTAGTCGTTCTAATGACGGTGGCTATTTAGGTATGCTTTTCGGACCCAGAATTTACGAATACCATCTCTAGAATTAGATGACTGACTCCCGCTGAAGGCACCGCATCTGGTGCTGCATTACTGCGAATGACAAACTCCCAATCTGGTGGGGAAAGGCTTGACATGCCTGAGCCTGGTCGCCCATTTGAAACAGCATCTTCCCATCAGTCACCAAGCGTCCCTTTCGCCCTGAGCTCTCTGTCTCAACTAGAACCATTTGTCGATGCTTACTTCTCCCTTTATCATTGCTCATATCCTATCATCCATGAAGCGACATTCCGTGCGCAGTTCATGGAGGTCATTCCACGGCCAACCAGCAACACCTGGCAGGTACTATTATACGTGGTAGCAGCCTTGGGAGCTTTTACAGCTGCAGTAACGCCGACTGATGTGGATTTGGCTTTGTTTAAGGTGGCAAAGGCTCGCTTAACAATTGATGTACTGGAAACTGGCAGCTTAATCTTAGTTCAAGCATTGGCCTTGAGCTCAAACTACTTGCAAAAGAGGAACAAGCCAAACTCTGGGTATAATTATCTTGGGCTTGCCAGGCGGACTGCAATGGGGATCGGGTTGCATAAAGAGTTTCCCACTTCGAAAGCCTCTCCGCTGGCAATGGAGATGAGACGGAGAGTTTGGTACTGTCTCTACATCTTTGATGTTGGCGCAATCATCACCTTCTCGCGGCCCTTAGAATTTCCAGAGCAGGGAATCGAGACTCGCCTGCCATTAAACATCCATGAAAGTGTAAGTGTTCAGTTGCTTACGATCTAGCGAGTCGAATGCTAATATCTGTGCAGGGTATTACTGCAAGCACACAGACTGCCCCAGCCCCAGTGGCTGAAACTACTGTGTACACACATTTACGGGCGCAAGCGATGTTCCATCTGAAAACAAACCTGATCTACACCAAGATCACCTCGACCTCATTCCCATCTGCGGCTGAACTAATCGAACTAGATGACCATCTCATTGGCGACTGGTTGGCATCTCTTCCTCCCTTTTTTAACGAGGAGGTCATCCAGGCGCCGAAATTTGCTCTCTGCCATTCCATCCTGCGATGGAGGTATCGCAATCTCCGAATCCTGATGTACCGGCCGTTTCTAGTAGGAAAATGGATGCTCAACTCCGACCATGGCCCGGATGGCCTCCGTGAGAAAGATGATACGCAGGTAGAACTTGCCATCCAACGATGCTTTGATGCCGCCCGCGAATCGGTCGAGCTTATCTCATCATTCTGGGCACAATATCAGAAAACAACTATGGCTTGCTGGTATGGTGTATACTTCTTGTTCCAAGCGATCTTGATCCCTGTGATTTGCTTGCGCAACAATCCGTCAGATCCGGCCGCCCATGGCTGGCGCGAACAGATATTCCAGGCAGTCAATACCCTCGAGTCAATGGCGCCACTCAATGCCAACGCTGAACGATTTCTTAGAGTCATTCAATCTCTCTGTGGTTGCTATCTCCATCCTCGCAGCAATGGCTGGGAGGGCCCAATCCAAGAATCACCAGAGACACAGATCGCTAACCTATACCCTCTTATGTGGCCAACGTTAGAGATGGCACAGCTTGATGGTGTAGATTCTGCTCTGTGAGTTGTCTCTTGAGACGGAATATCCACCCAGGATGGACAATCTGACCCTCCTTCTCAGGCAGCAATCTGTGATCAGCGACTTCATGCACCAGGTGACTGGTCTGCAATGACTCTGATACAACCTTTACGACGGAGCTTTACCTGAAGCCGGTCTATTCGTTATGGCCAAATGACGACAGAGGATACCGGTCTATCATACTGCTGGTATGCATTCCATTGGTTCTTTTTGACATTCATATACTTAACATTCATTAACTGGAAATAATTAGGGAAGGGTATATCCACCATCGATCACTAAGTTCGCTCCTGTCATATAGCTCGACGCGTCCGACGCACAGAATACGTATGCCTATAGGAATTCTTGGTTAGCGAGAGGAGCTACAACATATCACCATGGAATGGAACATCTTACCCCCTTCAACTCGTACGTTCCAGCCATTCTGCGGGCTGGGATCATGCTGAGCCACTTTTCACGCAGCTCTGGCGGGTGATGATCCAAGATTTCAGTCGCGACAAAACCCGGGGAGATGCAGTTCACCCGGCAGAAGTCTACCCACTCGACCGAGAGACATTTAGCCAGCTGAACAACTCCAGCCTTCGAGGCATTATACTGTGGCGATAACTGTCAGAAAGGGATCCTGGAAAATCTAGCACCAACCAGGTGCCGGGTCACGTATGCTCAACTTACCGCGGCTTGCTTCTGAGGCACATTCACCAGCGCGGCGCTCACAGATGCGGTAAAGACAATGTTACCGAATCCCTGTTCCTTGAACACTCGAGCAGCAGCCTGGGCTGTGTAGAACGCGCCGTCCAAATTCACATTCATGATTTGCTGCCACTGTTCGGTGGTATAATCCTCAGCGGCGACTGCGGTGGCGATGCCGGAGTTGGCGACCATGATGTCTAGCTTGCCAAAGTCGCGAACAATTTGCTGGACAGCCGCTTCGATCTCCTTCTGATTGCCTACATTGGCCTGGTACGCAGTAACCCTCACGTTGTGGGCCTGTGCAATAGAAGCCGCCGTGCTCTCGGCTGTGCTGGAAGAGTTATAGATAATCGCGACCTATTGAAGGATAACCCATCAATCCACTTTCGTTCTCAATAGCTGGACCCTTAGATACGCGAATACCTACATCGGCACCAGCCTCCGCCAACCCATTCGTAATCTCCAACCCAATACCCCTTGTGCCACCTAGAATTCAAATCAAACTCATCAGTATCATCAACGTAAGAAATAGACCACCCAAGCCCCAACTTACCGGTGACAATAGCCACTTTCCCCTTCAGGCTGAACGCCTGCATAACATGCTTGTTTTCGGGCTGTGCAAGAACCATATTGCCAATCTTCGAGTATACTGCTCGTTGAAAATCTAAAAACACTTTGAACAACAAATCAACCAAGAGAAGTCCAAGTGGATATCCTTCGTATATTCAACCCGTTTATATACTGCACCGCACATCCCATTCGAAACTTACCCTCAGAAAAAGAATATATATACCACCTAACTGCGGAGTCTTGCTGCAGTAATCCTCGCGGCGGTTCCACTCCATATCGGCATAGTATATTATGGGCCCCGGTATCAGCCCTCCGCCCGGAGACCCCGCTCCGTGGAAATGTGGGGTTCGGAGGAAGGGTCCGTGATTTATCCTTCTACGATCACTGTACTTAGACCAGCAGGGGCCGGGGTTCAGTTCATTAGTGGGCCTTGTTGCATCATTGTACATGTGTATGAAGTTGATCCTATCATTGTAGCACTGCACTTCTTGGTGGCCAGGGAATTCCGTTGTCGCCTCCTACAAACACCTCTGACCCGTGCAAGATTCATCATGGTATAACAAGCATTTGCCTTTGCCCTAGCAACATCTATTTAAGGCATGTGTGCGTATTTGTTTGAAGCAAGTAGAACCTAGACAGGAACCATGTTCTGGTTTATCTTCAGGTAAAATATTCATAGCTTCATTGGCAGGCTCGCAAGGGTAAGGCTCGCACGTCCAGAGTCGCAGTGATCCTGGTTACTCTGCTATAGTTCCACTGGTTCATGGGATCCCAGTCCTACTCCCAGCTGAACATAGGAATTGACGAGGGCGTTTCAATAGGATGCAGTGAGAGTTGGTGGTACTCGTGGATGTCCGATTGGAAGGGCAGCCTCAGAGCGAGGCTTCCATGATGCTATGACCATGTTTTAGGTACATTATTCAGATAATAACAGATACTTATTCACAAGCATAGTAGACTATATACTCAATGTATAGACGTCTTTCCCTAGCTACTTCCCTCCTTCCATGTGAACCCTTGGTAAGCGAAGCATACCGCCACTATCAATGCCACCAAGGCGAATTACCCAGTGTGGTTCCTACATACTCGCAACGACACTGATACTTACTAATGGTAGGTGGCAGGATGAGCTTTAGAAAGAAGATTAACACTCAATTTAGAGCCTCATCCATTCAGAAACGCTGCCAATAATGCGCTTCCTGCTGTCTGCTGCCTGGTGCAGTAGATCCACCATTTCCGAGACTTGTTACGCAGTTTATGTTCTATGTAGAGTTACTCGCCTGATGCTCACGTAATGATATGTACTGAAGACAAATATGGGTAGGTTTCACGTCCTCCATTGACATGGGATGATATTGGGAGTCCATAAGGCCAGTTCGTGACGGCCGTAGCGTTGTCGAAGGGTTAAGGGCGCCCTCCTTATCGCTCGTTGCGCATCCGGACTCATGTGGACATAGATAATGCACATGACCAGTGTTGCAACCTTGCTTCTCAACGCCCTCGTTTCACGCACAGCCTTTGTATAAACAGAACCCGGGTAAGTTAGAATCTTTCTGGCCCATTCGGTACAGCATAAAACGTATGCTAGAGGCCTAATTGGGCTCGATAAACTACATTCCGCACGGAAAGCAAACAAGGACATCCTTACCCAATCCCTCTCAACGCCAACAATCACACCCAATCATCCGTCTAATGTCTAAGCCTTGATGTTAACAAGTTCGTCTGCATGACTCTTCTCCCAAGGATAATCTGTCTCCACCGCCCGAATAAGCTCCTCGTGCATCGAGCTCCGAGGCTTGATGCTCACGTCATATGGCTCTGGATGACTGATGAGCGCAGCCTGAAATTCTACACGGGGCTCGACTTCCTTCCCATCAACGACTTTCTTCCGAATGCTGAAGGCTGCCAGGCATTGTGCAATATTAAGATAGATGGCCGCATCCGCCATAACGCGACCTGGACAGATTCTTCGGCCAAATCCGAAGGAGAGCCGATGCGAGTCGGGCTCGGGGTTTTCGCCCAGGTAGCGTTCCGGCTTGAATGCCATAGGGTCGTGAAAGACGTCTGGATCATGTGTGAAACCCCTGTTGTGAGTAGTATATTAGACATCATAGAGTATAAGTGGAATGGGCTCGACGAACCAAATGTTAGCGAAAAATATGGAGCCCTTTGGGATGAAATATCCTTGACACATATCGTCGTGGGTAGATACGTGAGGCAGGTTGGTAGGCACCACTGGGTGCCAGCGGAGGATCTCCTTCACCATGGCGTTGATGTAAGGGAGATTATCGCGGTCAGCAAAGGTGGGAAGACGGTTTCCAATGACACGATCGATCTCCTCTTGGCCCTTCCTCTGAGCCTCAGGATACAGCGCCATCGCGAGGAAGAAACATGCTATCGTGGACACTGTCTATACTCCGGTTAGCTGGCACTCTGGTAAACCTTTGCATTGAACTGGTACGTACCGTGTCCGCACCGCCAGCATAAATCGATGCTGCAGACCATTTCGTCACGTATTCCTTCTCGGAGCCAGGTTCGATATCTTCGGATTCTAGAATGCTTGACAGATATGACGGATGGTGTGTGCCTTGGGACATTTGTTGCTTCACGAAGTTATACGGCTTCCCCCCGAAGTTTTGAAAAGCTTCTTTAGACCTCTGGCCTACGCGTTTGAACTCGGTCCCTGGGAACCAAGAAGGAAGATATCTCACTAGGATGGCAGTTAGTACAGATTCACAGTAAGGCTGGCAAGGCAACGACCATACGACTTGGAATAACATCCACCAGCCAAGCTCCATAGCGACAAACGAACGAAAAGTAGTACATTGACACATCTGCCAACTCAACCAACGGATCCTCTTTGTGCGGCTCGACAGTGTACCCGTATGCAAGTTTGAGAACAATCGCACCAGCCTCTCTACAAATCTTGTGAGCCAAATCAACGTCCACAAAGACAATAGCCTCTTCAACCTACTTCCGAATATGATTTCTCAGATCCTCCGGCGCCTCAAGCACCCGTAAGAGAAAGCGACGCGTTTCAGCCTCCTGAAGCCCGTGAAAACGAGAAACAGCCACCTTCGATCCAATCTCCTTGCTCATGGCCTTCTGAATTGCCTTAGAGCGGTCAGAATACCGGATCATTCCCAGGATTCCTCCGATTCCCGCCCTGCATTCTTGTTAACGGATCGTGATGGACGAGGAATAATATATTGTTGAACATACAATTCGGTCGCAAAGAACATCCGGGGTCTGTCAGAATGCCATTTGGACCGCTGTTCAAAAAGCTCTACTGCGAGCTTTGGGTCATTTAGAATGACAAACGTTTGACCTAGCACAGTTATGGAGCTAATTGGCCCTGTGCGAATGTCCACGTTAGTTGTGCTATTATGAAAGTATCTGAGTTAGTGTGAATTTACCATATAGCTTTTTGTGCTTCAGCCAGTGCTCCCAGTCCCTCGCTCCATTTGGAGGGAGGTCCTTCAAGTTACCGATAATTGGTTTGGGCGGAGGTCCGGGTGGGAGAGGCGCTGGAGTTTTTTTAAATGTAAGGAATCTAGTCACAATGTATACAGTGAGCACTCCAATTGCAATGGTGCTCCAATGCTGAAAGACCATATTAGCTTTGATATGTGTCAAAGCTGAGGGAGACTTTCAGATGATCAGAGGCATAAGATTACTTTAGTCGGGGCGCTGAAAATTCACATTTCGGAAACGGTCTAAAATCACACCTACCACTGTTTAAATACTTGGAAGTACTGCACAAAAGTGTGGCAAAGTGATGTGAGGGGTGGCAGGAATGCTGGTATGCATATGCAGCTAGGTATAGGTGCCCCTATTATCATGATGCCTGGACAGGGTATCATCGGGCTGATAATTGGTGGCCCTCGCACGCTTGTGACTTCACACATCGTAGATCATCACCACAACTGTACAAAACCATGTGCACCCTTCTTCAGGAAGGTACTTCCCAAAAGATATCCATGAGAGTCAGTTTAAGTAAGGCAAGTTATGACCTTGATGCAAGAGGTGAACCAGTTGTGTGGTGATCGTCAAGTTGACTTTTATGAGGGAATCAGCTCTCTCACATGCGGAAGGAAAACGCGAGAGAGACTGAAAGGATCTCGTTTAGTGACCTGCAGGGTACAGGTACCCTTTAGATAGGCTCCGCCAAAGCGAAAAAAAATAAAAAAAAGTAAATTAAATTAAGTAAAGCAACGACAGGGTGTTGGATGCTGCAGGTATATGCGGGATACGTGTCGGTGCGGATAGCCCTAACTAACGTGCTTTTCAGCTGAAAGTGGGGGTATTTTCCTGAGTTGAATAAGTCACCACCATTGGTTCTTGAGTATGGTTACATCGCGCTACATGCATGAAGACAAGTGGGACTTTGAAACTGGACGGCCATAGACATGCTAAGTTGGACAGTTTTGAGATCTGACTATTGGTAATAGCAACCCTCAATTTGGCACGGCATTGGCCAGCACCGATTAACCTAATTTTACGGCAGTATCTTATCAAGGCTTCATGTACAAAGTAGTTCGCCCATATATATTTACACCAGTATTAGTCCACGGAACTGCACCATTTTAAATCGACTTTTAAGACGATTTGGACGTGGCGATTCGTCAGTGGGTCCGTACAGGGATGTTCAACACTAGTCTATGAGGTGCGACAAAAGTTGCTACTTATGTAACAGCTATCCCCACCTGGTGGATTGCAGTTTAAGATGATAATAGTACTACTACGTATCCTTGGAGCTACTCGGAGTAGTCATTTAATTAACACCTTCCCCTGCTGGAGAAGCCTAGGTGAAAATTATAGCCATAAGTAGACCGCTTCCATAAATACTCAGCAGGAATTGAGTCAAGCAAAATGTGCGAGGTACTATACAACACTGATTTAATCCGTGGCAAGAGGTTACCGCTCTATTTTGACCAGGGCCATCACACGTCGTCATAATCCCTGCCAGTTAGCTTCGTAGTTGATCCTTTCGTGTACTCTATCCATGTCCCTTTAAAATAGAGGCCATTAAATTCAGCATAGGTGAGCTCTTCAGGAGCCCACGCCTCCACTTAGTATATTGTAATTCCTCCACTATGAGAGATATATTCTTTCTACTCTATTACCTCAGGCCCAGGAGCCTCCAATTGTGTCATGGCTTGGAGGTTGTCTATGCCCATCTAATTCTCCATGGAGGGTCAAAGGGTCTGTTGATTTTAAATTGACACTTCATTGATAGTGGGAGAAGGAAGAGAAGCACCGCTATGTCTCAATAGTATCTACTACCTGCCTTCAGTTCTCCTACATATATCAGGTGACTATTCTGTATTTCCTAGCGCATCTATGCAACATCGCCCTCAATCCACCCAAGAGCCTGCTGGGAGTAAAGCTACAATGCTGCTTCGGCGAACCGGTTTGTCAGACGAGCCTCTTTCCCCTCAACTCAAGCAAGCTATACAGCAGAGCACACCTAGGCAGCTTGATTTTCCATTCTTTCCTTGATGGAAACAAGGAATTCTGCTGTGTCCTTTTCCGATGGCATCCATTCCTTCTCAATCACACACTGGTGTTTGGGGCTGAGAACCTGAAATGATACTCTGAAAGGCATTGGCCCAGAAGTTACGCCGTCCGCCATTGCCCAAGGGTCAATACCTTCTTGCGTGTCATCATCATGAGGACGTACAATATTATCGCCCCATATGACACGAGAGATGATAATAAAGAGGGAATCGCGTGTAAGGTGCTCTCCAGAGCATGATCGTCTGCCAAACTCAAAGGCATTTCGGGGCAGATTTGGATTCTGTAGCCATCGTTCTGGCTGAAAGTCGTATGGGTCTTCGAAGATTTTGTCGTCGAATTCTAATGACCAATGGTTTGCAACTACTGTCGCTCCCTTCGGAATTCTATATCCAATATACTTGTCATCCTCTAGAGCAGAATGCGGAATCCCTGCAGGGCTTGCTGGCCTCCATCACAGGACCTCATCTACGAACCCAGCCGTATATGGGAGTGTTGGAAGGTCCTCAGATGTGGGCATTCGGTCCTGTCCTACCATTTCGTCAAGCTCCTCCTGGGCTCGCTTCACAGCAGCTGGATGCAAAGCACCCGCTAAAATGAACACTTCCAGTGTCTTGACGGTTGTCTCAAGTGTCACCTCGTATAGGATCCTAATTATGTAACTGAGCTCAGTCAACGGTAACTGCTGCGCCTCTTTTAGGGCGAAGATGACCTTGGCCCAGTTCCATGTGTGATCGGCCTGAGCCGCCTTGGCTTTCTCTGTAAAGATTGCCACAGCCTTGTTATGGATGGTGTCACCGGTTTGCTTCCACCTCGCTAGTCTCTTAGGAAGATAGTTCAATATTGGAAAGACTTCTACAAGTAGGTTAGGTATTGCATGAACTGCTGATAGCGTCTTCGCGAATACTCCTTCGATTTCTTCAATTTCGTGCCGGTCATCGCTTGTCATCTACTTCCCATAAGCTAAAGCGACAGTCAGGCTTGATGTATAAAATTTGAAGGCTTTAGTGAAGTCATTGGATGACAAAAAGTGGTGGAGGAGTTTGCTTTTAACGTCTTTTAGCGGATGATAGTATTTGCACGTTCTAGCATTCAGGATAGACGCTAGTATGCGTCGATGACTTTTCCAGCGTGGGCCCATACGGTATTAGTCCAATGTGAAGCCCGTTATTCACACCCTCGTTCGCGACTATCAGGCGAGGTCGTGAACTGTATATCCGGCCTCGGATCTTAAGTAGATCTGTTGCTGCTCCACGGGAGCCGAGAACGATTCTTATTCGTTGTCCAAATTTCGGAGTAATGACTGGCCCATATATCTTGTGCCATTCCTGGAATGTTTTCCACGGGTTTTTAGCTGGTGGTCTCTCCTGTGATCTTGTCAAAATAATTTGTTGACTGGGCATTCGATTCTCTCCAACAAGAAGCAGAATCAGGCAAAGTGTATGTAGAAGTTGCACTCCCAAGGGGCCTTGTACTCTTGTGGTACTGCATGGAACATGGATGAGCTGTGATGGCGAGCTGTGATGGCAGTTAATGATATGGCGCTAGTAAACGACAGAAAGACATGGCATTGTGTTTGGAACTAACTTGTCTTGTACTGTGGATGTACTGTAGTGGGTCTTCCCGCCTTGACGTAATACTGCAGCAGTAAGATTTTGACAGTACGCTGCTGGCGCTGTTTGCTTCAAGTAGACGCTACCCATCTACACACCCTAGGTAGGTATAGAGAGACAAGATATATACTAGTACTGGGATGGAATTGTCCCATAGGATATCTATCCAATAGGTGACATTATTATCCTTCATTCAATATCAAATCATATTTAATATAGACTAGACATACCTTGCATCTGCTGTTTTTAAATAATTCTTAATCATGTGCAGCATGCATATAACAGCATAAAGGATGCCAGCCCTAATGCAGCGTATCCTAAGTGGCATCCTGGGTGTATTCCATCGGACAATGAGTTTGAGGAGGAGGTGCGGTTAATCCTAGAGCAGGTTATGAATGTTATTGATTGATTTCTCTTCTTTTTCTTTTGTTTTTTTTTTTTTCTTTTTGACAATGTAGTGTTCTTTGGTTTCAAAGGCACTAGGACCGTGTAGGTGGTACGGTTCGCCAGTATCCTGACAGCTCCTCACAAGCTGGTCCAATCCAACCTGTGGGAAATGCCTGGAATGAGGATATTGGCCGGAACGAGACTCAAGAGTGTTTGATCAGGAGACAAAAGGTGGATCCACACGTTTAAAGATACATAAAGGAGATGGGATTCGATAGATGATACGATTGTATGCAGTGTCCAGTCAAGTTTACCAGATCGGGAATCCGAGGTAGAAATAGGCGGACTTCCCATAAAACATAGTCACATTGTGAACGGTTACTCGTACATCCTACCTAAGATATTATATCATCCAGTTTATATTAAATTCTAGCAGCATCAAATTCACTTATCCAGTCGTGGGGTATACGTATCGAGCACCAGAACGAGGTACAGGTATAGAAGTATACAACAAAGATAAATATATAGTGGGTGTTCGCGTAGTATAGGGCCTTTTCGGCTCGGAGCGGATAAAGCATGATTGTTTAGTCAAACATTACCCTGTCCTAGATATATAGACTAGTGTTCCGTCCATTAGTTCATTCACCAGTATTGGCAAGCATATGACACCCAAGGGAAAGGGGTCCCTACTAGTATTGCGGTCACGGTGTTGAGTTGATGTTCTGTCGGAGCGGTGGATCAACCAATCAGCTGGCGGCCCGCATTCTACCCTGCGACCAAAAATTTCCAGCGGCAGGTGGAAGTGAAGCTCCCTCGATACTGGTTACCTCTGCTTTCCTCTACTCCATCCTCCGTCCCGGTGTTCCTTTCCTGAACATATCTACCCCGTATATACAACAAAGTTGGCCTACTGTTCCGTCCTGTTCTTCGAATCCACACAATGGTCGGACCGACAGCCTCCCTTACTCCTCTTTCTCGCGCGGATGGTTCGGCTTCTTACCAATGTCCTTCGACGGGATCTAATATCCTCGGAGCAGTAAATGCGCCAATTGAGCTCCCTGGCCGCCGGGATGCCCTCAAGCCCGAGGATGCGACCGTGGAAGTTTTCGTGAAGCCGGGGACCGCACCGGGTGGGGTTGGTGAACGATACGTCGAAGGAATCATCAAGAATATGCTGAGCAAGTTGATCCTGGGACGAGAGAAAGGCTACGCTAGGCGTGGCGTGGTCATCACCTTGGCTATTATAGGAGGAGAGAGTGTCGGTAGAGGTGATTCGGTGGGTGGTTCAGATCGCAACCAAGTTTGACTAGCACAAGGAATTACGGCTAACCTGGATGGAATGGGCATGTAGTACTTGACGTTGCTCCCCGCCCTCCTCCACACGTCTTTGTTGGCGCTACTTTCTGCCTCCGTCCCCTTATCCATGACCTACTCCGCGACCGTGCTGGCGGTCGATGCTTCAGGAGAGATCACGAGGGAACCCTCCGTGAAGGAAGCCGCCGCCGCCGCCTCTCTTCACGTTTTCGCCTTCTCATCCAATGGGCATCTCCTACTGAACGAGAGCCAGGGGCCTTTTGACTTTGAGACCTGGGAAAAGGTCCACCAGCGCGCTTTGGCCATCTGCCATGGGACTTTAGCCCGTACCTCCGATGGAGACGTGGCTATGACCGAGGACGTGGATGGCCAGCCCCTGGAAGGCGCGTTGCGCGAGGCGATGGAAGAAAAAGTTCAACAAGATTACTCCTGGAAGATCGACGCGGCTTGAATGTTAGGTTTGCAGTAAAAACACCGAGCAATAAAGTTGGCATTGATAGCCAACGGCAATGTTCACCCCATCTGGTATGTCCGCGTACCCACGGCGGTTGATGCACCGGAAATCTCCCACAATCATTTTCACTTCTCGCCATGGCCCATTGCCCCTTGGCATCTGACTTGTGTGTTGGATCGCACATACGCGGGGCATTTTACCGTCCGCAGGGATATCATTGGCGCTCACAGGACTTCCAATTTGACGGACTACGAGTGGATACGAAGGCATGAGATACGAATAAGGGTCAAGCGTCGAGACGCGCGAAACCTTTTCTGGCGACATCCGGTGCTTATCGGGGTTCACCTACAGACACTACTGCACACAAATCCATCTGGTGTATTTACACACGTACGACGCTAAGGAAGTTGTCCAACTAAACCACATGATAGAGCAGTCTCGAGTGGGTAATACCGAATTGAAATGTTGTCGGCGTTGAGTTTTGTTTTGGTGTAAGTGGAGCGTGTGATATGATATGTGTCTGGACCCTGTATTTTGTAATTACCCGTTCTCATGCGTAGCGACTGTAGGACTTTGGTCCTCTCCAGAGTGAGTGGGAAAAGCGGTATGATAAAAAAAAGGGACAGGGGAAAAAAAGAAAAAAAAAAAAAAAAAGAGAGAGAGAGAGAAGGAAGGAATGGGAAATAATCCGCCAATTATTGACTAGGATTCACGCAGCTGAAGTGACGCCCCCTTGCAGGTAATGGTGTAATCGTGTCATGGCGCAACGAATTGAGTGTGTGTGAAGAATGCTTCGCAAGAAGAAACACACACACACACCACCTGGAAGAAGCAAGCTGGAAGGGCCGAGTAATCATGGAAAATGATTATCAATTCTTGAATACGGCGAGGTTTACTCCGGAAGACCGAAGCCAATGAATCATCACGCGACGGAATTAACCTAGCGGTGCGGAGATAAGTCAGGAGTTTGTTCGTTAATTAAACCAGTGGGACTACAAACCACGACGACTCAGAACTGCGAAAAGGGACCATGGAAGCCCATCGAAGGGGATGTCACCAATCCCAATGACTTCCGACTCCCGGGCCGCATTTCTTCCCTTTTAACTGTGTCCCCATAACTCCATCATCCCAGGCAAATCATTGCGCTTCTGGTCTTTTTATCCTGTTCCCCCTCCCCACACTATCGTCCGGAGGAATCTCACATAAATCTGTCCGGTTGTCCATGGCGTCCCCGGCGTCCAACCATGATCTAGCGAAGTCGTCGACATGCACTGATATTCCTGTCTCTAATTCCACGGCGCTGTCTGCTCCGGTGTCTTCCCCATCACCCTCGTCCTCCGCCCCGCGGTCCGATCCCGATCGTCCTTCTTCCTCCACGTCCACCATCACAGCCGGAACCTCCCTCCTTCGCGATTATGCATGCCACATAGACCCGTCGCAGACCCCGAACGACGTCCCTGCGAGCGATCATCACCGCCCGAGCGCCCCTACCCGTGCTTCGCAGAAGGCTGACCCCCGGGACGACGCCGCTGTCTTATCGTTACCCTCTTCGCCCTTCCTTCCTCTCCGCTCCGCTGCTTCGCTGAAGGCCCACAACCGGAACGCCCTCTCCACTGACTCAATCCCCCGACAGACGATCATGAAAGCGCTTGCATCCCGTCCGTCCATATCCAACCATAATAATCCCAACGTGCCGCTGGCGGCGTCCCTCGGGCTTCTCACCAATAGCGCTTCCTCGAGTCCCCCGGATGAGAAGGAGCGTCGCGCCAGTAATCCATCCTCACAGAAACTCTCCGCCGCGCTATCCAACCTGCAGCTTGGCCCGTATCTGGATCGCCTGCCCCCGACCGCACGGTTGGCGATGCAATCGCCCTGCTTCTTCCATCAACGGTTTGACGATGCCGTAAACATCCAGAAGGTTCTCGAGGAGATCACGGACGACGAATGGCTATCACACTCTCGCTTGGTTCAGACGGCGACGGGTGTTCGGGAGGTGTCGAAGCAGCTGCAGCGTCGACCGATCAAACGTGCCGTACGCAATGTCATGATTGTCACCAAGGCGCGTGATAATAGCTTGGTACACTTGACACGCGAACTGGCCGAGTGGCTTCTCTCTACTCCCCGGTATGGAAGTGAGCTCGGTGTCAATGTGTATGTGGACGCCAAATTACGGAATTCCAAGCGCTTTGACGCGCCGGGGCTTCTGCAGATGGAACCTCGATTCGAAAAGATGCTGCATTACTGGACTCCAGATCTCTGCTGGGAATCCCCGGAGAAGTTCGATCTGGTACTGACCTTGGGGGGAGATGGGACGGTCCTCTTTACCTCGTGGCTCTTCCAACGGATAGTTCCTCCCGTTCTGTGCTTTTCTCTGGGTAGCTTGGGGTTCTTGACGAACTTTGAGTTCGAGAATTACAAGCAGCATTTGAACGCGGTTATGGGGGATGTAGGGATGCGGGTGAATCTTCGCATGCGGTTCACATGCACCGTGTTCCGAAAGGACCGACGCAAGGAAGCTGAGGCCGGGGCTGTGGAAGAAGGTGAACAGTTTGAGGTTCTGAACGAACTGGTTATAGACCGTGGGCCGTCACCTTATGTGTCCAATCTGGAGCTATACGCGGACAATGATTTCCTGACGGTGGTTCAGGCGGATGGGTGTATTCTATCTACTCCAACTGGTAAGTTACCTCCACCGGCTCGGATATACACAAAACTAATGCCATACAGGATCTACCGCCTACTCTCTTTCCGCTGGGGGATCGTTGATCCATCCTTCCATTCCAGGCATCCTCCTGACGCCGATTTGCCCTCATACACTTTCCTTCCGCCCGATGGTTCTCTCGGATTCGATGCTACTTCGCATCGCCGTTCCCGCCGGGTCCCGCTCCACAGCGTACTGCTCCTTCGATGGCAAAGGACGTGTGGAGCTTCGCCAAGGCGACTATGTCACCGTCGAAGCTAGTCAGTACCCATTCCCCACTGTGGTATCCGGCAGCGGAGAATGGTTTCAAAGCGTTCAGCGCGCGCTGCGGTGGAATACCCGCGGGGCTGTTCAGAAGAGCTTCTACCGTGGCTCGGAGGCCGGCCTAGAAGGGCTCGACGAGGACGAAGACGAAGAATGGGACATTGACACCGATGCCGGAGCCGCCGGCACGGACAGCGGCATTGGACCGAGTGAAGACGGCGACGCCGGGTCGATGAGTCCGATGAAACGGCAAATGAGCATGCTTAGCATGTAGCCGCTTCGATATTGATCTATTTTCTCTTTTTGGGTACTTACATTTGGCCTTGTATTACTGTTGGATACGCGCACTAGAAGTGTGCTGGAAGCATCATGGGATTTACTGGCTTGGCGCTCGGATATTACATTTTTTTTGGGGATTTGCTTGCACATTTATTTTGGCGACAGCGATAGACTTCGTTATAATCGGCAGCACAGGCAGGTTAGAGCATTTCGGATACTTACAGTGATCTACATATGATAGACAGCTATTAGATCAACGGATCTTATTCAGCGATTGGCATATTCGAAGGATCAGCAGCGCGTAAGACGTAGTGTACGCCATCCCCATCATTCGTACCTTGTCTACACTATATCTCCAACCCTCCGCCCGGTTGAACCACTCAACACACCACATCAATTAATACTTTCCATTATATGTAACACCATAACCAAATCCATCAAAATCAATATACACCTACCGACAATCCAATCCCGATCGATCCGCAAAAGAACAAGCCCTACCAATCACAAGCCTCCGCCAAAAGCTTGGCCAAGTCCTCCAAATACTTCTGATCAACCTCATCAAACCCATTGGGCTCCGTACAATCAACATCAATAATCGCAACAGTCTACATGAGTGATAACCACATTAGCATCCTACCCCCCCCCTAAGAACTCAAACCAAGCAAATCAAACCAAACCAAACCAGAGAAACGAAAGAAAAGAAAAAGAGAAACATACCTCCCCACCCACCAAAATCGGCACCACAATCTCGCTCCTCGAACTAGCATCACAAGCAATATGGCCCGGGAAGCTCAGCACGTCACCGACCAGGACGGTCTCGCGCTTCTCAGCCGCCGTGCCGCACACGCCCCGCCCGAACCGAATCTCCTGACACGCCGGCCGGCCCTGGAAAGGTCCGAGCCAGAGGACGGGCTTCTGGGTGTCGGTGGGCTGGGCATTGGGGAACTTGTCCTGGCGGATGTAGAAGCCGGCCCAGTTGACGGAGGAGGAGGGGCTAGGGAGGGCGGCGTAGGCGTGCCAGAGGAGGGAGGCGACGTTGGAGAAGTTGCTGTTTCCGTTAGGGTTTCGTATCTTTGAGTTGGGTGGTGGGGGTGTGCTTTACCTGACCTGTTATATTGGCGTGGTTAGTCAGTGGGAATCGTGTAAGGGTGACTGTTTTGGGGAGGGGATAGATTGGACGGGACCTACCCAGTTACGCTGTCCGTAGACAAGACCCTGCGCTTGTTCGAGGACTTGGGTGTAGATATCGGATTTGGAGGCGTTGGCGCCGAAGTAGGACGAGTCGGCGTGGGGCTTGGACAGTTAGCCTTGTTTTTCCTGGGTCAGGGTGCCAATTGGGGGGGGATTGAGGTTGGGAAGTACCATTGTGGTGGTGATCTGGGGAGTTGATTAGAGCTGGATTGAAAAGTCAATGGAGGGGTGGAATGGTTATCAGATTGAAGGATGTCGCAATGATGCAAAAGAATTGCTCGGGAAAAAAAGAAGTGGGGCGCGGGGTTAAGATAAAAGGGTCGGAGTTAGATACAGCTTTATCCATTTCCTCAACTACCGGTGCATAGGGATTTGACCGGATATATGATCTCGGGATTTCCCCGCAAGCGTATAGTATTTTTTGAAACGCATGTTTGGTAAAATGCTGTATGGTTCATATGAACCGGTAGATGTATATCGACAGATGGATGTCATGGGCTGCGTTGGGTATGTAGATATAGCCCAGGTATACGATCCCGAGAGTAACCAGCCCTAATTATGAATGTATGATTGGTGCCAGGCTGAAACGGATGTTTGCTAGGGTTTTCTACCGTTAGATATTAGACTATATGGCCTGGCCTTATCAAATGCTGATCTCTTTCGGGGGTCGTGCTTGACCATCGGAAGCTGCTTCACCGGAGATGGAGCGTCTTCACATGATTCATTTGTTCTTAATGAATAGCATATATATACTGTGCTTCAATTTTGCATCAAACTGGAGTCACATTTTGGATCTTATACGACAAAGTCCTGTGTGCAACAGGCTGTATATTATTGTTTCCGTGTCATGCGTGCCGAAACCTACTAACATCTCATATTCATACCCTAGTTCCTAGTACATACTATGTAGCTGCTAGCCAGACAAGGGCAAGTATATTGGTCTGGAGCATCCAAACCCAGACACTAGTTATCATTGACCGGCGTTTCCACCATCAGATAAAGCAACGAATGAGCCACCTCGGCCGCAGCCAACGTCGTAGTCTCGGCCGCTGTATCGTATATGGGCGCAACCTCGACAACGTCGGCGCCTATCACCGGCAATCCATGGAGAGCGTCCAGGATGGAAAGAAGCTCGCGGGTAGTGAAGCCACCTGGCTCCGCAGTCCCCGTTGCTACGAAATTCAGCCATGTTGACATTTAACAAAGTGCATCAGAGGACTCACCAGGTGCATAGGCTGGATCCAACACATCAATATCCACAGAAATGTACACCTTGCTATCACCAACTCGTGACTTGATCTGCTCTACAATACCATTTATCCCGACCCGATCCAAGTCACGCGCCTTGATGATTTCGAACCCGCATCGGATATCGTTTCGGATATCGCCCTTTCGGCGCATGACAGGGGCACGGATGCCGACATGGAGGGATGTGTTGCGGATAAGGCCCTGGATATAGTTATTGCATTGCCTACGTGGTTTTGAAAAAGGTGACTAACCTCTTCATGAGCTATGTGAAGGAAGGTTCCATGGTTTACACCGCTGGAAATGTCAGTTATGTGTTGCGCCGACATGGATATCTGAGACTTACGCATAGTGGGATATACCGCCGCCTAGCCTATAGTGAGAAATTGTGTCATGGAGATATCGCGTCCTTGGCCATGGACTTACCTAGTACTTCTGGATCCCAAGTGTCTGAAATTTTGGGTCAGTAATTAACTATGCACTGGATGAAAAAGGATATACCGAGGTGGCTGTCAAAATGAATAACCGAAACAGGACCCCACTTGTCATAGGTCGACCTCAGTGCCGACAGTGTCGTCGTGTGGTCTCCGCCCAGGGTAAGAATACGAGGCGTACGGCCCAGGTCCGTACTATTTGTAGGACGTGATGATATAACCTGGCGGGCAGTGTGAAGGATCAGTAATGAAAACGGTTAAGAAACTAACGAGTACCTGCCTTGTGTGCTAGATCAAGCTGTTTCAGCGCAACGGTATTATCCAACCAGGTCAGGGGCACGTCCCCACAATCTACCATTGTCGCCCAGCTTTTAAAGACATTGACTCCCGTATAGACGCTCCATCCTTGTAATCGCCGAGAGCCGAGACGAATGCCGCCTGGCCCGTATCTGGCACCGGGGCGAGCGGTGACACCCTGTAAGCAGGATCAGCCCAACATTACATGACTTGTGCAGATCATTGCGTTACAGAGTTGTACGTACAGTGTCAAACGGGGCACCCAAGATGGCAATGTCATACGGCGTGGACTGTGCCTGGTCATCGACCAAACAGTTTACGTAAGGCAAGTTCGCAAAGGTGGTCAGCCCCGAGAACTGACTACCCGTAACAATATCAACGCTATCCTCTTTGCCGAGCGGAACTTGTCCGGAACCATGAATTGCTGCGATAGGAGGGAAGACGATCTCCCTCGCAACAGCAGATGTGGATACAATGAGAGGAAGCAGACCGTACGCATACATGGTGGAATGATACTGTGATGCAAGGAATGAAAGCTTTCGTCTCAGCTGGTTGCTGTCTTATGAACGTATAGGCCAAGCATTGCGTCTTTCCATTTTGGTTCTAGCGGTCACTACTCCTCATTGTATAGATAGGGATACGGGGCCCTCGGAACCCGCGCTCCCATATTAATATGCCCTTGGAATCCTGCGATGAAATTAGGAGTTTTATAGTGTTGATGTTGTTCCCAAAACTCGAGTCAGGGTTCCCGTGATCAAGTGACTTCAATTATGTGAAGCACTCTATCAAATTGCATACCATCAGTAAGCCTAATCATGACAATTACACCTCGCACTGATAGGACTAAGAGATATACTTATCGATTTCATTAGGAAATGGATATTTCAAACATACGCCGTATGGAGTGGACCCCTTATCGGTACTCCAGCGTGCAGCAATGACACCGCTCCATTGACCTTCTCCCACCTGTGCAAACCCCCGCCAATCTGAATCTTATTGTGCACAACTATGGGCCACCATGACTCCAAGTCAGGCCCAGAGTGTCTAATCTCTGGTACCGCAGATGAAGTCTGATTCGCTCCCCCACACTTGCTGCTCCACCGTCGTCGCGGAGACCTTCTCGATTGGGAAAGTCAGATAACGCATCTATCTTATCGCTGTCAAGCCTTTGCCCGGCTATCGTCGAACCAACGATTTCTCCATGGGGTTACGATTCCCATCGGGAAAGCTCCTGAGGGACCTGAAGTATGCCCATGGATTTTTTAAAAGGCGTGCCTGTCCCTGGTGGCAACTACCGTACCCATTGCCTAGGTATTGCATTTCCAAGTCTGATCCGAGATACAAAGAGCTAGAGTAATGGCGAAGGAGGACGATAATCAGCAAGTCTTTTCAGAATCAACGGGGGAAGATGCTCGTCTGGAAAACCTGGGCTATGAGCAGGGTATGTCATTCATTTCCAACTGTCTGCTTGACTGCTGATGTTTGTATAGAGCTCAAGCGAACTTTTGGGTTGTTGGGCATGATTGGCTTCAGCTTCAGCGTGGTTACTTCGTCAGTCAACCAATTCACTTCCAGTGGGCTCAATGACGGTCTTGCTAACCTTGAACAGATGGACAGCTCTAAGCGGTGTATTCATCGTCGGCGTCACGTCCGGCGGCCCCCCGGTCATGGTGTTCAGTTTCATTGGCGTGAGCCTTCTTACGTTAGCTGTTGCCATTCCAATGGCGGAAATGTGCTCCATGTATCCTGTTGCTGGAGGCCAATACTCCTGGGTTGCGGCTTTAGCGCCGCCGAGCATCGCACGAGGCCTTTCTTACATTAGTGGCTGGTTCATGCTCATCGGTATGTCTACTCTACCTCGACACTGATCCCAACTTGGCCTCGAGACTAATAATCACTTACAAACTAGGTATCCTCGCCATGGGAGCAACGAATAACTCCATCGCAGCCAACTTCGTCCTAGGCATGGCAAATCTCGTCTTCCCCGACTACACCATCGAGCGCTGGCATACCGTTCTGGTAGCATATCTAGTGGCATTCATGGCAACAGCAATCAATATCTGGGGCCCGCACCTCCTGCACCGCATCTCCCGGTTTATCCTGATCTGGAACGTCGGCTCGTTTCTGATAACCACGATCGTCCTTTTAGCGACCAATGACCACAAACAATCGGCCTCATTTGTGTTCTCCGAGTTCCAAAATTTCTCAGGCTGGGGATCATCAATGGCAGCCATCGTAGGTATTCTGCAAGCCTGTTTTGGGATGTGCTGCTACGACGCCCCATCACACATGACCGAAGAAATGAAGTCAGCCTCCAAGGAGGCTCCCAAGGCTATCATCCTCTCTGTTGTCCTGGGTGCTGTGACAGGATTTGCCTTCCTCCTGACGCTCTGCTTCTGCATCGGTGACATCACCAACACTGCCAACACAAGCACCGGCGTGCCAGTCATCCAGATCTTCTACGACTCTACGGGAAGTAAAGTTGGCACATGCTTCTTGTCGAGCATGATCGCTATTATCGTCATAGTCGCCGGAAACAACCTCCTAGCGGAGGGATCTCGTTCCGTGTACGCCTTCGCCCGGGACCACGGCCTCCCATTCTCGCACGTCTTCGCTAGAGTAGACAGCAAGCGACATGTGCCCGTTAACGCCGTGCTCCTTACCCTCGTCGTGCAACTTGCTCTGGATGCAATTGACTTTGGTACAACCACCGGGTTCGAAACGGTCATTGCTATCTCCACTGAAGGATTCTGTAAGTCCTACCACCGTAAGTCTCTACATTGTGAAATACTCTGCTAACTATATAAGACCTGTCCTACGCCATGGCCCTATTCAGCCGTCTCCTCGGCTATATAACCGGCCATAAGACACATTTGAAAGGCCCCTTTGCCCTCCCCCAGTCTATGTCCATTGCTCTTAACATCTTTGGTCTCCTATTCCTGCTCTTCGCGGCGATCACGTTTAACTTCCCGACTACCTACCCTGTTACCCATGAATCCATGAACTATACATCGGCAGCCATTGGGGTCATTGGATTGGTCAGTGCTGTGACATGGATAACAACGGGGAGGAATCAATTCACCGGGCCGCAAGCCATGAGTGTGCTGAATGGACATGAGAGAGAAGAGAGGGTTAGTGGTGAAATGATAAAGAAGGGTTAGATTCCATATTATGTACAGTAAGGTCGACCGCATGCTCTACCATAGATTACTTTAGCGCCTTTTTAGAATTATCATCTTTACTTGGCTTAGAGCTAACGGCACATATCGTTCTGGGGGATTACCTGTATCTATGTAGATATATCCATTGCACGCTTTATAGTAAAAGTCCTCTGTAATTAATAACTAGGAGCTAAACACATAATGAGCAGAAGGCTAGCTGTTGCAACTCCCCATATATAATAGTAGATACGAATTGGAGATTTAGACAATTGATCTTTATGCCATGCATTTGCCCTTCAGGATGTATTCAATATAAAGCTTCAAGCAGTTATATATTATACTATGGTTAATATGTGCCCCAAAACATCCCCTATATATTCACGGCGGATGTCATGGTGTCCCAAACCACCCTGATCATCATGGATGTACGATCTGTCACCACCCAGACCAGTCCTCAAGGGCCTTTACGGCGAATGCTGTACTGACCCCTCTATTCCCGACGTCTCGCTTAGCGCCAGGAAAGAAATAAATACAGGAGGCCTCCCAACCCCCGCCCTCCTGCTGCAAATCTGCAAGGGTTTGGCGGTCCGGGTGGTTCTCCAAACCAAGGTAGTTGCACGCCAACAGTCGCATCCCGAGACAGAATGCATCGCCCGGAGCGCCAATCCGCTCAGCGACACGCTCTCGAAGCGGCGATTCGATCCTTTCCTTGAGGGTTTGATCGCTTGACGCACGGAGGAGACGCGTCATATAATAGAGGAACCACTCGGCGTTGGCGTAGTAGCGCGTCCCCTTCACATACGCCCTGTTCAGTAGGATGCTGGTCATCCACTCTGCTGTATGGGGGAGCTCATGACCGCGCCCGTATTTGTGAAACAGGGTCAACACATTGAGCGCTATGACCGCGTCGACTCGTGGCCGCGATTTGTCGAAGTATGCCTGTTAGGATGAGAGTTAGGCCTCCTACCGGCTACGGCTGCCACTAGGGGAGCATGAAAGAAGTACGTACCTGCGGAATACCGTCCTCATCTACGTAGTCGTGCATCTCATCTAGGACGGAGTGGACTATCTCCGAGTCAGGAGGTATCGTTAGGAAGCCGAGGGAGGTTGTGTCTAAGTCGTCAGGGTAGCTGTCACTCGTGTATTTGGGCTCGCCTAGGCTGTGGATCAGTGATTTTTGCACAGCGTGATAGAAGACCCAGGGAAGACGAACCACTGAAGAAGTTCCAAAGGCGGGGCGGGGCTTTGAGGTTCACCAGACTCCTAGATTCTGGCAGTTAGTATCTTGTGAGTACTAATATGGGAGAGAGACATGCGGGTCACGTAACGCCTCAAGGATTAGAAGCGGAGCGTAGTTTTCGTTGATTGTCTCGTTATGTTGTGTAGTTGTAGGGAAATGCCCTTTCTGAAGTCGCAAGAATGCTAGTCCGCGTGTCACAGGATCACCGACAACGTTAGTGAGTGTCCGATATAGCGCGGAGGTGTCAAACGTTCCTCTCATTCCCAGAGAGATCGCCGCGAGTACGTTTTCAGGTCGGTCATCCACGAAGAAGGTCCGACGAGGAACTGCCCTTGTGGCCCGTAGTACGTGCCGATAAAAACGTAAACTGGGTTTTCGGACGCCCAAGGCTGCCGAGGTGAAAATGCCATCAAAGATAGACCAGACTTCATCGTCCCACCGGCGGCGGAGTGCTGCGTCTGCCGTAGACCAAGCAGGGTTGGTTACAGTCGGGCCCGGCTGCGGCACAGTAATATCCCGTAGCGCTTCTAGAGCTGGCTTTGTCCTGGTTGCTCAGCCAGCTCACTGGGAACGGATTTTTTCTGCCTACCCCGCGGCTCCATACAACAGCTTCCTTGCCATTCAGGTAGGTTCCTGAGAAGACACTAGCATGGCTTCTCACAAGCCCATCCACCATGATCTAGGTTGCATTACTGACGGACATCAAGCTGCAGAGCATGAATACCATCCAGGGAGGGGCTGAGGTTCGCGGGGAGAGGACTAAGTATGCCCAGTTTGCGCATCTTACCACTCGTCTTTCAGGCATGATTCACGAAGGATCCCATGGTCCTATTTCCCAGGAGCCGCATACCGTCATCCATGAAGATCATATCACTGGCAAGTATGTCTTTATCAATATTCCAGTATGGGGAAAGTCCGAGCTACTCTATGAGTTTAGTGGCGAGGGGTCGCAGGAAGTCATGTTTCGTCACACCGCTGAAGTGATCGTCGCCAGTACCACGCTGTCATGAACGATCCAAGCATGAGGAAAAAGTGCAGAATGATCGCGTTCGATCTCCCCGTCCACGGAAGGAGCTTTCCAGGTGAAACCATATTCCGGGGAACTACACCAACACCGAAGACGCCTACGTGGGGTGAGATGGTAAGGGTTTTAAAGCTGAATAAGTCTATTGTTTGTGGCGCCTCACTGGCTGGCCAGGTGTGCATTGCGGTGGCTATCCGAGCCGAGGTGGTCGGAGCTGGTGGCAGCATCCTGCTGCAAGCCTGCGACTACCTGACCACGGCGCGAGACTTTGATGACAACTCCCCGTTTGTCAAACAGTCTCTGTTCAACCCGGATTTGATTTATGGAGTGATGGCCCCCAGTGCGCCGCTGGCTAACAAGCAAGTCATCTGGCATCTCCATAGTGCTCAGGCGTACGGCATCTTCCACGGTGATCTTGATTTCTACCTTGGAGGTTTCGATGCCCGTGGCTGAGTCTCCCAGGTCGCTGTCACGAAATGTCCTATGTACTTGCTGACTAGGGACTTTGACTGGGGCACGACTCCTGATATGAGCCACGCAACTGCTTTAAAGATTAATAGATCAAAATTAAAAGGAATCCATGGGCTGGGCCACTTTCCGGCGACGGAGAACCCATCTATATTTGTGTAATTCCATTCTTGGCCTTGTGTGGTACGCGCTCATCTGCAAGACGAGTAGATACTATATCTACTGGATGCAATCGATTGGACCCACAAAACTAGGAATCTCTGAGATGGGAGAGTACTCATCTGGTCGTACCTGCACATGCGAAATATATTACACAGTCAAGGTAGAATCTATAATGATCAGCTTTGCGTTGCCAGCTGCATCAAATTGACATGCTACCATAGGAGGAACTAGTAATTGACAGTCGTATATTTAAGACATCCGCAAGGTGGGATCATACTGCTGGTTCCTAATTCTGGACCCCAGATCCAGGATTGTACTATAAGCCTATCTCTTATAGTTCAGGACTAAGATGGCTGAATATGAAATGTTAGAGTGATGGATGATGTGCCTAAAGGAGCGTAACAAGTTGCTCACCGGGTCTTTTAAGTCGGTTACACGTGGCACACGCATTCCATATTCTCCCATCGGGCACTTGCCCTATATGATAGAAATCGTCTCGTTTCCATGTTAGGCTTTTGGTTGTTTTCGAGGGGGGGTGGTCCAAGAGGCGGGGCGGGAAACCCTTGCTAGAATCAAGCATATTGGTTCAACAAGGCAAAGTGTGGTCGGATGCAATGAATACACACGAAGAGCTTCGTATGAAAACTGTAGTTTCCTCATGTATGTTCCTCATTCTTGTGGCTTATAAAGCGCTAAATGTTCTTGGTTCTTTCTCCGAAAGCCTAAAGCTGAAGGCTACAGTACATCAGTTTCTTGGCAAGTGCAGTACCTACAATTGCAGAACGTTCCTTACCATATTCTTTCTAGAGTCAAACCTCTATCCTATGTGTCGATTCCAGTATCATTTGATAACAAAAGCCGGGAGGTTGCAGTAAGCCATACCTAGGTACCGATATTGACCTAGTCTAGTAGGAACGACTGTACTCAAACTTCAATTTATAGATGTGATATGAAGTAGAAGGTGGAAAATTTCATCTATATCCCCTGCTCCGTCCACATTATAGTAATAAAGACTGGATTTGTAGACGGTCTCTGGGACCCAGGTACGTGCAGGATGCAGAGGATGCTAGTAATTGCTTTTATATATCGTGGAAAGCCAGAAGGAGCGAGGATGATGAGAATATAGTCTTGGCGAAATCTAGAGCCTGTTGTAGGGGGATAAGGGGGTTTATATAGAGATGTGCAGGCGGAATCCCCCAGGGCTTGACAAAGGGCTTCGGCCATTAACGGACACTAGGAATAATGAAATATTCGCTATCGCAAATAGCGAACCCTTACATCTGCGTAGTCACAACAAAATAATTCACTATTTTTCGGGAAATTTAATGAGCATTGCCAAGAGATATCTTAATCATCCAGTTAGGTAACCAACCCTTTCATACAAGATGTAAACTGTTTCTCCAAGCCATTTGCCGATTCTAGGGTTGGGAATAACCATATATGTGCCTGAGGTGTCAACCTCCAGAGATGAATACGCAAATACGATAGCCGGGGTTCTCCACAACGCTGCAATTAGCCAACCAATGGCCAGGACTGGAGACTTTTATCAAGAGGTGGTCCACGTACGCTTCCGGCACGGGTTGGGTGGCCTATCGCCGGAAAGGCGAGTTTAGGCGAAGTGACAGCATATCCGTGTCGTATCCGTATACGAATATCGTTCAGGGGTCAGTCATATAAAAGATGAAGATCCCACCTTCTCGTAGATCTCTCACCATGACAGATATATAAAACTTTTCTTTCACCTTGTAAGATCATTATGGCTACTTTATCTGGTAAAACCTGCCTTGTGACCGGCGGAGCCGGCGGCTGGGCAAAGCCATTGCAACGAAATTTCTTGAGGCCGGCGCCAACGTAGTCATCTGTGATATCAATGACGAACGACTTCAACAAACCTCTGCGGAGCTTTCGGTGAAAGGCTCCTTGAGAGCAGTGAATGCAGATATTACCTCTGCCGCTGCAGTACAGGGCCTATTCGGCACAATCGTTTCCGAGTTTGGGAAACTGGATATTCTGATAAACAATGCGGGGATCATGGACCGCTTTGATCCTGTTGGGGACTTAGATGAGGGTGTGTGGGATCGGGTCATGGCTGTCAACTTAACGGCACCTTTTCTACTGAGCAGACTGGCTGTTCGGAATATGCTGGAGCAGCCGAACCCAGATGGTTATATCATGAATATTGTGTCGTTAGCGGGCAAAGCCGGTTGGACAGCCGGTATTTCACTCTCGCCCTATTAATACTTTTTTGGTAACGCTAATGCATGTCTAGGTGCTGCATACACCGCAAGTAAGCATGGATTGGTTGGTTTAACCAAGAATACAGCTGCGTTCTACGGGAGCAAGGGTATTCGGTGCAATGCCCTAATGATTGGTGGCATGGCGACCAATATTACCGAGGCATTCATGGCAGGTGTCAATGAAGAGGGGAAGGACAAGGTGATTGGCATTATGGGGTCCGTACGGTCACCCCTGTGTGAGGTCGATGAGGTTGCGGAAGTGTGTGTCTCTATGATATCCAGCAAGGGGAGCAGACTTATCAATGGTGCCTGTATTCCGGTTGATCATGGTTTTTCCGGTACAGTGGGGTAGATATCGCGGGGCTATGCTCATTTTCTTTGTACCGTTTACTGCCTGCAGAATCGGCATTAGCTTTAGTGCTTCGCGACTTTTTCAAAGATCATTTCCTCAATCATTCCAAGGACTACTTCAGACTTTAGTGCTCTAAAGGATACGAAAAGGACACGCAAGTAGAAAGGGAGGTCTAGACGAGGGACAAATTGGTTTAAGGAAGCTCTATAGAAAGTTCGCTTTGCGGCACCTGCTTGGCGCCGGACTATTGGCTTGTATCCCTCATTCCAACTTTTGCTGAGAAGAATCAGTCTTTTCTGTCCTTCCACTCCTCCCTATAGGCAGATGGCTGGGCTCTCTGGCGCGGATTCCTCTTGTGGAGCTCAACCTTCCCACAAAAGTCTCCTTGCCGACTCATGCAGTACGGTCCTTAACCTTAGTTATTGGCACTAAACTTCTTCCTGCATATGGAGCTTTACCTCATTTACTACTGTTGGTCACCATATCGGCCTGAAAGGTATTATACTGGGCGGCTATCCTTTAGACCACAAAAAGGACAGCTTCAGCTTCCGACTCTGTAGTTATTCACAGCAAGCTTTGCTTCGGTATTTCTGGATTCTGACAAGGGTGCCTTGATCCAAAGTGCGCGGCGTATCTTGTGCCTTAACATAAGCTTTCTCCCACCACGGCTAAGTTCTGTAAAAGCTGTCTCTGTGCTTTTGGAGCCATGGGGGTAGAACTGTGGGGGAAATATGGTACTATGTTGGACCAATATTCCCTGGGGAAAGACAACGTTGAGTCTGGATCATTTGGAAAGCGAACTGATCCTGCTATTTAGTACCCATGGGTGCCTATTGGTGACCCCTGTTCAAATGAGAATTGGGCGTTGGAGAGTCATAGAATGACTGCGCCGGTTGTTCGTCGTGTGAGTGGTGGCCGAGATTGAACACCTCACCTACAGCGATACTGGAGTTAACGAAGAGTTTAGATTTAAGTACTCAATACTAGTATTGCTGTATGAATTCAGCCGGCAGGACTTTCCAATTCCTTGGTTAACGCTGTTCCTTATATCGGGGGTGTCTATAGCGGGTTTTCGCAGGATAGAAAACCAAACCGGCCACCGTGGCGGCTGTCTCATCTGACGGGGTAAAAACCCCGTTAGTTGCAACAAGCATTTAACACAATGTCCGAGTTAATTCCTATCCAAACCACTTGATATTCTGATCTAGAGAAATATACCAAATATGCGATGCCTATATTGTTAGCTGGAGCTTTTACAGAGACTCCGGCTCCAGAAATCCCTCGATATAAGCAATTTCGTCGCCCAGGTTGCTTATAACGAGGTTGCAACTAACGGGGTATTGAGTGCACTGATAAATTCGCTTGTCGCGTCGCGTCGCGCGGACAAACAAACAACCAACTATTACCAATTGAGCCAGCAAAAGAAATCACCACTTTCATTCTAAGTTTATATCCTCCCCATCATGGGTCTTTCAGTTCAAGAGATGTGTCATCAAGACGACCAAGTCGAATTGCTTCTCGAGGCTATTGACTCGGCGTCCCGCCGGACACTCCAGTCAGTGCTCAAGACAGTGTGTCTAAGTGATCAACCCACCAGGGACCGAGTCTCCAAGTCCCTTCTCATTACCGAAGACCAAGTCCGCCCAGCTTCACCTTCCTCTGAAGAAGATGATGACGAGGAGAGTATGAATTCAGACGATGAGCAATCCGAGGACGAGAAACCACCCCTCAAAGAGAGGCACTCGAACCAGCAAACGCCAGGCTCCAAGCGACTTCGACCGCGTTATGCTTATTGCGAAAACTGCGAACAGGAGTTTGACGTCACGCAAAATACAAGCACCAGCTGCAAATACCATACAGGTACGTAGGCTATTGCACTTCTTTCTCTCCAGCTGCTGGCTTGCCTTTCGAGTGAGTTTGGTGCTGTTGAAGGCTAAAATTTCCGTTGCAGATAGCTGCTACCCGAATGGAGACTGCTTCGTGAATGATGATTGCTACTATGACGGCGGATATGACAATGGGGAGATGCTCGAGGAGTTCCCAGAGCGTTATATCTATGAATGTTGTGATAGACGTGGACATGAGGAGGGCTGCACCGCGGAGAGACATAGCGAGCGCGTGTCTCTTAAACGACAAAAGGTTAAGTGAAGCTTGCTACTCTCGGGGCCCGCTCAAATGTACATTATCTACGTTCTCTATTGCCTGTTATAGACAACTAGATTTGTTTCTCGAGTTGATATGAATGTGTGTGATCGGTATCGGTATAAGTCGCGCAACATGCGTACGAAACTCGAGTTAACATGTTTACTCCGCACCTTCTTCCTTTATGATCTATCAAGCATACTGGTGAGGCGCTAAGTAGAGTAAGACTGCTATCTCGCCAGTAGAGATGTTAGGTGATAAATCGAGTGCAGCGTCGGACTACGAGTTTGATATATTAGCACATTATGTTATGCTATATTCGTGATGTCTGATTACTGAGGGGTTGATTTCTGTGTATTAATCTTAGTGATGCACTTGAGTGTATAGGGCTTAGGCTGAGGAGCACTACATGATAACCCCATTTAACCATATCTGCCAAGATCGTGGGATGAGGGAATCAGGATGAATCTATTCTATTGGTCGATAAGTTTCCTGTGGAGTATACTAGTATTCGACGGAGAAATCTGACGCCATTTGTTGAGCTGCAGGCAACCCTCGTATACGCCATGCGGCTATGCACGGACTTTTGGCATAGATTAAATCCAGAACATCCGGCCGCACCGTATGACAGATATAGTACAGTAACACATAGTAGTAGGTAACAGAACAACGTATTAACGCATAGTTATTGGACTATAGTAATTAATCCGGGTGTTAGGCTACCCCGACTACGCAACCCGGCGATTGCAACGAGTCGCCCAGGCATCCGAGTCCACGTATTAAGGGAACTCGTCGATCAATGACTTCGTTAGTAACGGAGCAAGAGGGGAGGCAGGAAGATCCACATTTCTAGGCTATAGTGCCAACGCAATCGGATATAAGCCACTACAACATCACTTAACCCCAGCTAACTCCGGCCACGGTAGCCATATATATATATATAGCCAAGGTAGCGTCCATCCTCTGCATCCATCCAGCTTCAAGCAACCGTCACCCAGCATCAATCCAACCACCATGAAGTACGTACGTCTCGGAACCAGTGGACTCAAAGTCTCCCCCATCTGCGTGGGCTGCATGAGTTTCGGCAGCCCGGGAAAGCCCTTGGAATGGACGATCCCGGAAGAAGAAGCCCTCCCCGTCCTGGACCACTGCTACCGGTCGGGCCTCAACTTCTACGACACGGCCAATGTTTACTCCAACGGCGAGTCGGAGGTCATTCTCGGAAAGGCGATCAAACAGTACAACTGGAGCCGCGAGAGCATCGTCATCGCCACCAAGGTGTGGGCGCCAGTCGGACGGGACTCGGTGAGAGCACTCGGCATGTCCCAAGAGGAACGGGATAACAACGGATACCTGAACCAGTATGGACTCAGTCGCAAACATATCTTCGACAGCATCGATGCCAGTTTGAAGAGGCTCGATCTGCCGTACGTCGACCTGTTGCAGATCCATCGCTTTGACCCCAACACGTCACCCAAGGAGACGATGGAGGCGCTCCACGATGTCGTCAAGTCCGGGAAAGTCCGGTATATTGGCGCTTCATCGATGTTCGCACACCAGCTATTGGAGTATCAGTACACAGCCCGTATGAATGGGTGGACGGAGTTCATCACCATGCAAAATTTGTATAATGCTAGCTATCGCGAGGAGGAGCGAGAGATGTTCCCTGCTCTAGAGAAGTTTGGCATGGGCTGTATTCCCTGGAGCCCTATTGCTATGGGGCTTTTGGCAAGGCCGTGGAAGAGCAACAGCACTGCTCGCGGGGAGTCGATGAAAGGGGGATTCCTCGGTACCGCTCTCAGTGATGCGGATAAGAGGATTAATGAGAAAGTTGAGGAGATTGCTGCTAGCCGCGGGGTTTCGATGGCTACGGTTGCGCTTTCTTGGGTGCTGTCGAAGCCCTTTATTACCTCGCCGATCGTTGGAATGAGCAAAAAGGAGAGAGTGGACGAGGCCGTTCAGGCGATTGATTTCAAGCTCAGTGAAGAGGAGATCAAGAGTATCGACGACTTGTACGAACCGAGGAAGATTATGGGCCACAGCTGAATGGACCAACATCGTTAGCTCAAACTCGCCAAAGGTCTATGAACGATAGCGAAAAGATCCTTGAGACGGCCGAGTATTTGCCAAGGAAAAGGAGAAAGACCCAAGCCTATGGCTATAGATGTATCTACTGAAACGATTAACTAAATGACATTGATTCGTCTGCAAAGAAGACCTCTTATCTGATGCTCTTGTGGAAGTGGTCTATGTGGGTGGAGATGGCTAGTTTCAAGTGGATAATCATAACAGGAAAAAGAAAAAGGGAAAAACTCTCATAAATGAACGTTTAGATCGCTTGTATAGATATATCACCGCACCATAGGCCATTGTTCTCGTCGCGGTATGTATATTTCTCTTGTGGTAATGTACAGTCACTGCTGCCAAAAGGGCCTCGGCATAGGCGGCCACAGTAAGTGCTGCGTATCCTTGCCACTGTTCTTGTTTGTAGATGCCTCACATATAAAGTGTCGGCAACTCGTCTATAAGTCCAGCAGCTTTCGTTTCAAAACACAGTATATCTCGGTCGTGTGCAACGGAGTCCCGGGTTTTAGCATCTTTCACGACCTGATCTCCGGAGGCAATCAAGCCATAATGAATATAGGGCTCCTCGTCTGATCGCTGGGGACGGTCTAGAAGCTGGAGTTTATCACATTCTGAGCCGTCATTTTCCCTGTTGCTGTGATTATATCCCTGTTGCAACAGTCAGTCACATTTTGGTCGTGTGAACTGTGTTTCTGTTCCTTCTTTCTGTGTCACTTCCCTCAATACCAGGACGAGCAGGTTCCTTCCTAGTATACTGTCGCTCTCTATTTGAGCCGTAGCCTTTAGCAAGACCGGACGAGGCTTCTTGAGGGACCCGGTGTGCTGGAACTGCCCGTTGCGGAGTGTCTTGTCGTAGTCATATTGGATAAAACGACCCGATGTAGCGGTTCGCCTGCTGACTACAACGTCACCAAAGCAAATATCAGAATTTCGTCTAGGAAAACGCCCTCCAATACCCACTATCAGTCGAAATTGAATAGTTGGATAAGTAGATACTAAGCGTGACACAACAGCTGTGGCAGATATCGTCCCAGCGAGACCGGCAGGCAGGCTGGCGATTACTACATTGCGGCCACCAATACTGCCAAGTGTGTAGATTTTCCGGTCGGACTGGGGTTGTGATATAGAACTAGGAAGCTCATCTAGCATAGCCTTTGCGGCCGCCATCTCTAAGGGTAATGCGCATATCCATGCGATCGTATAGTCATCGTTGTGAATCATATTTTGTATGCCATCTATGATTTAATAACCAGCAGGCCAGTGGCCAAGTTCTGGAAGAATTAGATCATTGGGTCTGGTTGTTAAAGAGAAGAAGCACAGCAGCTAGCTGAGATTCGCGGATGGATAGTAGGTAAATTAGGAGGTTTGCGTTGAGACTGATGACGATGAGGTTGAGGGGTGAACAGCGTGTATCTGTGAGGACATCAGGCAGTCATTGGCACCCATAAATACACACGAAATCATGTCTCGTCAGGTTCAGGATTTGCTTTTTCGAAAGCTCCCATGGAGTCCGCTGCAGTGGGTGATATATGTACATAGTTACTTTCACCTATTCACAAGGATAGATATATACAGCAGGCTATCTATATCGCATTCTGTCATCAGTGGTATCGACCTATCTACACACGTTTAGCATCTTTATAGGCTGTACTTTCCATTGTTCATATACGTGCTATTTGATCTGTATTTAGTAAGTGTCCAAACTGCCGAGAAATATTTCATGCTGGACCTGCATACATAAAATATATAACCCGGGAACAGTTCATCTATGAAGATGTACATAGAGGTGTAAGGGACAGTGAAGCAACGATGCAATTGCTTGAATTACTATATTACAAATCCCCGTCGATAATATATACGAAACCACCACCAACAGTAAAAATAATGTACAGCTCATACAATGGGACAGTAAAGCTGCAAGTAGAGCTGGTTCTTCGCGAGCCCTGCTTGAGGGTCATCAACATCCTCACAGTCCGCAGTCGGGGACTGTGGCGTGGTGTGCGACGTATCAACCCCCGTACAGGACAGCGTCACTCCACCGTCACAATTGACCTCCCCCACACTATCCTTCGAGCCCGTATATTTGCAGTTCTTATAGCTGCCGAGTGAGAAGGTGCCGAGTGAGGATGGGTACTTTTGACCCTTGGAGAAGAAGCCCCCGTTGACGACTCGGTTCTTTTTGAAATTACACGCCTCGCCGTACCAGGTAGGATACGGTAGAAGCATCCCTTGCCAGGCCCAGGCAATTTGGGAACCACCACCACCGTGGGCCACGGCTTGGATCTCCTGGGCAAAGACAGCGAAGATCGAGCTCGGGGAAGGCGTGGGTTGCGCCTTGGTGGTGGTTGGCTGTTGAGTAGTCATCGTAGTCTTGCTTACTCCGCTCGTGGGGTCAGCAGTTTCTCCTAGAGATCGGTAGATGGAAACACCGGCCGCCCAGTCACCGGCAGCGTCTGTGGGTTCGTTGTCGGCATAGTCGTACCACGGCTCAGGGACTCCGGTCATAATAGGCGCCAGCGTGTAAGTACCGAGCATAGAAGTGCCCGTCGTGTCACAGCCGACAATATCTATGCACATTAGTTACTCGTTCCCGATTTATTGAGAAATAGAAAGGAGGGAGAGGGTCGCTCGCTACCTTTACACGTGGATGTACAGGAGCTGGTAGAGGCAGCTGTGACACAAGCCGTGCTGCAAGAGCTATAGGTGGCTGTTGAACATTCTGAGGTAGTGGAGGAAGGGCCGCTAGGGCTGTTGGGATCGTCTGGAGTGCCGGGATCGGGACTATTGGGATCATTGGGGAAGTTGTTCGGAGCTGTGGTCTGTTAGTTGCCGAGGTGGACTCACGACAATATGAGGAAGGATTTTACGTACAGTCAGAACCACCACAGCCTTCCCAGCAGGGATGGCAGACATGGAAAACTCTATTTAGCAGGCCACCAATACCTTCATTACACGAAATACCACAAAGCTTGGGGTCGGATGTGCACTTCGGCTTGGCGGGGCCGTTGTGGTGCGTGATAGGATGGCGATGATGATGGTCATTGTGGCCGCCGTCGTCATCGTCATCTCCACCGCTACCACTAGTCGCATGGCTGCCACCCGTAGTAGTCTTGGTGGTCTGTCCTCCCTTGCTGGTAGTCGGGGAGCTTCCTGTTGGGGTCAAGCTGGGATTGACTGAGGAGCCCGGCCATGGGGGCGGATAGAAAGGCACCACCGTTGCGGGGAATGTTGTCATGTTCTGAGTGAAGCTGGGCCAGGTAATATTGAACGCCGTTTGAATCACACTGGGAGATGGGGTGATGACTGACGAGGTAACGCTGGGCCCAATAGGGACGTTCCAGAACGATATCGTGGTACCCACTACTTCGGGGATGCTGATTGTCGTGGTGGTGCTTGTCGTGAACCACGAGGTCGTTGTAGTAGTCTTCCCCAGGTACACATAAGAAGTGGTAGCCGGATACCCCACCCCGACAGTAGTAGGTAGAGGAGGATAGACAAACGTAGTTGGCGTAGGTAAGACAGTGGGCGGAATAACGTACGTGCACGGGGGATGGCAGGACACATTTGTGCCATCAATAGGCCCACCCCATATGAGAGGGTCAAGAAAAACAGTGCCGGAGTCATTGCTACTCGACCCGATATCTTCACCTCCAGTTGAGAGTGCAAGCCAGGCTGCAATCTCACTGGTGAAGCCATTCCTGGTGGTGTCATTGAATAGCAGCGGAGCAAGATTTCCTCGAGGGGAGACAATTTCGACATTGCCTTTGGTAAAGATGTTGTACATATATAGCCTATTGGCAAAGTTGGTCTCTATCAAGGACTGCTGGCAATCCTCGGCGTCAATGCAGCCTTCGTCATAATCCTGAAAGAATGAGTAGAATCCAGCCGAATAGATGAAGACATCGCTGGAATTGATAACACGGAGTGCCCATGCACCCTTGCAGAGGTCATCACCACAGTCCAAATAGGTCGGATCCCCTGAGAACGTGCCCGCGATGTAGGGACTCAGGGCGTTGGGGCTTGGTTGATAGTATGGGGTTTCGGTCTGCATATGGCCCATGTAGATGTTGGCTGCATTTACCAACTGATATTGGTACATCTGCGCATGCTCGCTGGACGTACCATATAGCCAGGTAGGACCCTGTGACTCAATCAGAATCCCTCGGCCAACATATACGGAAATATCAGTCTGGACATTCAAGGGGATTCCAGCGTCGCTCTCAAAGGCCTCGGCGTTCAGGGGGCTATCAAGATCGTGATCTGCCACCCACGCCCATACATTCTCGAAATAGCCAGAGGCTAAGCTCGTAACATGGATCAACAGGTGTGCCGCCATGCATTTTTTGTTGACACCCGCTCCTGTTGGGCACTCCTCCAGCCCAAGGTATGTGCCGTTAGCTCCGCCGACACGAAAGTGAGTATCCCACATGGCAGCTAGTTTAGAAGGAAAGGTTGTTAGTATCGCTAAATTTTAACCCAATGCCATGTGAACAGTAGGACTTGAGGCTTACCACTTCCCTGAGTGCTCTCATGCACGTTCCATTCCATCAAGACGGCCCCCGCCGTGGCTCCTCTCACAGTGAGGAGCATATCCGTAATCTCGATAACTCCTTGGTCGCCCTTATCACCGACCTGGACGACTACCGTTGGATTCTCTACGTCCTCAAAGGTAGACCCAGTACCCATAATCTGGCTCCATCCGGACCCAATAATCCTGCTACCGACGGGAACCTTCACAGTGCTTTCAACCAAGTAAACGCCTGCGGGAAAGAAGATAACCGATCCCACATTGCCCGACAGGAGGCTATTAATAGCAGCAGCCTGGTCCGCCGTACCATGATTAGAGACCCCATGATCCGTGGCAACAACTGGGGTCTCTGACTCGTACTGAGGCTTCGCTCTGCGGAAGTACGCGCCAGAGCCGTCCAGTAAAGATGATGGTTTGTCTGGCTTTTGACTCATAAAGCCACTAGACCTGCCCCCTGACCCATCAGGTAGATAGCGGTAGCCACTCACCCATGAGTCAAAGTACAGTGCGCCCGTTGATCCCTCTAGTATGGTATCACCGCCAGAGATGAGCACCACGGAGGCGGAGTTTTCGACGAGCAGGTTGTCAAGTAAAATACTGGGCTGTTCGTTATCCTGCTTCGCTATTGTGATCGCATAGGGTACCCCATCGAAGTGCGAATCTACCACTGCGATTGAGCCAGTTCCCTGCTTACCCAACCCTGAGTACTCCGTGGCATCTATTGCAATATAGCACGATAGGACATAGATATTCTTCCATGTGAAACCCCAGTTCCAAATGGACTTGATAGCCGTCAGACAAGATGTGAACCTTAGGTTAATTGCAGTGAATTGCTGACTTCCAGCCAAAAAGCCAATGTTTCTAGAAGCCCGCCAAGTGTTAGAGACCATGGCACCAAATGAATAGAAAGAAGGAGTCAGACACACCCGCCAGTGAATGTCAGATCGGCCACCATCCCACCGCTACCATTCTCCATGTAGATACCCACAGCCGTTGCGGATTGATCCGCCGTCGACACAGCCATTTTAAAATCACAATTAGTGATCGACGTTGCCTGGCCCACCTGCCAGTGGATACCTGCGGGCACGTATGTCTGGTTATTGTCCGTGTTGGTCCAGTTCATACTGGTCATATCAAACACGAAGTTGCGAATCTGTCGATAAAAGTTGCTCTGATTGATGTACCATTCGTCTCCATTGCCTCCGGGAATGTAGAAGTCCGAGTCCACGAGGGCAATGCCAGTAAAATTCTTGGAACCTTTGATAGTAGGCTTCTGGCTGGGATTTCCAATAAATTGGGTGTAGTAATACTGGATGATGGGTGTACTGATGACGTACGTGCCCACAGGAAAGTACACCACCGCTCCTCCAGTAGATGTCGAGCCACAGTCCTTTCCACAACGCGAATTAGTGTGATCTGATGAGCTAAACGCTGTTACCGCACGATTAATGGCTGCGGTATCGTCTGTTACTCCGTCGCCAACGGCACCGAAGTCTTTCACGTTTCGGAAGAACTGATACCCAGATTCGGCGAATGGAGACTGTTAGGAAGACAATGATTAGGGTTGACAGATTCATATACTTCTACCCGATACGACTCACCTGCCCTTGGCTTCCTAGGCTCGACAGCCAGTAATTGTCACCATTATCCCGTGAATGGATTGTGCCGTGCAGCGCCAGCTCCATGGTGGCATTAAGTGGCCCTAGCACCGGGCCAGTCAAAGAGCCGCGGTCTGGCGCACTTCCAAAGTAGTTGTGGATATTGTCCTTCATATAGGTCGGTGGTGGCTGTTGCGCAAGTCAGCAACAGTTACATTGGTGGCGGGCAGTGAATTCACTAACATGAGGTGACCCCAGTGGTAACGGTGGCTTTTCTTCCAGTACGTTGATTGGGACTGAATTATCGCGGTGGACATGATGATGTACATGCTGGTGCAAATGAGCATGGCCATGATGAGAGTGGGCATGTACATGGGTGATGCCCTGCGCGCCGAGCCAGAACAGCGCGAGACTATGTACCAAGACCATGTCCGGGTGTTGCGTAATTGAAAAGCTTTCCCCATTTGCAGTAGAGGGGATGGGAGCAAATAAATGAGGCGAGGAGTGTCTACATCCTGCACAGGGGCACGACAGCCCTCGGCTGGATAATTGGATAGAACGGGTATCGGGATCCAAGAATTGTTAGCGAATCTGTTCTAATTCAATACCTTGCAGTAGCTCAGGTACTAGCGTTAACAGTGGTCAAACAGCTCCCTGGCTAAGCGGTGTTGCTTCCTAATTACTCGGCCCTAATTCGGCGGAGCAAAAGAAATACCTAGCGAGATAATGCAACGGCCAGCTTTGGAAGAACGTCCTACCCCTTCTGATATCCATAACTTCCGATTACATCCGCTATTGACGATGAATTATTACAATGTTACATCGGTCTGCAAAGTGACTCTCCACAGATGAAACAGAAATTGTGTACTCTCTCGTAAATTGGGACACTGGGGGCCAAGAGATTGGAGGTGTTTGGGTATATGGATATAGCTGGCTAGCACTATCTTGTTTATTCTTTACTCCCGTTTTTTTGTAGAATACTTCGAATGATAGCAGCACGAAACAGAAAACTTGGTAGTTCGGTACAAGGGCATGGCGTCTCAGTCGTCCCTCACCTACGCTCCACAATCTCAACTGCTATGCCTAACCGTGTTCTTCCTGAATGGGAATGCCTTGCGTATCGCTATCACCTCCGCCCTAGGCCAGAGGCTATGCATTTAGCGTTAATGTACATTCGCTAAACGAGCAGAGTTAATGTATAGGCTCTTGCGTAGCACATGCTAGCTGTGTTCATACCTAGGTTCTAGCCGTGTCATCTCTACCTTGACGTCGCATTTTGGAATGAGTATTAGCGGTTAGTAGTGTGTAGTAATTTCAAGAGGGGCTGAGCGACTCCCCTGTGGGTAGCTGGGGCCCGAGCTATACTGTGCAATACCTACTCCGTACAACACTAGCCGGGTGCTTCCGTAGCGGAAATATGGGCCGATTGTTGTATCTCTCCTTTCCTGTTATTTCATGAAAACAGAGGAAATAAGCCAATAGAAAACGAAGGGAATGGAAATGTGGGACACGGCGTTGTCTCGGTTCTTGGGGATATGGATCACGGACCAAATCCGACTATTCCGGTACGTTACAACCACTAATGGAGGCTTATAGGTTAGTGTAAGCCTAGAACAACAGCAGGACACACCAGGAAATATTACAAGACCCTAAGTAGATCGTTCATAGTCAATATTGGCTTTTGTGTGGGGTCTACTAGTATAGCTTAACTGTTCGCCCTAAAGCTTGCAGCCGATGTAACCTTCTGCTAGGATCAAGCGACCTTAGAGGCATCAATCAATATCCATGGGCACTCCGTAATTGCTAGCCTCATTCAAAACTCAGAATCAGGAGAAGTCATTAACCTCTAATGTCCTTTCAACCCAGCCCCAACTGTAGAACTACCCTGTCATTCTACCTCGGAAATGAGTATCCGCTCGTCAGTGGAGCTCTCCTCTCCAGGCGAGGTATTGGATATGAATTTGGCCATGGATGGAATAATGGGGCTAAATTTACAATCTCCGACAGAATCAGCTGTCAAGACGAGAAAGTTAATACAGTACTAAAACTAATAGCGGACTAAAATCAAAGGTACTGTGCATAAAATATGTAGGTTGGGTTCATAGTTCTCGCCTCCCTAGCTCAGGGATGAGAATGATAAGAGAAAACGCACACTGTTTCCATCTACTCGTACGACAGAATCTCTATCTGAACCATTCCTGGGAATTGCAACCACTATGGCCGTTCTACATTCGTTCCTTTCCCCTGTGTTACTGCTTGCAGCATGGGCAAATACTTGGCCCTTCGCTCTTGCCCAGGCTCGCGGACCTAGAGATATAAAAAATATGTTTCAGGTTAGCTTCAATCCTGATGTGGCAGGGAACTGTGCTGGCCGAGAGAATGATTTCTCACAGATCATTGAGGATGCCTACATCTTATCAAAGGCTGGTATTCGGGCAGTCTCGGATTCCATGGACAAGGATTCAAAGACACGATCCGAGGCGGACAGACTGGTGAGAGCAATCTTTCAAGACCCGTCTGATGAGGAACGGGGGAAGATTACAAGTAAGCTAAACGGATTGCGAGTAACACAAAGGATGGGTACTGACAAGTTACTCGAGGGAGGTTCAAGTTTGTCAGGAACTTCTTCCAAGAGGAGAGCACGATTCTCCACGGTGCATCTAAGAACAAACCGTACCTGTTCTGCAGCGATTCGTGGAGAATCCGTGAGGATATGAGTAGCCAAATGAAGGACGCGGAGGGCAACCTCATGAAAGATGAAAAAGGCTCCCCATACCTGATCAAAGACGACAAGAGGATGAAGTCGCGCCAGAAGGCGGCAATGAGGGAATTGGGAGCATCTAAAGCAAAATATGTCTTTCCGGTATATCCCTCCTACAGGATGTTGAAAGCGCCGCCTGCCCAAAATTTGCTGACAAGGGGTCTGTAGTACTGGTGCGATGGCCTCAAAGCCTACATGTTTGACAAAGCTTTCGGCAACGACCCTACGCAAGGCCCCTGCAGCTCTGGTGAAAAGATTCTTGGATACACGGTCTGGGAATCAAAAGTGGGCATTGGCGCTGTCGTGCTCTGCAATGAGGCCTTCGTCGGTGGCAGATTACGTTCGGTTAAGGTTGACCCCTTCGACGACAGTGTTTTTGCCAAGGGCAACAAGCCTCCCCTAAAGAAAACGGCCATTAAGACGGTGTCACCCATGGCGACAACCTTCTACCACGAGCTTTTCCATCTCCTGTTTGCAACGGCAATGGATCCCGAGAATGGTGAGGAGTATCAATTCAAGCGGATGACTGGCAAGGAGGCGCGTGTGGGGACCAAAGGGACGCAGGAGACTTTTTCCAAGGAACAAGCTATCCAAAACCCGCACAGCTATGTTTATACTAGGTATGGACGCCCTCCTTGCTTGAACAAACCCTCGGCTGATGTTAATAATACGCGTTTAGCATTGCGTACGACTATACGCAAAACGAGAAATATACCGGCAAGGATTCAAACGATTCTGGGAAGGATAAAACATACCCTATTGAATTTTACACTGGCTGGGCTACATACAATGCATGAGCTACTTCCATCCAATGCATCGCGGCTTTCGAAGCATTGTCTATTGTTTCTGATGTCAACTGCCCCCAGGAAAAACGGCTAGATACTACCCAACTTATCATGAACATCTTCGGCCCTTCCTTTGGCATTCCACCGTGATCCCCTCGACTCTGTATATATTAGTTTGGTTGTGCGTTGTATTATGGGATTTGTATGTATGCTCAGTCAAGGCTTAACGTACCAATACCTACGTGTGATCATTATGGGAATGTTATAGTAAAGGGAATCCGCCAGAGTTTGCCCTGGCAATGACAGGTAGTTAGATAATTGCAGCATTGGTAATATTCGAAATGATACGAGTTAATATCCTTCTAATTTAGGTAGACTCATAATAACGGCGTCGAGAGTCGTAAAACTTAAGATCTTCCTCACTCAAAAAGCTATACCATCTTCGTAGATGTCGGATGCATCGACGCGAGCTTCGGTCGACCATAGTCCCATGTCAATCATTCTCTGCTCTTCCCAGATAGCGAAGCCATATTTGAGATACACGTTTGGCCATATATATTGACCCGGCCCAGCATTACGATTCATATTCATGCCCGTCCAGAATTGTACACCAATCGTTGCTCCATGGAGTGTTCGCCACTCCCCCCGGCTTGGAACTTCTCCAAAACCTTGAATAGGGAAAGGCGCTGGGGGTATGATCTCCGGGTCACTTGGAGGATTCTCCACGATTATGAGTCTGTCCTCAGGTATGCGAAAAAGGCAGCGCAGTCGTCCCCAACTCTCCGGTCCATCACTCTCGTCCCCATCGCTTTCGGACTCGTCACTCTCGAGTTCCTCGCTCTCTGACTCCTCACTCTCGGCTGGGGTCAGCAAGTCCTCTTCGTCCTCGGAGTCGGTATCCAAAGCTACTCTCGGATACAGAATTGGACTCGGCACTGAGCTGGTAAATGGCCTGGGTTCGGGGAGCTGTGGGTCCGAAGGACTCCAGCCTTGAATCACAGCCATTGGAGACGGAGGCGACTGACATGTCCAACTAAACTCAGAGCCCTCGGGGATCGTAGGCAGCTGAAGTGGTTTAGTCTGTTCAAGTCCATTTGACAATTCTTCCTCAGAGCCATCTGGATTAGTTTGCTCACAAATAAAGCGTAATGCAGTCATGGCCTGAGATCTTGCAGTCCCGGATAACACATGCTCGTAAAGACCTTGACTTTGCAGTCTTATAAGCTCTCTGGGAGACCAATTAAGATGTCCCTTCAGCCCTTGCAATTTGAGTTCACTGCAGAACAACACGCGCCAAAATGATAGAATGCTTCGTTGCTCCTCCGTCCACGTGGGAATTATGAACCCCACGGGGTATTCCCTTTGGCCGAGCGGACTAGCTAGGCACCGTCGAAGGCAACCTTCAATGCAGAGATGTGCCAAGACATGGACCCTGTGGGATAACGCCACAAAAGTCCGGAGCTGGTCTGGTGTTGCCATAATTCTCTTGCAGAGCAGGAATCGATCAGTCTGGGCGTCCTCAAAACTGTAATATGAATGTATGCCGGTGCGGAGAACGAGAACCTGTCGCATATACAGTCGCGTCTGAGCTGGGACAGTCAAGTTCAATACGGCATCCACTATCTCCGACGCCCTCGAATTGAAGACTGCTAACATCTGCGACGATGTAGTCAGCAGACTCCAGAGGGCGGAAATGTCCGGGCATCGCTGGAAGATCTCGTAGAGGAGCTCAGCCGGTAGCTGCGATAGGTAACATGGCCGGGTACTGCTGGAGGAATCCATTTTTGGATGGACAAAACCAAGTCGCTGGACTGACAAAAGTCGTGACTCAAAAGTGGGTTGTCTTCAGCGAAGCACACTATGATATGTGAATGAACGCGGCCTTGCCCCTCATGTCCTGGGTGTGCTCCTTGCGTGCTTCCCTCTGACTAGTTCGTAGCTGTGGCGGAAGTCGTCGGAGGCCATGATGGATGTCCAGGGTTCGCCCCACTTGGCAATCTCTGGAGTTGTACGCAGTAACGCACTTGTATATGACACTAGTATTACTGGGATAGTTATGAGTCACAGGTACTACCGTAAACACTAGTAAGCCAGTATGCAACCGTGCTCCCGGTTATCCTACAATATCCTACAGTCTCAAGCTCCTTTCGCCCAAGACCGGCACGATCTACTCCGTACTAGGAGAAGTCTCATCACCTCTTACCAATGCTCGACTGCCTTTGGCTAAACCCTTCCTAAACATCCGACCTTGTTGACTTGTTAAGATTGGCCTTCGATATCACCCCATCTACTCCAACATCAGCCTAATGCTGCGCCTTTCTCGGTCCCACCCTCTCTGCTCCCACTGTTGTTGTCGTCTCCCATGTACTAATTGTATGGTTCATGTCCCCGAGCGAAACCAGAATCTCAGACACGCCGAAGAATTCTCAGGCTACCGCTCGACATGACATGGCCTAATGTATTCGAGGGCGATGTAACGGTCCCTTGTCATTCCGATCTCTCGCTTCCATGAGACCTTGTCCCGGACATCCTCATCAGCATATGGCGATTGGTGGATCTGTCAAACATATCAAGAGCAAACCAAGTGCCGCCGTTTGACTGCCGCCTTGTTCATCCTTCTCCTCGGATCAATTCGATCCTCCATAAGCAGTCTTGTTCCCCGTGGTGACGGTGGATGCACTCCATTGTGGAGACTTGGGGGTGTACGAGAAATGGCTTTGATGAGAGAAGAATGATGTTAGCGGATTTACCAGTACAATGTTGTTACCAGGCAAATACTCTAGTGTGTGCGATGTGTATATCGTATAGAGTGAATCCAATATTATATCCTGTTCCCAGTTACCCCTCTTACTCTTGTATTCTAACTTCATATATCCAGCTGCTGTTGAACCCTGGTAAAGTGCTATATCTTGTTCTATTTACCCGCTTTAGCTTCTCAAATTCATGCATCTGCCATCAAAAATGGCTCTCTCCTAGTTACTTTTATCTGCTCGCCCTCCCTGTATCGTCGGTACAGTACTAGGCCATTGTTTTTGTGGAAATTAATTACTGACAAGGGCCCTCTAGATGCATTAACTAGAACTCTCAGTGTCTAGAGGACCCACACTGAGGGTGGGGTGGGGTTCCACTAATCGTCGGCTAAGCTTTACTTAGTATAGTTAAGCAACCGATGTTGGAGGATGCTGGCTCTTATGTTACATCGTTTGACTCCGGGGTATGGAGTAGTTCGTGCAGCATTAGCTAGGTGGGTCTGTATCACTTGAAGCGCCATGGGGCTTTTTGTCTGGTGTTGTTAAGTAGTAAGGGGAAAATAAGGGATGCCAAGAAGGAGAACGAAGCCCCAACTTGGGCAGATGGCAGTTGAGTTTTCAAATTAACTATTTTAGAGTATCATTGCACCTCTAGTCCCAAGTCGCGGCAATTGCTTGCTAGCTGTTGATTCCCTCTTCACTTCACATAAGAAGATTCGGGGGTTGTATCAGGCGAAGCAGACTAGAGCTACTAATATCATTGGGGCTTGGTCATGAAGTGAGTGGGCTGTGGATATAAGATTAACAGCTATTACCCTGCGAATTAATATATTCGACTTCTACTTGTAATACAATATGACTATTCTGTAACAGCCCTGCACGTCTCACCACTATTATACTCATACAGGGTATTGAAATGAGCAAGAGACCATATTACCACGGACCGATCAGAACGGAATGTCCAGCGCGAATTCGGACATGAATAAATCAATATCGAAGACCTTTGCAAGTTAGCATATGCAATGCATGAAATTAGTCTCAGTCAGCTTACCATGTCCATGTCCGCAGACGAGAAGCTTTTAGGCGTCGGGGCAAATGTCTCCACGTTGAGCCCTGAAGGCAGACTCTGTTTGTGCCTAGGATCAGTACAGAATATAAATGGATGATCCTTTTCACGGAACTCACATCACTTGTTTCTTCCGACGAATTATGACAAGGTGGTGGCGAGACCGGAAACCCGAACCTTCCCAAGCATTCTTGTAATTGACCTGGAATATCGGTTTCTACACCCTTTGATTTCACGATAGCAAAGAGCAGTACAAGAAGTACCTGCTCCTCCATCTCATTTTGGTTTTGCTCCCGCCTCATTGAGAGTATATGAATGGTATCTTCGACCAATTTAGAATATTGCTGCACCAGGCAAAGGTCTAGAGCACCTTAGTTAAGCATTCTTTTGCGCAAGGGATTTATATCTGCTTACCTCTAGTTGGTGGTATGACACTTGTGTCAGGGTCATTGGGCAGTGCCACCTTCAACGTCAAGCATAAGCAGATAACAGAGGTCAGGATGTCATTTCGATGCCAACGCCCAAGAATGAATCGCTGTACGGGAGAGAGGTCAGGGTGCTGGTAGAGGCTGAGAATTGAGCGACAAGTGTCCAGAACTTGTTCCTTAGGATGAAGGTCTGATTCAAAAAGATCTGTTAATTTGTAATGAAGAAATGCGCTGTGGTGAGTGAGACATAACATAGCGTGCTGACGCTGATCATACGTGCCTTGGTCAAAGAATTGACCATTTGATAGCCCGGGTGGGGCTTTTGAAAGAAGTCGATTGCGTAGACCACAGGATGCGCAGTGCTCTCCCGGCAATTCCGCTAGTCCAATCCCACTGTACTTTGAACCGACCAAGCGCAGGCGGAGTCCTAACGATTCTGATAATGCATGTTGGAACGATGTATCGGTGGCAGATACCTTAAAATCAGGCGTTGGTAAACGTGTCATGTTAGCTGATAGATCTCGATCGTTGATGTCTAATGGGCGGCGTATATTGTATTGGGCTTGAAGAAATGCCTCTTGCACGCTCGCATGTCTTGAAACATGTAGATACAACTCTAGGGCTGTTGTCCACAATCTCCTGCGCATCTCGGCATCAAAGATGGACATACTGCCGCCGACTAATTCTGACTCCCGATGAAACCCCATGATAAGGCAGGTTTGTATCAGTTGTCCCGCCAGCTTCCAGGCAACTGTTGCCTTTGACCCATCAGCGATGCGAGCCACGACAAGCAAGCATTGTGTTTGAACATGATCAAGGGACGGTCGGCCCTCTGACGATCTGCAGTGTGAGAACAGCTCAGCCAGCTGTAAACCCTGAGATTCTATGTATTGCAGCCATTCTGGGGAGGCGTCATTTGAAATGCTTTCAGGATCGGGGTGCGCGAGCAGCCCGAGTCGAAGAATGATGACTAAATTTGCGACCCAGGAAAGGCTCAATGACCCCGGAGAGCGCCAAAAGACTTCAAACTCCTCTTTGAAAGATGAAATGTGGATCACACGGTGTATATTCTCGAAGTTCTCAAAGTAGGCATCCAGCAGAGCGCTGGCAACTGTCTTCGAAGGGATAATAGCACGAAGCGCGGTGTCGAGTGATAATGATGGGACTAATGATGATAACGGTTCTAGTTTCTGCTTCTTGGCACGTTCCCGGATGCGCATGAACACTTGATTAATCATATAGCAAATGGGATGGCTGTTAGGTCGATTCCGGAGCAAGTAGATTTCTGGGAACTGAGTGTGATTGAGTGAATCTCTTAGTGACGTTCTCACTTCTTGCAAACTAATCTATCCTCATCATACTCACTAGATAAATTAAGCCCGTCCAATGTCGGCTGGATACAAATTCAGTCTTACGCCCATTCTTCCCTCTTAAATAGCCTTCTGCCTCGAATATCTTGGGGATGTTGATGGGCACATTAGTAGAAGATGCTGCAATGCCAGTGTTTGCTGCAGGGTACTGTGGTTGGGGGTGTGTAGAATCCCTTTGCGGCAGTGGATCAGTGGTATTCTGGCTGGACTGTAGCCGACTCAGGACTGGCAGGTAGGTGTTCAGAAGGCTTTCCAGTCTGTGGACACGTGCAGTCAAGTCCTCCTGTGCGCGAGCGAGACTCGTCGGGTTTGGCAAAGGCAATTCTTGTGACACTAACGAGACTGCTGAGGGAAACGATGCATTCTTTTCACTTGCCCCCCTCTGCTGTTGGGTCGTGGGCGTATCCAAGTCGTCTATGTAGTGGCATGAACATTTATTCTTCGTACATTCCCCACACGGAAGTCTGCGGTCGCAGCGAGACCTGCGCCGCCGACATTCAGCGCATGAGTTAATTTGGCGCCGTCTTTTCTTCCTTGGTGGAGCGTCGGCTTGTCCAGACTGTCGGCTTTTTGACGGAGACCTTTCAGACTCGGGCAATCTATGTTGAGAGGCAGACTCGCTCATGATTATAAGATGCAACAGCGCTTCAGCTTGTAATTCCACCCTTCCGAGAGGGAACTAAACCATACCTCTTGGAAAAGGTGCTGGAGTGAGTCGAGGCACAAAAGGCGGCGAGGTCGTATATACGCAGCTGAACCCGGCGGTCGTAGTGCCGCCGAAATTACGGCGTAAATACGGGACCATGCCTCCTGCAAGCTGATAGGCTGCCGCTTTCCTATACTATAAATTGCAATGCCCTACATTCTCGTCCACGTTGACATATATGATTTTTTGTTTATATTTTAACGACAATACCCTTCCCTTCTTTACAAGAATTAACTCAACACACGATGCAAGGCCCTGAGGTCATGAAGACTGAAACTCGAACTGATGCCGAGGAAGGGGGCCTGTTAACTGCAGACGGAACCAAATCCGCATCATATACTCTCGAAGATTCGTTTCCAGAAAGCAACTTGGAGAAGGGTATAGTGGGTTGGGATGGCCAAAACGATCCCAAGAATCCCAGGTAGCTTAGCTTTCACCGCAGACCATGGATCGTAAACTGACCCGTCTCTAATGGTAGAAACTTTTCGAAGGGTCGAAAGTGGTCGATCCTGGGTTTTGTCAGTCTCATGTCTTTCCTTAGGTGAGAAACACGACTACACCTCCATTTTTGGCATTTTCTTCTAACTTCATCTCAGTCCCCTTGCATCATCCATGTTCGCACCGGGCGTTCAGTTCATGGATGCGTCCTTTCACAACGAATCCGAGGTCTTGAGCTCATTGGTCGTCAGCATCTACTTACTTGGCTACGTTGTTAGTGTCTCAGTTCGATCCGGGCTATTCCCTCGCTGATATAACATAGTTTGGTCCTCTTGTCCTTTCGCCGCTCAGTGAAATATACGGTCGACGCCCGGTTCTCTTCACCGCAAACTCAATATTCGTCGTTTGGCAGATCGGCTGTGCCAAAGCGCCGAGCTTGGCATCCCTCATTGTCTTCCGATTGTTGGCTGGCATAGGTGGCTCTGGATGTCTTACAATTGGGGGTGGCATTATAGGCGACCTCTTCGCCCCAACCGAACGCGGGGCAGCCATGGCTGCGTTTAGTATCGGACCCTTGGTAGGTCCCGTCATTGGTCCCATTGCAGGGGGGTTTTTATCTCAGCAGGTCAGCTGGAGATGGGTATGTCAAGCAAGCTTTACCCTTGTCCTATCAATGAAATACTAAAGCACTAGCAGGTTTTCTGGGTTTTACTCATCGCTTCAGGGACTGCGACGGTGGGCATCGAAGTCTTCAACACCGAAACCAACCCTGAAGTTATTATACAAAAGAAGGCAAAGCTCCTCGCCAAACAAACAAATAGGCCAGACCTCCGCAGCTGCTATGAGCAGGACGTATCTCTAACAAGTTTTGGGATCATCAAACGAGGCATCCTAGTCCCGATCACGCTACTCTTCGCCACCCCGATCAGCTTCATCCTGTCCCTTTATATGTCTCTCGTCTATGGACTGCTATACCTTCTCTTTACCACTATCACCGGCGTTTACGAGGTCACCTATGGCTGGTCACCTCAGGTATGCGGCCTGGCATATCTAGCATCGGCCTAGGATTTTTCGTTGGGCTCGGCGTTGTAGCAAAGTCCAACGACACGACAGTGGTGACCCTCACGCGTAACAATGGCGGGGTATATGAGCCCGAGATGCGTCTTGCTGCGTGTGGTATCTTCGCCTTGTTCATACCCATTTCATTTTTCTGGTACGGGTGGGCGGTTGAAAAGCATGCACATTGGGTCGTGCCTATTATTGGGATGATCCCGTTCGGTTTTGGCATGATTGGCGTCTTCATCCCTATCCAAACGTACATGGTTGACGCTTTTCACAAATATGCTGCTTCTGCCGTAGCTGCATTAACGGCTATGCGCTCATTGTTTGGGGCGTTCCTGCCCTTGGCTGGACCGCAAATGTGTAAGAGATTTCGTTTCTTCGTCTGCTTGGAAGCTGGAGAGGCTAATGGGATTCAATTGCAGACACAACGCTCGGGTATGGTTGGGTAAGTAGTGGCAAGTCTTAGGTCGCTGAGATTCCTTTGGATACTAATCTTTGGAGTAGGGAAACTCGCTTCTGGGGTTTATATCCGTGGCGCTGGTTCCAGTTCCATATTTGATATACAAGTTTGGTGGATATGTGAGAAAGAAGCACCCGTTGAATCTGTGAGTTCCTATGTTGAAGGGTGTATCACCTAAGATCTAGAGGAAGCAGGAAAGCAGACATGATTCTCACTATTCACAATGAGGACAGATCATCTTCGGGGAAGACAAGTGAAGGATCTATATAAAACGAAACAAGGCCGTAGAGTTTATCCAGACTAGGTTTAATTGGGTACAGTGGTGTTCTTATATTCATTCGAAATTGTCTCTGAAGTGGGATGAAAAAATAGATTTTTAATAAAAACATCCAATTCCTTGCATATCTAGCTGTCTGTAACCAGCTATTGGTATCCTACACTTTTTTGTCTGCGCGCCCGCCTTTGATAAGATGTGCTAGACAAGGGTCTGTAACAGTAACACACTAGAATATTCCGCGTAAACTCATTCGCTGACTAATCATTATCCATAACTCCCTGGAGGAAGTATTATAACACATAACTAGCTCTCACAAAAACCTATAAAACATTTAGAATATTCCAAAAGGCACGAAAACAGTCCTTCCTGCATCCTGCACTCTATTTGGCGGTCAAACTTTCTCCCCGCGCGCCACGCTTGTGTCCCACCCTACGCCAGTCCTCCAGAATCGAATCTCGCTTTCGAAATGCTCATCAAGATCGACGACATTAAATCCACTCCAGCCGTGCTTGCCTTGATTTCTTTGCATGTGGCCGAAATAAACCGCATGGTCGATTCCTGTGATGTTCTTGATGTTTCGAGCCTGCAGGCATCAAATGTCACTCTTTACTCTGCCTGGGAAGGCCATGAGCTGATGGGAATTGGAGCACTCAAGGAATTGTCACCAACACATGGCGAGGTGAAATCAATGAGGACAGTGGCAACACATTTTCGCAAAGGAGTTGGACGGGCTATCGTCGAGCATCTCATCAAGGTGGCGAAGGAAAGAGGATATGCCAGATTGAGTTTAGAGACCGGGGAAGGCGCTTCGTTTGAAAACGCAAGAGGTTTTTATACTAACATGGGCTTTAAGCTTTGTGATCCTTATGGACCTCTACCCCCATGCCCAGATAGTTCTTTCATGACTCTGAAGCTAGAAACCTGAAGTCGAAGTACCTACAAGCTTCAACGGGCGTCAGCAGCGAACACCGATCTGCAATGCTTATATGGTCGTGATGACATTCGCCCGGATTGCAGCATCCCGGCCAGAGACAGAAAAACACCCGTAGTTTTAAAGATTGGAACAAAATAGAAGGAAATCCTCCCCAACCATTGTCTCTTGTCTAATCATTCTAGGCTACGTCTTCCTCTTAGAGTTGGCCGGCCTTCTGAATAGGGCTTAATCTAGTAGATCTACTTGCCTAGTTTAAGCTTTCACTGAAATTTCTAATTAGATTTATATATTTAACTGGATAAAATAACTATTAATTAAACTGAATTAAATCTATTTACATTTTAATAGCAGATTTTCCTGGACTGTATTAATATAAATTCTGGCAGATTCGGGACAGGTGCAGATTGTTACATGAAAATCTGACCCGACGCCAACTCTACAAGTTCCTCCTGAAGACAAAGGCCGCATTTCTGTCCCCTCTCGCCCTTGAGGACTGAAGTTTACAGAAACTTAGGAGAGCCAGCGGCTATTCAATAGCGGGTTGGATTGAAATAGGAAAATCACTGCACCATTCCAGCGCAATATGAACTTACTAATGTTTATATAAGTTAAGACGCAGTTTTTCAAACAAGCAATGTTAATTGACTAGGATGTCACCAGCTAAAGCTGCGGCAGTTGCTTTTGGCAACTACCTATTAATCATATACAGTGTAGTTAAATAACCTGGACATATGACTAAATAGAGCTGCAAGAAACACAGCGTGTACCTGTGTGGCCATCAGTATTATATCTTGTAAATAACTGGTGGGGAAGTTTACCTTTCACCAGCTCTTCGTGCTTCACGAAGTGGCGTGGGCGCTAAATCTGCATAATCAGGGCTTCAGACACAACTGACGTGGCATATCTTCATTCGTTGTATATGGGGGAAGACACAAGGCTGAGTTGCCGGGAACTACATTGGGTCTTTGATCTTTCAACCCATCGCCTTCATGCGCTCTAGCAAACATTTCACAAGTAAACTTGAAATGTGAGCCGACCTTTTAATTCAAATCCTTACCTAGTTCCCTGGGCTGGCTTAGGCCTACCCCTCGCTTAACGAGATGCCTTCTAGGGGAGAATACACGGTGGGCTGGATCTGTAGCATTCGCAAAGAATACGTCGCTGCTCGAGCTTTTCTAGACGAGATACATGATGACATATGTGACCTTCCAATACAAGATAACAATACCTACACCCTGGGCAAGCTTGGAGCTCACCTTGTGGTCATAGCTCTTTTACCTGTTTATGGCCTATGCTCTGCTGCAAGCGCCGCAAAAGACATGTCGCATAGCTTCCACAATATTCAGATTCGCCTCTTGGTTGGTATTGGCGGAGGTGCGCCCAGTCCATGTCACGATGTCCGCTTAGGCGATGTTGTTGTCAGTACCCCTGAAAACAATACCGGTGGTGTGATCCAGCATGACTTCGGTAAAAGGATACAAAACGAAATCTTTGAAGATCAAGGCTTTTTGAATCAGCCACCGCATTGTCTGCTCTCGGCTGTGAATGGGCTCCGGGCCAAATACGATACTAAGGGCCATCGGCTCGAAGAATCTATCACCAGTGTCCTGAAGAGACACAAAAGATTACAAGAGGAGTACCAAAGACCGCATCCATGCACTGACAAGCTTTACAAATCGGATGTTGTCCGTGTCCAAGACGATCAAGTCGGCGGTACGGAATCAAACTCTACCTCGTTGATAGTGAAGGTATGTTTAGACTCATCGTCATTGCGTTTGATGTTTTGCGTGCGCTGAGAGTCAGGTCTAGCTTCTCTGGGATATCCTTCTACGCATATTACGCATTTTGCTCCACTTAGGGACAGACTCTGACGACAGCATGTCTAGTTTAGTCATGCGCCGTCAAAGAGCTGGAACGGAGGACAACCCCATGATCCACTATGGTGTCATTGCATCCGGAAACCAACTCATGAAGGATGCCGTATTACGTGATAAGTTCGCAGCAGCAAGGGGGGTTCTATGTTTCGAGATGGAAGCTGCGGGCTTGATGAACCACTTCCCTTGTTTGGTCATTCGGGGTATATGTGACTACGCGGACACGCATAAAAGTGATCAGTGGCAGGGTTATGCAGCAATGGCAGCAGCAGCTTATGCAAAAGACCTTTTATGTCATTTAGCGCCGCGGCGGATAGCAGCGTATAGGGATGCTGAGGGGGGTCAGGAAGACGACGCCATTCGTGAATGGCTTGCAGGGATTGACTATTCCAAGGTCCAGAAAGATTGCCTGGATCGATGGCAAAAGGGGACCGGTGGGTGGCTGATTAAGTCGGAAGAGTTTCAAAGATGGTTGGATGAGGACAACCAGATTCTTTTCTGCCCAGGCATTCCTGGTGCAGGAAAGACTTTCGCTGCCTCTTTCATCATTCATTACTTTTGCCAGACCTACCAGAGGGACCTGAACACGAATGTTGGCATCGCGTATGTATACTATGACTGGCAAAAGCCCCAGACATCGCGTCATGATCTGCTTTCAAGCCTTCTTTCACAACTGATTCGGCCTTCCATTCCGGAGTTTGTAAGAAGCTTTTACAAACAGCATAGAACCCGAAATACTCGCCCTTCATCGGACGATCTTATGGGTATCCTGGTGAAAGTCATCTGCGCGTACACAAGGACCTTCATTATCATTGACGCTCTAGATGAATGCGATGGTTCTGGCGGGTCACGATCAGAAGTTCTAGCAACATTGTTCAGTCTGCAGGATACAACTAGGGCGAACCTCTTTGTGACGTCTCGGCATATCCATGCCATAGAGACAGAATTTTACCAAAGAAGGAGTATTGTGCTCGAGATTCACGCTCGCGATGAAGATATCCGGAGATATCTCGATGGCCATGTAGCTCGACTACCAAAATTTGTTCTGGAGAAACCTGGGTTGGAAGAAAATATCAAATCGATGGTTATCAAAGCAGCTGATGGGATGTAAGAGTGTGCACGCATACCAGCACTTGGTAGTTTACTAACTCTTGGGTCAGGTTTCTCCTCGCATATCTTCATTTGCAGTCATTGGCGAATATGATAACAATCTCTGAAATCAAAAGGGCTTTAGAAATGCTACCTAAAGAATCCAGCACATACAAGGATGCATACGACAGAATTATGCACCGGATTAAACAGCAACCAACGAGCCACAGAGGACTAGCTACTCGGGTTCTTTCTTGGATATTTCGCGCACGGAGAGCATTGGGAATCATAGAGCTACAGCACGCCTTGGCTGTCACAGAAAACTCATCCACAATCGATTTAGATAATATCCCAACCATTGACGTGATAGTCGATGTTTGTGCTGGCTTGGTCACCGCTGACAAAAGCTGTGGAATAGTACGCCTGGTCCACTTTACAGCGCAGGAGTACATTGATCAATGTTGGACAGCATGGTTTCCTGATCCCAATTTGAATATCGTCAAGACTTGCGTGACATACTTGTCGTACGAACATTTTGAAAGGGGCCCGGCTACGACTTGGCAAGAGTACCAACAGCGACTAGAAGACAATCCCCTTTATGAGTATGTCGCGCAGTATTGGGGTTTCTATGCTAGAGAAGCCTATCACGAAGCTAGACAGTTTACATCATATCTCCTGCGGAATAACCCAGTGCTTGCCAGCGCAGCACAGGTTTTACTGGAAGAAAGATCTATTTTCCGTCCGCTGAGGAAGGTGGAAGGGGTCATCGGGTTGCATATCGCCGCATATTTTGGATTAAATCTTGAATTAATAGACCTTCTAAAGGGTACACCATGCGTCGCGACGGTGGATAGCTTTGGTCATACCGCTCTACATTGGGCAGTGATGGGAGGGCAGGCTCAGACGGTCGAAATTCTTCTTCATAAGGGGCTCGATGTGAATATGACAGATGCTGAGATGAGATCTGCGTTGCATTACACGGCAAGCAAAGGCAACGCTGCATTGACACACCTCCTATTAAGGAACGGTGCACGTACCGAAATACGAGATATAGATGGGCAGACGCCCTTACTGGCTGCAGCAGACAAGCTCAGTGTGGCCGCAACAAAAGAGTTATTAGATGCAGGGGCCTTTGTCAATGCCGTAGATACAATGAGTCGGAATGCATTACATTTGGTAGTGCTTGCTGCAAAGGATCAAAGCGCTCATCTAGCCGGCTTGCTCTTATCTTGGGGTATTGATGCTAGCTTGTGCGATGTTGAAAACATGACCCCGCTGCATTATGCAGTTGCAACAGGAAACCACCTAGTTGCAGACATACTTCTCCGGGCTGGTGTCGATATTAATACTGGCGTTGAGAGAAACCTTTGGACGATTAGTATGGAAACTGGGGAACGAACGTATCAAAAACATCAGCAAACTCACATTGCAGAAGAGAATGTTACCAACGCCGTTGGCCTCACACCGCTGCATTTTGCAGCTTGTAGTGGCCACTGTGCAATGACGGAATATCTCCTGGGCAAGGGTGCCAATCCAAACTCACAGTCTCATGACGGGGACACACCGTTGCATATTGCCCTGAATAGAGGCATTCCAGGAAGCAATTTGAGGGGATTGGCAAACGATGACGCATGGACGGACGACAGATGGCAAGTTGAGCTTAGTGCCAACTTCCTATCTGACTATGAAGGAGAGGAAGCACGCGAGATCTATCGATATATCGATGAACAGAGATTAGCGGTCCTTAATATCCTTCTTGCAAGAAGTGATATTGATGTGAATATCGCAAATACAGCACTAGAATCACCACTTCATAAAGTTCGCTATGGCGACATTGACTCGGGAGTGGTTGTTCAGTCACTACTTGAGAAGGGGGCTAATGCGTTTGCACGGAACTCGAAAGGACAAACAGCATTGCACCTCGCCTGTAAAGCAGGAAGTTCTACAAATGTCTGCAAGTTCCTTGACTGGGGTTGTTCCATTACCAACAAGGATTCGGAAGGCGTGACTGCTTTACATTACGCTGTGCACCAGAATAGATGTGACACCGTAAGAATAATCCTAAACAAGGACAGAGAGGGAGGCCGACAGCTATGTCTCGAAACAGACAGACAAGGTAGATCTTTACTCCATCACCATCTACAATCCCGTATCTGCTCCCTCGAGATGGTCACCATACTACTGAATCATGGTGCGAGAGTGGATGATCTTGACAAAAATGGAGACACCCCTCTAAGCTTATACCTGCAGACGTTTCACTTATCGTACCGGACAGAAATTTGCCTCTCTCTTCTGCAACAGGGAGCTGATGCACGCTGGACGAACTCAAAAGGAGAGAACTTGGCACACCTGGCAATGCGCAATTGGAAGGTGGAGGTCGAGCTTTTGAAGGTTTTGTCGGAACATGGTGTGAATTTGTCCGCGAAGGATAAGAGTGTCAAGAATATTTTACATCATGGAGCTATTCACGGCTCAGTGAGTAAGGATATTTGTGACTTCATTTTGCAAAACAACCTCATGAACTGGAATGAGAAAGACGAGAAAGGAATCACTCCATTTATGTATGTGCTGGAAGAGTCCAAGAAAACGCGGCATCGCTATCTCTTTGCGTCAGATAGATGGGAGCGTACAAGGGAGAATCTCAGTAACCTGGCGAGGGACAAAGGGTTGAAGCTGTAAGCAGAAGTGCAAGCAGGCCTCATTACCTATTCAGTGTGTTCAATATATATTGCGAAATACTATCCAAAAAAAAGAAAAAAAAAAAAAAAAAAACGTCTCGGCCATTGGGATTCTGTCCATTATTCCTCGCACGGCAAAGCCTTTGCTATCTATCTTGTGGAAGTTTTGTTTCCGGCAGCTAAAGCGCAACCTCGTAGTCATCGTCGTCGTGATACAACAGAATGATGTGGGCTCCGGCCTTAGCTGCTCTCACTTCAGTTTCCCCGTAGCAACTACCAAAGTATTAGACCCCAGTACGAAGTAGAGGTGTCTGCCCATGGCTTTGGTCTGGGAGTTAATGTACGGGAGCGTCTAGTTGGAAGTTGATCATGTATGTGACCAAGTGCTCTCGGCTGCTTGCCACACTACTCATGACGAAAAAAAAAACTACGTTAATTGTACAATATCCCCCACAATCCCATGACATGATATACAACTTTCGCGATATCTGCATGTAGCAGTATTCACATTGCAAGTTATTTACATCTAGTTGGCTGGCCAAAGGACCGCAACAGGCCCTTATGTGCTGCTGTGGGGGGCCATCTCACAGGTCTTTCTACATCTTAATCCAGTTGCTACGAGGCGTGTAATAGGCAGAAGTGCGGCACAGCAATAACCAACCACAGCGACTAAATTAAAGCTACATTGACAATAAATTTCAAGTAGTTAATTGGGTAATCATCAAAAAAACATACAACAGGAGGGATTCGCTGGTGGTCACCCAACTACTAACCTCCCGGCGTGTGGCTTAAACGCGGCCAGAAGTCGGGTGGGTGCTGCCCGGGTGAGCTAGCGGGTGAGCCGCTTTATAATCGCGCGAGCTTAGGTGAGCTTGGGTGAGTAGTACACAATAGATAGGATAAGCAGCTGGCCGATACTTACCCGAGCACGGGCAATCTCGCGAAAACTTATCTAAAAGTGATCTGTTCAATCTACTTTACTTATATTCTATATGTTCTATTAGATACCACTCTACTTTTGTTCTTGGCTGCTGGACTTTGCTACAATAGCTTTTAATTTTGGATTTCACATAGGTAAACAGATATCAAAACAGATACTTCCCTTTGTTATATAAAAGGAGAAATTGACACAATATAGTTATTATACTAAACTATAACTTAAGAGTAAATAACAGCGTTTTGGGGAACATGATATATTTTTATATAAATTGTACTATTCATGTATTAATTACTTATCAATATAGAGAGATAGATAATACTGGTAGACTCGATTCTATAAGTTATTTTTTGTTAATCTAGCCCCAGGCAGTAGACCTAGTAGTAGATCTACTGATTCAGTGCCTAAAACGCCTCACAATCTAAAGCAACTACAAAAGCAGGAGACTACGCTGAAGAAGCTGCTTAGAGCTCGTACAAGGAGCCCTGACTCGCCCACTAAGATGGTGATAAAACAGCTTTTCAAAGGCTGTGAACGAGCTTTAAATGAAGCTACTATTGCAAAGCAGGAAGCCAGGGAACTACGCGCCGCGAACACAATAATACTTAAAAAGAAAAAGCGCTCTACTAGACAGATTACTATAGAAACAGGCCCTTCAGTTCAGGACGCTCAGGAGCTTATACAGAGCAGGAATTCTACTAATAAAGCTATATCTACTACCCCGGTAGATATCGCACCTGTAGTAGAAAGTCAGCGTGTACGCGCTCCACCAAAGTGCTCTGGCTGCGGTATTCTAGGTCATAAAATTACTCAATGTCCTAATCGTCGGGCTATTTAAATTTTCTATAGAAATGCAGATTTTTCGGTGTTTTGAATAGATTCAAAATATGACATGCGTGAAATTCGGGAGGGCTCGGTTACGTGGAACGCTCGCTTTCCGAATACGTTACTCGTCGGTGCTGTTATGTGAGCTGGTGGATCAAGTCTGCCAGCTTCAACCTGTTAGGAGAACCCTTGTCTCGTGTACCTTATTGAAAGCGGGGCATGCGAGGCAGAAAACCATAGGTTGACGAGAGCAAAAAAAGACGGCTAAACATAATCCTAAGTGATGTAGCCACCTCAGTTGCTTTTTATGAAAATATTGCTATTTAAAGCACTGCTTAACCGTATATAAAGAAATGGGCAGTTCTATCGATTCGAGCAGTGCATGGCCTTATGAACCCGTGTACGATAGCTATAACATTTAGATAGGGCACACCTAAAGTCTGATTTGACAAGTAAAGCTCTATCTAAATGTAGAGCTTCATCTGCAGGTCACGTTGTATACTTTCTATGTGCTCTAGTTCATTGTGCTGATACTCTTAGTTCTATTTGAAGCTGCTCTATGAATTGTTTCTGCTTTGAGCTACTTTGTATGAGCGGTGTCATATTACCCAAGCGGAGGCTCTATAAGATATCTCCATAAACAGCAGTTCATCTCCTTTTAATATTTAATTATCTCCTTGCCACGAGTTCTGCCTGGGACCTGGATATGGCCGTCGGCAGGGTAGCTTCGATTTGCCCTCTCAATGCTTTAGGTTCCTTGTAGAGCTTTTCGTCATGTTGATTGTCGACAGATAAAGGGAGCGAGAAGGGCACTACGGTGTTTGACATGCCAAATCAAAAATGAAGGAGTAAGAACGTCTACTCTTATAGGCTTGGCAGCTGGAGGAGCCTATTCCTCGTGTGCTTCGCCGGATTGGATCGGCACTTGGGGCGTACAAAGCTCCGTCCAAGGATCGCCCAACTAGTCTTTATGCTATGTGAGAGCTGCGATGAGAATGATCATATGAACAAAAACAGGGGATATAATGAATTACCCAACCACATTCAGTGAGTGAAATCAAGCTCAGCGTACTCGTCACAGACTTCAAGCAGTTTGGCCTGTGTACCAGGTTCCTACAAAGAGGTTAACATAGCCGTGTCTGAGAAACCAGGTCAATCAATGCTGCATTAGATGATGGACGTACAGTAGCACTATGACCGGCATCAGGAGTCCAAAATAATCGAGAGTGTGACAAGCCCTTGTGTAGATCCCAAGCTGTCTGCGGTGCGCAAACAACATCATAGCGGCCCTGGATAATAGTGGCTATAAGACAGGCAGTTAGCTGCACTTAAGGCACAATGTCTCGACCAGGAGTGGCAAATCACTTACTCGGAATATGACTAATCCTATTCAAATTCTCCTCTTTGAGAATCTGACCCTCCTCCAGAAATCCCCCATTCGCAAAGTAATGTGCCTCAAGCCGAGCATGAGCAAGCACCCACGCATCATCTTCGAGTTGAGCGAAACCCTCAGGGTCCGGTCTCAAAGTGCCAATACTCAGATCCCATCGGTTCCACGCCCTCGCCGCGGCGAGCCTTGTCTCGTACTCATGCGAAACAAGCAGATCATAGTACGCCTCGTTCGGTCTCGCCCGATCCTTTTCGGGGAGAAAATTGACAAATGCTTCGTAGGCTTCAGGGAAGATGTTTGCTGCGCCAATAGACCCACGGGAGAACTCTAGTTCAAGTTTCCTGACAGTGAAGATTCCCCGTAGTATCAGGGAGCCTACCATTTCCGGGTAGGCTTGGGCATAGAGCAGGGACAGGGTTGAACCCCACGAGCCACCAAAGACGAGGTGCCATTTCGTGATTTGAAGGTGTTTACGTAGCACTTCAATGTCGGAGACTAGGTCCTGACTTGTATTCTCCCGTATTTCGGCGGAGGGTGTTGATTTCCCGGCGCCACGTTGGTCGAACAGCACCACGCGGTATATGGCTGGGTTGAAGAATTTCGTGTTGCTGTATGAGGTGTGTCCGCCGGGTCCGCCGTGGAGGTAAAGGACTAGTAACATTAGTATATTTGCCATTCCAAAGTTTATATATGTATAAGTTGTAGTGAATGATAATGGAGTACTTATGGGTCGGGGGAGTTGCGCGTTCATTCCAAGGTTCATGGTGGTGGTCTCTTACTTGGCTTCCCATCCTGTTTGCCATACTGTTCATAATGCAGAGTATGAATATCGCTGACGGGCAACCTGCCTATGTCAAAGGCGGCCGAGTGAATGTATCCTGTCAGTAGATCGGCCATGTTGTTTAATGTCAAGTTGTATTCTTGTAGTGGGTGGCCCAACGCGGGGTCACTGTCGCTAATAGAGGAAAGTCGCGCAAGAGTGAGTCATAATGTTAATATGGGTACCACCTGCCGCACGTCACCATCTGCCCCACAATACTCATACTCACCGAGTTTCAGTCTTCATATTTCGAACCTTTATATCTCCACCAATATGATCCCAATTGAAGAGGCGTTAGCAACAATCGATTGGTTGGAACATAACAAGTCGATTAATTATACCAAACTTACCAAAGGCTTGGTATATACCAGTCAATCTTTCATCGAGGAAAACAACAGTCAAGCGAGACGCAATATGAAATGCTACAAGTTCTCAACAACCGACAATCCGAAGAGTTTATAAATAATCTAAGCGAGCGTGGACTTAAACTTTCGCATGAGATAGTTCAGATTTTTGCGAAAGAAATTACTGGAAAAAAGCCAGGTAAAAAGGATTAGGTGTGGCAATGACTGTTACCATTTCGCCATTTCGCCATTTCGCCATTTCGCCATTTCGTTCCACCTCCTCTCATCTATGGCTTTACACCAAGTACTGCGCATGTCATGTTGCAGCGCCAAGAAATAAGAATACGCTTTTTGATAGGGGGAGCTATCCGCTCAAGCTTATTCGGCCATCATGTGGTTTAATGATGGCTCGCGCTAATGTCCAAGCACTCCCGCTGCACCAGCACGCCCTAATCTTATTGGCCTTTGGATATTATCTTGGGCGCAAACACGGGTAGCTGGTGTCTCGGTTTGTCTGGAACAACCATGAAAGCTCGACACCTGTGCCTGCTCCGATATGTTTCAACCTTGGCCGTAGCTTCAACTGTCCGTGATTCGGCTTCCAATGACTGGTTATAGGCCAATTCTATTCGTGCTCAGAAAAAAGAGTGGCCACCTCGAAGAATTATTCATATCTCCTACGGCACGGACCCGCAGTGCCTACACAACCTCAACCTTTCCGGCTTTCAAACCATATCAAGGCATTGACGCTGAAACACTCAGGTCCTAGACGACCAGTCTTGTTCCTTGCTCCATAGTAATATAGTTACCTCAAGATATTATTGATACGTCTATGCCACTCAGCTGTATGGCACAAAGAGGGTCGCGCAGACATTGCGAAAGGTGACGGATAGATCACCCACGTAGACTTAGCAACATCGGATCAGCACAGCCTAGAGACTAACTATTGTTACTCTTGGGAGCATTGAGTTGTGCATTTCTGGTTCGTGGTATAACTGTAATAAACTATTTAACTTTCGGGTCAAGAGGAGGTAGTTTTCAAGGTATGACATCAGTATATGCCATAAACGGCAGATCGTGGCGACTGGACAACCCTCACTTAAGAGACTGTTGCCCTTTCTGTACATGGTAGAAATGGTTGCATACCACATTCAGATAGTTGCATGAGGTCGCCTTGAATCAATATATTGAGTCGTAAGCATATTAATCTTAGTAGGTCGGGACGGAGGCAAAAAACATCAGAAGTGGTGGAGTGATATTCAATCCAATTTATCGGAATATAATCGCCTATTAACATCTACATGTGATGAAGTCTGCAGGATGATGTCAGTTTCTCTATCACAAGACAGCCTATGTAAAGGTGGCTAGAAGTATTCTCCCTTCTGAGATGCAAATAGCCACCATGCCTAGCATGCACTCTCGTTCATTTTCGCCATCAATTGTCACTTCGGTGAATGTCTGGTAACCGATCTTGGTCTGGCGTATATTTGTGGGACATCGAAAACAGGCATGTTGAGCCACGCTCCGCGAGATTTTCCCCCGCAATATATACCTGAATATTATATTGCGTGACGCTTTACTATCCGCCGACTCTGTACTAGGTCTTTTCCAGATCTACATGATTGCCGAGTGTAAATATACTATTTGATACCTGATACTTGGGCCTTGTATCGGCCATCGCTCTTTGTCCGCTTGCTACTTGGCCGTCCGTCCATAGTCTCTAATCCAGAGGAAGGTTAAGTTAATTCATTACTCTCATCTGCGGACTCGAGACTTTACATGCAACATAGATATCAGCTTGATTTCCAATAAACCTGGTACTGTACCGATTAAGTTCCGTATATGGAGCTGAACTGTTCACACTTCGAGCTTCCATTCACAACACTGGGATTTAACATCGGTTATTCTGCCAAGCACACCCGGGCCAAAAAAAAGAAAAGGAAAAAGAAAAAGAAAAAGAAAAAATGCTTGTATTGACTAGAGTAGGCCAGACTCTATAGCTCCATAACATATTCAAACCGCCGAGCTTCGGTACGAAGGCTGCGGATGCCCAGCGTGTCGGTCAGCTCCACAACCTAAAAGGGAAATAAATAATTAAAAATAGGAAAAGTGTCGCTGAATACAATCCTGGGAAAACCTGAAGGCTGCCAGCCACACCCTCGAACTCACTTCTCTTGAGCTCAATGTGATGTTGAACGGGATGATACTCATCCTGACCGTAGGTTGCATTCTACGTCACATTCTCGGGAACCAACCCATCTTCCAGTCGAATCCATGTAACTACTTCCTTTGTTAGGATTTCTTGCCTTAGTAAGATTTGTCTTCCACCACGAGCCAGGTTTCCATAGCCTCCATATCCCGTATGACGACCATAGCACACATTGACACCATCTCCAGCTACGGCCTGATCGGTAGTAGTATACCTCCACTTGTAGCACCTATAGAAATGAATATTCGCGACTAAATGTTCCTAAGACTAATAAAGATTGCGCCTACCAGTTATTGTCATGATCATGGCCGCTAAAGGTTGGTAATAGCCCATCCGTGTTCGATAGCGCGGTCATGAACGACACGTCATGGGCTCCGCCATCCCAACACATAACTTTTACGTTGGCCTAGCACCATCTTTCTTTAAGGCTTCGTTTCTTTTCTTCTCTTTGCCTTTACACAGGCGCAGTAATGCTTTGTAAATAAAGGCCTGCGCTGACAAATTCTGCCACTTTATCTGCGCCGTATTTGCGCCGTATATACGGGACACCTTCTATATCTCGTCTATATAAACCGTGCATTTAGCACAGTTAACTATTCATCACGCCACAACAATTCCTATTTCACTATCAAATCATAAACAAACAACCCCTACTATCATCTTGCAAGAAACATGGCCAACCAGGCAGCAGTCCTCACTCAATTCCACGGTCCCCTAGCCATCCAGGACCTCCCGATCCCAGAATGTCAACCAACAGAAGTGCTAGTGAGAGTGAAGGCAGCGGCTACCAACGCTGCCGACTGGAAGATATACGAGGGCCATTTCCCCCAAGATCTCCCACTGCTCCCGGGGTGTGACATCGTCGGAGAAATCACCGAAGTCGGCTCAAGCGTGGCCGGCTTCAGCATCGGCGACAGGGTATATACACGACTCTCCAAACTCCCAGTCACAACATCACCTAACCCACTCACAGGTAGCCGGCTACACGCAGCAACAGCTCATCGGAATGCAATCCATGGCGACTACCGGCCGGATCGCCCCCGACCTCCGCCACGGCGGCTACCAACGGTACGTCCCCATGCTCCCGCGCATGATCTTCAAAGTCCCCAGCTCCGTCCCCGATGAAACTGCCGTCACCTTCGGCTGTTCCTTCTTCACGGCCGCCGCCGCCGTCTTCAAGTCCCTCGACTTCCCCTACCCCTTTCCGGCGAATGCGCCCGTCGAAGCCCAGAAGGTCCTCGTCTGGGGTGGCGCGAGTGCTGTCGGCGCTTTTGCGATCCAGCTGCTCAGGGCGTCACATGTGGATGTCACGGCTGTTTGCTCCGCGCGGAACTTTGACTATGTTCGGGGTCTGGGAGCGAGTCATGTCATTGACTATGGTGCCGGTGATGTGGTTGCGCAGGTGAAGGCGCAGGGTCTGAGCTTTGGGGTTGTGTTTGATGCGATCTCGTCGCAGGAGACGTGTACTGCTTGTTTAGATATTGCTGGTGAGGGAGGCAAGGTGGCGAACGTGCAGTTTCTGGAGGCTCTGAGGCGGCCGAAGATTGACTTGGTGCATACGAATGTTGTGGATATCTTGGGCGAGTCGGTAAGTCATTCACTCATTCTTCGGTAAGGTAGTCTGGTTGTGCTGAGATTAGTAGGATGTGGAATTCCTGTCCTCCTTGGTTGGGTCTTGGATACCGAAGGCCTTAAGCGAAGGAACTGTAAAGGGTGTCCGGTATACTAAATACTCTGACGGATTGAGCGATATCGATCGTGCAATTAGGGATCATCGCGATGGAAATCTTGCTGGAAAGGGCGTTATTACTGGTATCTAGAGGGTGCAAGTGGTGTGTTCGTTCATTGTTGAGTAGTAGAATAGAGTAGTATATTTATGTGTTCCATCGCCCTGTGCATCTTGTCTATGCTATCTATCCTCTTCTGAGGTTTGCCAGTAGCTTTTGTCTTTCACATATGAAAATGCCGATTATTGTATCTACATATTGAAACGACTTAACCCAAAGTTTCACAATTAGTTCAACACAGCTATCTAGCTCTCTAGGATTTTCACGAGTTCCGCACGTATCAATCCCATCACGACAGTTTACTTATACTGTGGGTATTCCTCCTCGGTCCAAACCTTCCAAACGAGCCTCTCTCCACTGACAGTGCCACTTCGCAAAATATCCAAAGCCGTGGAAGCCCTCTGCAAAAGCGAGTCGCCTTGAATTTCACGATACTTATTCGGCTCAACAGCACCCGACTCGAGCAGCGTGGGAGCAATGTCCGGTAACAGATGGTCCTTCAAGAAATTATCCTACTGCAAAGTCAGCTATCTGAAAGCAAACCAAGATGATGAAGTGATGATATGGCAAATACCGCTTCAAAGTCATAGCTTATAACACCATGGACATCCACGCCGGGCACCCAGGGTGCTCCCCCGACAACGTCAGCCGAAAGATGTACGCCGTCATTGTGTGAAGGAGAGCGAATAACCACAGGAAGAACAGCGGCTATAGTTGAGCCCGGCCGAGTTACGATTTCGGCGATGTGCTGCAGCGACCCGGACTTCGAGGACACACAATCAAAGGCGCGAATAGGGAGGCTGGGGCTTTCTGTCTGAAGTATCTTTTGAATCATGTCAACAGCGTTCGGGTCTTGATAGTCAATGACATGTTTAGCACCGTAGCCCTTGATCTTTGTGTGGTGCTTGGGAGATGCCGTTGCAATGACGTTCGTGTAGCCCCAATATTTGAGGATCTGGACTGCGAATTGGCCAACAGAGCTCCCTGCGCCCCAAACGATAATTGGTACGTGTTGGTCCTGAGGGTGGAAATTGGAGGGACGTGGCCACGGCAGGTCCAGGTTCAGCTTGTCGGACAGAGTCAGAAATGCGGTAACGAAGTTCGTCGGTACCGTAGCCGCAGCGGCTAGCGGTATACTAGGGGGAACCTAGCTTGTTGGTCAGATCTTGGAATATGGTTTGAGGGATGTCGTGAAAGAGATATCTATTCCAACCTTTCCAAATAAGTGTTCTGGCGCGGTTACATAGATCTGTTGGCCCTTTTCCTTCTCGCGGTGAAAGAAGAAGCCAAAGACCTGATCACCAACACGAAGGCGCTCGACACCGGGCCCAACTGCCACCACGGTACCCGCACCGCTGTCACCGAGACCTTGAGGGAACTGAACCATCAAGCCAGCTTCTACTTGGTACACGTCCAAGGGTGCGGAGGGTACCCATTCTATTCGGACCTGGACTTCGTTGTGCTGGGGTTTGGGGGTCGGGACTTGAACCAACGTCAACGGCTGCTTGACGCCGGTCATTTGAATTGCAGGATGATGGGTAGCCATGTTTCTTTGGGTAGTAAATTTGGAGGGTGAGTAATGGAAAGCGATGGACATTCCCAGACAGCTGCAAAGATAGGCTTGCTTTATATGCTAGGTGGTGGGGACAGGCGTTAATTAGTACTAGACACTAGGCTGGACGCCATTATCCATTATTGTGTTGTGTCCCCATGCATGCTGAATAATAAGCTGCTTACAGTGTGCCATTGGGTGATTGATATAGATTGATATAGATTGTTTAAGAGGTAACAGCATAGGTACTACTAGTAAGGTTCGATCAAGCTTCGATAAAACCAGTGGCAAAAGATAGGGCAAGCGTTCGGACTTAAGTGCGGCTTTAGTGGTTGGCCAGTAAACCCTAATCCCGATGGGCCATACAGGACAGGAGAATGATTATAAATCCTACGCCAGGTGGGCCACAGGCAGACCTTTAGCCAATGAATATAAAGGTGTAAGCGTCTTATTTTAAGCTAAGATTAAAGTCAATGACGGCGTGTCCCCTAAATCCCCTTACCACAACGTTCAGGTCACATCTCCGGAGGATTGAGATTATGGGTCCCCTCGACATGACGGAGAAGCCAAGGGCCTCGCAAGTAGTAGTGGACCCAAGCCCATCGATGAGCCTGCAGCGAATGCCAGCGCAGTCCAGGGCGTATTCCCCCGATGAGGATTGGACCGGTGTCACCAATCCGGCTGCGCGGCGCAGACTACAGAATCGGCTGAACCAGAGAGCCTACCGTGAGATTTCCATTTGGCCCACAAGGGATCCAATACCCGCCCCAAACTGACCAAGTTCCATTATTCCGGACTGCAGGGCTACGCCGACAAGGCCAAGACAAACGAGCTGCACAGGCGAACAATGCCCAACCTGAGTCCACCCGGCATGGCCCGACTACCGCAAAAGCGCCGGCACAGCATGACTCTATGAAATGCGGGTTATCTGAGCTGCAACATCTGGAGTGTACATTTGCCCCTCCCAACATCCATGAACTTATGGCCCAGTTCGAGAGGCAAGCGATGGCCCGCTATGTCGAGGGTTCGCCCAGAACAGACCTTCTCCTCAATTTGAGCAGACTAAATGTTCTACGTGCAGCTTACCAGAACGTCGTCGCAATTGGCATGACCGCTGAATGGATGTGTCAGGATAGTACAATTTCGATTTTTAGTTTGGCCAGTCCACACCGTCGTGAGGATGGCATCCCTCAAAGCTTACAGCCCACGCCATTGCAGCGAACCGTACCGCACCACCCATGGCTTGATGTTTTCCCCATTCCGCAAATGCGGGATAACCTCATCCGTGCAGGGAACGATTTAGATGATGATGAGTTGTGCCATGATCTCACGGCATTCTGGGATACACGCAGTAGCAACGCGACAATGCTTGTATGGGGAACCCCTTGGGACCCTGAGAACTGGGAGGTCACCGAGGAGTTTGCAAAGAAGTGGGCCTTTTTTCTTCGAGGGTGTCCTGAGATTCTCATTTCGACAAATAAATGGAGAGCCCGGAGGAGTGAAAAACCGCTTGTTTGGAAGAAAGTTTTTGGTACTCAATAATGAATACATGCATAATCGTTTCGTTTCAACTATTATAGCATCTCCAATCCTGCTATACGGTAGGATACCAGGTGGAAGGCGCATATGCACCATTTTGCAGAGGTTGCATCACGTTCTCCCGTAGCTGAAGCTAAACACATTCGCATTCTCTAGCATGCGCTCCGGGTAGCCGACTTGGGCAGTGGCATGAGGCCCTATAGTCGCAGCTAAGCACGAACGAAAGGGGCGGGAGAGTGTCTCACATGGCGGTATCCACCTGTCATGGCTTTCTCAGTGACATCCTCAGCAATTGCACCCAGCCTGATATCATTAGTAGAGTCGTGGACTGGTACGAAATCAATTCATATTTCATCGGCTAAGAGAATATGTCAGCAACAGGCAAGATCAGTGAACCAGATTCCTTATGAATTTGTAGCGATTTGTCCCTTTCAAACTTCTTAGTCATGATATAATATTCGTACCCGAATCGGCGTATATACGGAGTAGAGTAACGCAACCGCTATTGACGCCAGGGTCTTTTAGATCCGAGATTAGCTGAGTGGGGCAAGATGGATAAACGCACGTTTAAGACACTGCTACCAAGGTTGCTTGTTTTTATCGCCAGTCAACAATGGTTCCTGTGACCCACCGAAGGCCAGACCCACGAGAAGAGGCATGCAAGCTGCTTACAGATCGAATATTATTGGACAGCAAGTGGGTAGTATCGTCGTGTCGGAGGAAACGGAGATAACCGGAGGTGTTGTAATGGCGCGGCACGACCAGGTCAAGTCAGTATATAAATATTAGTGAAGAGACCATCTTAAAACTATGACTATCCTCTCATACATTGTCCTAAAGACTCCTCCCTCTTGCATTCAACCATACTAGCATGGCATCACAGAAAGCGGTCGTCATTACTTCACCCAAGCATGCGCAGGTAGTGGGCGATAGAGCCATTCCGAAGCTGCGCGATGATTCTATTTTAGTCAAGACCGTCAGTGTCGCACTGAATCCTACCGACTGGAAACACATTGACTTTCTCGCTCCTGCCGGTGTCCTCATTGGGTGTGATTATGCCGGAATTGTGGAAGCAGTCGGCAAAAACGTTAAGAAATCGTTCATTAAAGGAGACCGGATCTGTGGATTTGTACACGGGTCTAATGCCGTTCAACCCGAGGAGGGAGCCTTTGCCGAGTACATTATCGTCGAAGGAGACCTTCAATACAAAATACCTGATGGCATGGGATTTGGAGAGGCGGCGACTTTAGGTCTCGGAGTTACCACCGCCGCTCTTGGTCTTTATCAAAGTCTCAGACTCACTCTTCCCGTCGCTCCAACCCGGAGCAAAATACCCATATTGGTGTATGGAGGCTCTACTGCTACCGGAGCTTTAGCGATTCAGTTTGCGAAGTTATCAGGTTATGAGGTTTTGACAACCTGCTCCCCTCGCCATTTCGACCGGGTCAAGAATCTGGGTGCCGACGCTATTTTCGACTACAACGACCCAACCTCCGCCAGGGCGATTAGAGAGCAAACGAATGACAACCTTACGTTAGCTTTTGATACAGTATCAGTGGAGAGCAGTGCCACATACTGTGATCATGCGCTATCGACCAAGGGCGGCGACTACAGCTCACTCCTGCCAATAAAGACCGCGCGTGACAATATTCGAGACCGATCCACTATGGCCTATACGGCGTTTGGTCGGAGTTTCCAGTTCGGGCCAAGAGAGATTCCGGCTCAACCAGGCGACAGGGCCTTTATGGAACAGTTCACTGGCATTTTCCAAGACTTGCTAACCAGTGGCAAGATTAAGACACATCCTCCTAGGGTTGGTAATGCCGGGCTAAATGGCATCTTGGATGGACTTCAGCTCTTAAGGGACGGCAAGGTTAGTGGGGAGAAGCTTGTTTATAATGTCATAGACACTCTTTGATCTCGGGGTAAATTCGATCGATGGCTATCCCCTATATTGATCCAGCCGAATTAGTGATCTACCTACCACCAGAAAGACAATACACTTAACGAAATCAAGTAACATGTTTTCTGTGCTCATCTGAGCAGTAAAATGAAATGATACAAGAATAGGAGCAATTGGACTCTACAAAATATTAGACATTGCGAAATTGTCGCCCGTACCTGGACTCCTGTTATATCCGCGCCGACTGTATTATCTGAGTGAAGACTAGGCCGTGATTCCATACGGCCTGTACATTCTCTTGTAATCCCGCTGAGAAGGGTAAGGCACGGTTGTGACGTTCGAGTCAAATCTGCGAACGCAAGTGCTGCGAGGAACACGAAAAGAACCGACAGGAAGACAAATTCATCGTATATGGATGGTCAATAGACTTTGGTTCTTTAGCAGCCATTAATTGATATGTTAAATGAGAAGAGGTACTGTTTCATAAGGCCACAGTAAATACGAGGTTGCTCGTAAGGTATACAGCCCAGTTGTACTCGAGGCTGAAACATGTGTTTCTGCAGCTGAGTGAAGAAACTGAGAAGGGAGGGTTCATCAACTAAAGTATGGGCATGTTTCAAACGGTGTAACCCAAATCGAGGGAGAATCTGAAAATAGACCAGACCTGTCAGGTGATACGGTTCTACGTTTCATTCTCCCTCCAAAAGTAGCAAGCAGAATGCACCTTAAACCCCGCACTTCCTCATAGGATTTAACTTGCATAGATAGAGCTAGAGATATCTACTCAGAGGTTTAATTAAAAGCCTCTTTGGCATGGACGAGTCAGGATCAATAAGCTCCTGACCAGCTGGTATGGACAGACGCGCACATTGATGCGTATAGCCTCTAGCGCAGGTGCCACTTACAGACTTACTGGGGCAATAGATCCGCATCCCTCTGATATCATGGATGCTTTCTTTCGTCATCGAGCATAGATCGAACAAATGGGGCACGGACTTGCCCTGGCAGCGGCGTAGGTCTGATCCTGCATCTGCAGTCATCCCTCCAGTACGATGCAACCTAATGCAACGAGATCGTAGAGCTTAGGCCAGCTCATGCAATGCAGGAGCGAGGAGGGATTGAACCCAGTTTCTGGCGAGCTAAAGACGAAGCCGTTGTGTCTGAGTCACACTAATGCTGGTGGTTGTGGTCATGAGAAGGACCCCCCTGGGTTTCAACGCAGCATCAGTGGTTGGGTTTGTATTCCATGATGGGACACACTAGAGTCAGAAGCCATGCGCTAGGCAACTACTATGTTCCTCTGCATGCGCCAGTAGAGTTACTGCTGTGACTGTTCTCTCTGGCCGCGTAAATGTCTCAAATACTCCCATAGTGCTATCTTTAGTATATTCGGGTAAAGGGGGGGGAGGTGTGGTAGGTAGAGGGGAAAGAATAACGTACAAGAAAGGTATTTTGTACACGCCCATCTTCTATCAAGCGCGACTCAGCCATGCAGGGGTCTATCTAATCACATCGGCGACGCATGACCGATCGTCATTCATGGATGGGCTCGAATGATCGGCTGGCGGACGACGTTGCGTCTGACGACACCTGCCCCTGCAGTATGTGCTAGTCTTCATTTTTTTTTTGTTGAGTCATACTGCCTGGTTAAATTGTGCCTGCAACTCGAGTTGCGCTTTAACCGTGTGGGCGGATCGAGCTAGGAGAAAAGAACATTTTCAGTTATCTGGAAATTTGTAATAACCTCATTGAAAAAGTCGAATTATAGGAAAAGCAAGGAAAGGGAAATTTGTAAATCATAATATAAAAAAAGCAAAACAAAAAGACGACGAAAAAGAGGAGGAAGATGATGAAGAAGGCGGTAAAACTAAGCCACACAGTGCGTGTCCTGACAATACGCAATATTGCTTCATTTTCTTTATATTTGTTTTCCTTGTGCAGACCTGTCGCTGTGAGTAAATAAATAGTACACACCAAAAGCCAAGCCGCTTGAGAGAATTGGATTTGAGATCCTGTGGGCATTATTGGATATTAGGGTGCACTAGTGGACATCAAATCAAGAACACATTCAAACCCCGGCAAACAGGCACATTGGAAATGATGAATGGGATATCTGGTCTTTGGGAGTGGCCCAGGGTGGAGTCAGTGTGGTGGTGGTGGTGGGGGCGTCGTCTGATCGCTCCATTTGAATGTGGGTGACTTTAGGGCTTATCACACTATCTCTGCCTAGAGACGATCCGATACTATCAAGCAATGTATGTATCTTGAATCATTTCTGATAGCCCCATCGAGGGTCAAAGTGACATTCGGATGGCGTTAGTGTGTTTGTGTGAGTGTGTGTGAAAGGTTATCGAGAGCATCCACTGGTCGAGACCTCCTCATAACCTAGCCAAGTTGCACCGGCAGCTGAAGATCGACTGTGCGTACCGAATTGTTCGGATCTGGAGTCACAAATCAAGGGGATCGTCTTTTCAGATACCTATCAGCTGGCGTGGGAATGACTTGCAGACTAGTCCGGCCGCTAGTGCGAGCACTAAGTCTATCACACTGGAACATCCTTCCAGTCATCGCCCACTTTGACCCTCCTCGACGATCAACCGTTGACTGGTCGAGTGGGAAGTGGTTTCAACTGCTCCCTTCTGGCTTCACGCCCAGCATCACTTGTAGTATTATTCAACACTGGACGCTTCCCGTTCCGACTGGTGCCTTGTTTTGCCCACCCGGCGGTCGTGATGGGAAACCGAAGGTCTAGGTCAGCCGATTTTGCCATGTGTGGTTACCACAGGTTTCTTGTCTCTCGGTTGGACAGGGTATCAGTCATGTACGGCTCCGTTTAAAAGGAACTACTCAGCCCCGTATGCCAGTTGCTTCCTACTCCGTATAAAATGTCCTCTGAGTCCGGCGGTTGAACAATCGACACCCGTGCAATGTGCTTGCAAGCCGACCTCTCGCCCAGAACTTCCAGTGCTGGCATCGTGCATACACACTGAAAGTTTATTGGCTTCTGTTGCGCGCCATCCTACTACTCGGTACTAATCATCGGGCTCCTTTTGGTTTTGTTTTTATCTGTCTTGTTCAATATTTTCTGCGACCGTTCGGCCCCTGCACTCGAGACACTCGTATTCTTCATTTACGATGATGTGTCATTGATCCATGTCCCCTGCTAGCCATATCTCTACTAGTGTCCGTCGCTTCCGCGGGAACCCCGTCAGTCACCGAAACGGAAATTTATATTGGCAGGGCCCTACTACCTGTTGCAGACTCGCAGTCTGTGAACCCAAGGCCACCTCAGCTCCACTGTTTGACAAACTTCACGCTTTTTGAAAAACTAACTAGTTCAAGATTGTCTCAAATGTGAGTATTGCCTATCTCGGCTTTTTGCCTCCCTTGTTTCCGCCCCTCGCCCCAATCACAACGTACTCCGGAGTACCGCGCTTGCCAGATTTAAATCCCTCGCAGATGACCGGGGGTGGAGACCCCAGTGGAGGTGGATGCCTTTCCTGCGTACTAACCATCCGTACCGCACCCGTACCGTCACTTAGTCTCAATACCGTCACTTTGCTGCCCCTCCCCATGACGCCATCTTGGTTCTTGGTTGGTTTTCCCCGCAAGCTAACGGTCGAATAGAGTTGCTTGTTCCCTGGTTAGGGCCTCGAAATTTCAGGGGAAATTCAAACAATTGTCCTCAGAGAAGAAAAAAATTAATTGATGAAACTTGGGTACCAAAAAGGGAAAAGAAAAAAAAAAACAAAAAAAGCAAACCTCGCAGGATTGACAACGGAGGCTCTCGCATGATTTGTTACCAGTTGAGGGGTCGGATAGACGTCGATCCGGAGTGCGTACGACTAATACTGTGTGTACTGAGTAGACCGATCTGAGGTCCGTTGAATCGTCCCACTGTGGGTTGGGGAAGAAGCACAAAGTAAGAGTCAACCCCGAGAAAAGACAAACAAAAAGAAAAAAAAAAAAAAAAAAAAAAAAAAGGTCGACGCCAATACAATATAAATCCCCTCAATGGCACTTTCTCCCCGATCTTCCGTCTCAGGCTCTTCCTCGTCACCTTCGCTCTATCCTTCGTCTTGCAGTTCCCTTCATTCTCCGCCATTACTGAGTGGTAAGTTAATTTCGCTCCACCTTTTCTTTTACGCTGTCGCTTCCACATCATCTGATATGTTCATGTCCCTGTTTCAATAATGGATTCCTGATTGCCTGGTCCAATAACCCCTTTGTTTGCCTCTCCACTTTTTTTTGGCCTCACGCTGCCTTGCCGGAGGGGCCATCACTTTCCAATTGGCTTTCGATTCCTTCGTCTTTTTGTCGCGATGAATTGTCCTGGTGTCTTTTGCTGGCACATTCACCCGGGCGGTCCCCTCCCCACCTGACACGTGTGACATGCCTCGTCGACTTGACCTACATTCTCCCATCCACTCAGACTGATGCTGATCGCGTGTTCTATAGCCAATCTCTCATCATCATCTTGGTCGCCGCCTTCCCGTCGCCCTTCAACTGTTTGTGCTCAAGACCAGTTGGAAAGCTTAATTGCCAGACACGGTCACCCCACTCGAGTATCGCTGTCGTCCTTGGAAGAATTAACGGCCACCTCTTCCACATATAATCCTCCCTCCTCCGCCTCCCGGTCTCCCTCGCCTCTCTCAGATACTACGGACTCCTTGGAGACTCTCTCCCTCTCGACCTCCACCTCGAGGCCCATCCCCATCCCCAAGCCGTCCTTCCATACGCACCAGGACGACCTCCCCGTCACTCCTTTGACAGGTCGGTTCGACAAGGGCTATTATTTCGCCCATCGTGACCAGGCGTATTTCAAGACCCGAGAGAAGCCGACCCATCGCCGGAGTCGTCCGCACGCTCATTGCTCTTCCCGTTCACCGGCCAGCATGCGTTCCGATAGTTCCACATTCTACTCACCCGTGGTGTCTTCGTCCATGTCTCCCTCGGCACGCCCTTCCTCTCCTCAACAACCACCCCGTTCCCGGGCACAGAATCCCACCAAATCC